CTGACATGTGACATTGATGATGTACATATTATAATTATTAATTGTAGAATTGCTTCATTTTGTATGAAATATATTCCCATTTTCAATATTTGTATCACTATCAATCAATTTATTTTAAAATTTAACGTAACATATATTTGAATACTTCAAACTGTCCATTTTATACTTCGAAGTTTTTTCTCAAGTCTAAATAACTTGAGTCTGAGACCTCATCATTGCAAAGTTCGAACGAGCCTTTGACTTTACCCAGAGTATGAAAAAGTAGATAGGCAATGTCAAATTTGAAAGATAAAGGTAGACATTTTAAAGTCACAAATAAAGTATTTTTTTAACAACGAATGCGTTTGAAGTGGCGCGAGGAAGGTGAACAATTTCGAAGAAAGTAACGGCATTAGCATGATGTCTGATATCACGACGAAATGTCTACGTAGCTATTCAGAAACACCGAACATGTGAAACATCGGTTCCATTACATTTGAACCCACGTACATTTAAACTCGTAATTTGAACCCACGACAATTGCATCTGCATACTATTGCACCTATGAAAATTTGCACCTACGGATATTTGAACCCATACTGACCCTAACCCACGGATTTTAGCTTTCGCATATAGATTGAGCCCCCGCGGATATACGGGTGCAAATGTATGGATTCAAATGTACGTGGGTTCAAATGTGCTGTCACCGAAACATCTAATGAAAATGGGTAGAAAATAAGTGATGTACAATTTATTATCGTGTGCGGTCATATGCTGATAAGCATTACTTCATGCACATTGTATCATTATTTTAAGTTCAATAATTTATTTAATGGTAGATCTGGTTCGAAAGTAGAGATTAGATGAATTCGTTACTATGACTACTTCATAATCGAATGTGGAAACTCCTGTGTATTTACTTGAAATTCAACCTTGATGAATTCAAAGCTGATGAAAATTAAACGAGAATATCGGTCGGAGACCGAAGACTTATCGATCGAAACTGCGGTTTCGATTCATGACTCTATAGTGACACCGCGTGTCCCATTACTAACTAATTAATAACTCGCTAATTATACGACATAATTCATCCAAAATCAATATAGACTTCTGGTCCGAGATATTATGAATGCACATGCAGATTCAACCACGCCTACGTGAGATATCGCGTGCATCTAATAGGCAAACAGACAGACAGACAAATACCTATTAACATACTTACCGATCTAAAGATCGATAAGTAACAAGAATCACTGTTCACCTATGAATTGTTTTGCAAAATTCATTTAATCCTCGTCTTCGTATATTAGAGAAATACTCTCTTGTTCTTGTTTCTGGAAACAACTCGTTTATCTAAAACAAATAAACATAAGTCACAATGACAGCAATCAAATCAATCGAATCTGTTTTTCATGTTGTGGTTGTATAAGGAGATTTTAGCACAGCCTGTGTTTACGAAACGAGACAGGATTATCATGACTCTTGTCATGGCAATAGAGGCTAAATGTGACAATCTAACCATAATAACTGTAAAAGGTTCTGTCGAGCAATACCACATGTTTTACTTCGTCACACTAAGAACTGCAGAGACTGATGTGTAAATACGTTTACTAAGCAGTAATTTACACACACGAAATATTGGTGAAAATTTTTTAACGTTGAAACTTTTTCAGTAAACTATTGTGAACACTCTGAGAGTTACAGATAATACATGTCTTGGTTAATTAATGAGCGCTTGCCCTGTCGTACTTGCCATTGAGTTGTGCTAACTTTGACACTTTTTTTTACGTTCGCGACGTTGACAAGGTGAAAAAGTGCAATACGTGTCAGCAATAAAGAAATAGACACTTTGAAAAGTTTGATCTAGTTTATAATCAGCATCGCCAACTAAAGGTGACATTACGACTCGGTTCAAACCCCAAGATGGCGTGCGTGTCGTGGACACCTTTGAGTGGAAAATGGAAACCTTTCATGTTTCTAAATTGAATGTAAATTAATAAGTTATACAACAGCGCATCCTATTTGCTTCTAAATATTTTACTGTATTATGATCTGAAGTGCTCCATGCAACTTTATAATAACATTTTATATCGGACACACGAACTATCAAATGCCTGTGATTTGATGAAGTCATAACGTTTGTTAACCCTGCTAAAACGCTTAAGCGCTACACAGATGCAAATATAGGCAAATAAAATAAAACCTGAATAGATGTTCATCATAACCAGATTTATTAAAAAGGGGTTCGACTAGTCTTCAATATGATAACCTATATAAAACTATTACGAAACTACCATACCTAATCATGAATAGCCATGAATAAACGGAATTGAGATCATTGTGACATGACTACGGTTACCAGGCATAGCCCTCCCATTTTCGTTGCCGTTCCCATGCTAGAAGCTATTAAGGAGAATCTCACTAAACACAGGCGCTAATGCATAATAATAATATAAAACAGGACATCCGTTAGGAAGGTGACTCCATCTGCTTAAGACCAATTGGCAATCTCCCAATCGCCAATAGTCGAGAAATTCGTCTATACCAAGTACGTTGTTTTCTTTGTTTAGTGCAGTGGTTCTCAACCGTATTTAGTTTGCGTACCGGTAAACCTTTAAAATTAATTTTGCGTAGCGTTGAACCTTCAAGATCAACCCAAAATGTCAAAAACACAAAACATAATTAAACGAATGTAATACCGACAAATGTATACAATTCAAAAGCAGAAAACTTAATTTAATGATAAATATGCCGTTTAGTTTTTGATATTATACGTGTTAAATGCGATGCTAATGGAGCTTCTGCAAGGCGAAGTAGAGCGTTGACTTCTACACAATTTCTTTCTGTTTGGTCTTGATAAAAGATGACGAAGAAGAGCTTTTTTCTCATAAGTGGGTTGTACAAAAAATGAAGAGTAATTTAATGCTTTGTCACAGAGATCAGGATATTATTTTTCAAGCGATATCCAACACTGCAACAATGGCAAGTCTTTATGCTTCGACATTAACGTGGTATCACAGGAAAGCTCAATCATCAATTTTTCCTCAACAGCGTTAACATTGTACGAATTAATATCCTTTCTCGGAAGTTTCTCGGATCTTTTGCAGATTATTCAAATTGCGGTGGAAATTCAAATGTTCAAATCATTCCGAAACCTAACTGGATAATTACTAATGTTTTATTTTGAAATGTGGCGGGAAAGGTTTTCCCAAATCTTGCACTTTTGCATTAGTGGTGAGGGCTTTCTACAAAAAATCCGGCTTCACTGACAAGGATCTTATCATACTGTCCAATAAAGTCTCCTTTCCGCTTTTTTCTTGTTTTTGCATAATCCATATCAATACTACATGAGCGTTTCAAGCCAGGTTGTAGTCTAAATTGAAAATATCAGATAAATAAGATAATAAGATAAACGCATCAATTGGAGTTAAAACTCACAAAATAAATTGGGAGGCCATTAATGCCTTTCATTTTGCAATTGAGATATATATATAATATTTAAATATATTTGGAGGACCGGCAGGAGGGTTAGCGCGGACCGAATGTTGAGAAGCACTACTTTAGTAAATGCGAATGTCATGAAAATTCATATTCAGCTATGTCATTCAAAAAAACTCCAAGGCTCCGAAATTTTAAACAAGTGTGTCGTATATGACCTATATCGTATATGACAGATCTTTTGATATTTTGGAACGCATTTTTTTTATTAATACTAATTATAACGTACTAATTATAAGTTATAATTACTATTTTGACAGGCTGGTTTCGATATTATTTTGACTAAACGTAATCCAGTTTTTATGGCGTTGCGTATTGTTTTTTTGTTCAAATCAAAGGAAAGTTCATTTTAAAACATTCTCCTTGCTTCATGACTGATATCAATGTTTAGTTTTTATTTCAGTCCTTAGTTCTATTTATAGGTGATGAGCGTTTATTTTAGGACGTTCTCCTTTCAAATGACTGTTTATTAGTATAAATAAAAAAAACTCAAATAATGTAAGAATAAATGTTATTAATTTTTCATTTTTGTGTAGGAGAGAAATATGATTTTTTATGAAAGAAGTACATCGAGCCGTTAACACAACCCAGTAATTATATTTGTAGCATTTATAAAATAAAGTAAAATACTTACTGTATATTCTTCTACTTCTTTCAGAAGTGTGTTTTTTAATTATCCATTATATGACATCTCATTTGCTAAATTTGATATAGTTTTTACGTCATCGATACCTAAAAATTAGATGTCAGAAGAAGGTTTGCCATTGTGAGACCTTCCTAGATTGAATGAATAAACAAATCATACTCATTGCAACTGTTAATTTTTTTTTGGTACATGATTATTGTTTTTCAAATAAAATTTGCATTGTGCATATCTTTATTGTTTATTTTATGCATAGTGCAACGGCATTATCTGAACACTTCATCGAATTACTTCATATGTTGTTGTAAACCAAGTTGAGTTGGCATAATCAAGTACTGCTAACCAAAGTAAATATTGTTTCCGTATACTTTGTGGGGTTTTGCAATTATTGCAAAACAGAGGAATGAAATCGTCAAAAAATCCAAAATTGGCTCATTACAAATATGCCAAGCAGTGAGGTTTCCTGGGTGATATCTGACAATGGTACTCGTTATCGACATTACACGTTCTTTGACAGAATTATTCTTCATATAATTATTATTCACTTTTTTTAAATTGACACCGTTGTCAAAGCTCATGATATTTAAACCGTGCTTAATTATATGGGAGCGGGAAATTTGGGCGCAACGGAAACTCTCGGTACTTTCACTTCAATTCAATTATCGACACATTGACAATTTTCGATATCACATTGGTCAAATTAATTTGGACTTAAAATTTGGACTTTTTATCATTAGTTATACCAAAGCAAAAGTTGATACGGAAAGCTATTTATGTCTACTTGTCTAGATTTTAGTTATATAAAAAGAACGAGGTGTAAATATGAGAATTACATAAAATCGCCTTTGGCGAGACCGAATTTTAGTCAAACATGAGTTATATAAATGTACACATATATATGGAACCAGGCGATTGTCGTGTTATTCGTAACGCAGGTCGATTGTTAACTTGAAGTTTTTCTCGAGCAATATATTCTTATTGTGTATTTTCAATTATTTTACAACACATTTCTAATATACCTCACGAAGATGAATGTCTCTATACTGCTTACTTCAATACTGATCGTTGCAGGGCTTATTTGCATGGCAGAGTTTGGAGATGCTGCTGGGAAACGAATGGCAAAAGGTGATTTTGATATTTTAAATTTTTATAAAAAAATTGAATGAGCGTGGTATAAAAATAAATCTATATTCAGTAAAAAGATCAAAATACAAATTCACTGTTTAAACTCGAGGAACGACAAAGATAATGTACATAGAAAAAATAGAATTACGTTATTACATTCTGTGGAAGGAGATATTCCATGACTACAGTTTCGTGGCAGTCCGGTTCGAGTGTGGTAAACTAACTATTTCAACGATATAGATTAACGTTGATAAACTTTTTTACTGAGCATTGACTGCAGCGTGACTCGAGGACTTCAGCATTTTTGTAGCAAGAGATCGCCCACCAGCGATTTCTGGTGAGCCATTGATCATGGAAATTTGAGATAGAGAGAAAGATGTGAACTATTTTCAATCGAACTTAGCATTAAATTTTTTTCAATGTGACTTTGAAATTGTTCTAATAGTAGTACTATCCACGCAAAATATTAGTTCGGAATAGGGTACTTATAACATATTCTGCTAATAAACAGAGTATGTTACAGGTTTTAAAAGAGGGCGTAGAAGAAACAATAATTGGCGACAATGGGGTGAATTCGGGCATTGCAGTGCAACATGTGGCATTGGCGTGACGACACGATATCGCCTGTGCAAAAAAATTATGTGCAGGGGAAAGTCTTTTTCGACACAACCGTGCTTTGTGCAACCATGCGAAGAAGGTTTTTATTCTGAAAATTTGATAAAACAAAAAAGTAACAATTTCACAATTAATCATGGTAAAAAAGCTTTGAAAAAGAGGCAAAATTTCAGCAAACTCCAACAGGTGTTTGAATGACGCACAAAAGAAAACCATCTTTCGCAGCGTCGAAATATTCATAACACTAGGAAATTTGCAAAAATATTTAAAGACTGATTTTAACAGACTAATTTGAATTTGTTTTGAAACAAAAAAAAATTCAGCAATAATGCCTTGTTTTTGCTTACCAGCGTTTTCTGCCGTTTGCTGTTTTATTGAAAATCGTTTTATATATGCTTGTAGAAATTAGTCCTGGCTGCAATATTGCCAAAACGTGCTTGCCATATTTGTGTTAGCAGCTTTGATTTAATCTATTAACACCAGAGTCGATTGAACATAGTATATTTCAAAATTTTGTGCTTTGTATCTTTTCTTGAGTACTTCATAAAATAGTCTTTTTGTCCAAGAAAATAAGCAAACATTTATTTCATTTGATCAGTTTGTAAATTGAGTAATTTTGTGTATTTCCGCAGATAAATTTTTTTTTCGAATACACTGCGGAATAATATATATAATAATGTATAAGAAGAAGCTATGTGCTTGTTCCACGTCCCGTCGAACTGTGTTGTAATTTGTGTTTAAGAGGCAATTAAATCAGATACAAAAATACAAATATAACAATGTTTTTTTTTCATATAGGTAAATGGAAACCTTGGTCAAACTTTGGTCCCTGCAGTAAGTCCTGTGGAGGGGGAATCAAAATCAGAAAACGAAAGTGCAAAGGAAAACAATGTTTAGGGCCTGATCAACATTCGAAACCATGCAATAAAATAAAATGCAAAGGTAAGCTATTATTCATATTAATTTGTAAATCTTTGTCCATAGCGAAATATACGTCCAATATATCAAGTATAACCAACCATTAGTAAAAGATACTTTCCATACGAAATTTTACTATTTGATATATTTTGTCGCTTCAGTCTATGACAATGTTCTCTTATTCCAAGAGATAAGTCTATAGGAGAGCTCTACGCAAGCTAAAATACATGTTGATAGAATATTGTTAGTAATAATTTGACTCAATCTCCGCTGCGAATATGTACATCTGCAAATTCATTCTACACGAAAATTTGGGAAGTTCATTATAATCAGAAATGTACAAATTAAGACAAATCGACTGACGATTCACACAGCAGAAGTATTGGTCTTAAAACGTGAATTTATTTAATAGCAACTAATTTACCAAGACGAACCGATTATGAATTTTAACAGGTAAATGGAGTGCCTGGGGTCCACCAGGTCCTTGCAGTAAAAAATGTGGTGGGGGGAAAAGAGAACGCGTAAGGACATGTTTGACTACGGAAAAGTGCTACGGACCCAGTAAGAAAAAAGATACATGTGGTACAAAAGTATGCCCAGGTAATGACCACATGCCTATATTATTATTATAGATATAATGTCCGACCTTGCATACATACTGTTACATGCTCATATTTTCGAATGCGGAGCCATTAGCATTAAGTTATATTTTGTTAGTCTGTTTGATTTTGTTTAATTACATAAATTTCTGAATTTTATCTTTTTGTGTTATCTTGAGGTTTATCGGTCATATTATATCCCCGGGGACTGTAATGTCTACAATGCAACACTAATATTTCATAGAAGTAAATATGGGCTACACTCGTTGATCATCGGAGTCGCATATACAATTGAGATGGTGGCAGTAATGTGATATCTTGTATTGTATACAGAGCCTTCAATCTGGGGACCGTGGACTAAATTTGCTCCATGCACAAAATCATGTGGAACCGGAGTTAAAGTAAGAACAAGAAATTGCAAATCGAAGACATGCAGAGGACCAAACACACAAAGAGGAGACTGTAAAACACAACTATGCGAAGGTGAGAAAAAGGATTTTGAATAAAATTTGATTGTAAAGTGATATTATAGAAAATCTATTTTACTATATGAGTGGGCAATACACGTATAGGTACTGTCATGATGCCTGGGCGAATGCCGTTCAGTGAGTCCGAACCAGGTAAAATCACCCGGAAGAAATTTGCGTAACAAGGCAAATTTCAAATGAGATAAATATACAGTAAAGTAAATAAGCCCTAGAAAATCCCCCGAAAAATTGAAAACTCACAAAAAATAGGAAATTCCTTCTGAATAAAATTTTCATTTGTTACTACTGAAAATTGCGACCGCCCCTTCAGTAAACGGAAAAGTGGCATGTCGTTCTAACAAATAAACAACAACAAAGCACTGTTCAACTATATGGACACGAAAGTGTAACATCATATGGCACTCATTCAGCACCCTCTTAACGCCCAATGACCAAACCAACCTAACGGTGCATATTTTCACAAGCAGCAAAATTAGGCGATGAAACAAGAGGCCCCACAGAACAACCCAATTTATTAGTCCACTTTGTTATTATTCATGGATTGTATTTAACATACAGCTGACTAACTCTCGGTTAAGGCCGAGCAAGACATATTATCGTCATTAAAAATAAATTGTCCGTTTATTTTCTGTGTATTCGTGATAAAAATTTATTTGATTTTGATGAAGCTGCGTCAGTGTGGGGAGAATGGGGTAAATTTTCGCCGTGCAGCAAATCTTGTGGAACAGGAATGAAAGTGAGGACAAGAGAATGCAAAAGTAGAACATGTCTCCGTGGACCCTCCAAACAAGTTGGGAATTGTAAGGAAATACCGTGCCCTGGTAAGAATTACCTGAGAAAGTAGAACTGGCTTGTTGACTGTTTTCTTATTATTATGACAAGGTTGGTCACCAAAGATATGGGTTAACCATACTTGAAACTATATATTTCAATGTATTACTAAATGACCATGCTCCACATTGTAAAATGCTCCTAAATGCAACATGTACGCTTTATAGCATTTTTATTGCCAAGTTTTTAATAACCTACTGGTATAATAATAACAGAACAAGAAGTGGATATTTCGCGCCGCTTACATAGTAGTTGGGTCGTGATTTGACCGAATGAACAATTAACTTTGTGGATAGTTCCAAAGTCACGTGGCAAAATCTTTTTGTATAGGAGATTGGAGTGAATGTACAAAGTCTTGTGGAATTGGAACGAGATATAAATTTGATTCAGAAAACTGTCTGAATCCCGGTAATCCAAAATGTTTTAGGACGTTTGAAGAATGCAATAACATAGAATGTCCAGAAGGTTTGTTATACTGTCAGAAAATTATTACTAAGCCGATTGTGAATATAGTTATTCTGAATTAACAAATCCCGTACAACTGTCCAATACTGTGGTTTAATATGGCTGTTCCTCGTTGGGCGCCAGAATTTCTCAATACTTCAAGTCAAAAATTAACCTAATATGTTTACTTTATCTGCTTCCCACACAATATCGTTCTCTATCTATTCCACATTCATTAAATCCTTCGTAATAGTTTTTGTAATTCGCCTCCGTTCTCCATCATTTACATGGGGCGTTGGAGATGTAATACCCCAATATGGCAAATGTTAAAAATATGAAAATATGCGTTCGTTTACGTGTTGGGATTTTGCACGTTTTTAAAAACTTATTTTAAAACGATTTATTTTCGAAGATAGGAGGCAGACAAATACCCCCAATGAATAATTTACTTCTAGTAATTCTAGAACTTGGGTAATCTCATTATGCATCTTCGATAACGCAATGTATCCCATCTATTTTAGACACTGTCTTAGTATTTTTTACAATTTACCATTGTTTGATCATTGTTATTCAGATGTTAATTCATATAGAATCCAGTCTAAAATAGTTTTATGTGATGTCGTTTATTTGTTGCTAATTCTCGAATTTAATTAATTAATTTGTTTTAAGAAACGTGCACCGATGGTAAAGATTATCGATATGGAATGAAGTATTCATGTTGTGATAACGAAGAATATGGTGGAAGAGTCATTAAGGGTAAAGAAGCCGAACTTAGCCAATGGCCTTGGATGGTTAGTAAAATTCCGTTTGGTATTTTATTTTTTTGTTAAAAGACTATTTGATATAAGTAAATTAAAAAGCACTCTGAATAAGATAATTCAATGCTACGAAATGACACAAAAATACGGCATATATTTAAAAAAAAAAGTATGATAGCAGCGCAAGTTTATTAGTGTCAAATTCGGAACTACATATGTAAGAAAAGTGTTACTTTCTTGGTTTGTATATATTTCTTTGTGTCATTAAGTTGATTAGGAAGCTTCCGAACTCAGTTTAAGCTTTAGCTTTCACAAGAGCAATAATTTGTAGTTTTTAAATATTACTTTAATAATACAATATATTTCATTAGTTCATTTGAAAAATCATGTTCAGGTGTTGATTGTCTTCAAACAAATATGTGGGGGATCATTAATACACCCACAATGGATTTTGACCGCCGCCCACTGTTTCAGGTTAGTTTTTGAAGAATATTTAGACTTTTGCATATAGTTATTCCTTCTTTAATACTATTATCGCGCCTATGTAGCACTTTGGTCAGATAGATGAATAATATTCAATTATATACTAACCAACAAAACGTAATGTTTTGTCTAACACGTATCTATTTGTTATCAATTTCAGTGAAGAAACTGATCCAGATCCCTCGTCTATCTCTGTTTATGTAGGAATTCAAAACTTAACACAAAGACAAGATTCATCAAAGCGCCATTTGGTGGAAAAGCTTATACAACATCCCAGATACAAGGATCTACAAAACGATGTCACTCTTCTAAAGGTTAGCGCCAGTTTATCAGCAAACTATTTTTATACAGCTATATCGAACACTTATATTTCAGTTACTTGTGTTCACCATTTCACAATATCTTCGAAAAATTGTACACTAATGAAATTCACTGGTATGAATTCATCTTTATTGTTTAGCTTAAAGATGAAGTGAACACACAGTTTCTATCAACAGTCTCGACAATCTCCCTCCCGCTCTCTGAAGATACTCCTCTAGATTCGACTTGTTTTACTGCTGGATGGGGATTGAGTGAGTTTGCTTATTTTAGGATAAAGTGTGCCCATTATTTCTAGGATTAGTATTACTTGACAACACCAAACTCACGTTTGTTACTCATTCACAAAACTTGAACACATCAGATTTCCGTGGGAGTATTTGAAGGACTATGTGTATTAGAACATTCCCCAAACAATTGGTCAACTCAAAACTGCAATTGCAGCAAAAATAGGAAAAATTCATATAGAGAAGTATGTGTGAGTGATTTCACGATTTTTCGCATCGCGTGCAAGTCTGTCTCCTATGCATTGGAGTGAATTCAAAAAGTGTTCGATAGCCCTCCTCGCCAATTATCATCACCTGTTAACTATCCAATGTTATGGACTCCTTTTATACATTGTCAATCGTATATTTAATTACGCTATTTTACGTGACAGCAAACCCTCGAAGTTTCACTCCTTCCGACCCTCTCATGGAAGTAGATGTCCAGGTACTTGATATTGGTGTATGTAGAAAAGCTTACAAAGATAATCGGCAAGTTGGATCCTATGTTATGGAGTCTAGCAAACTAATATGCGCCGGGAGTTTAACCAAGAAAAACGATGCTTGCATGGTAAGTGCAATTACGATTTTCCGTACGGCACATCACAACAGCCAATAATTATTCTACTAGAACTAGACTGTACTATGGTAATAAAGATCGCTCTCATTTGTCTGGCATGATTACTTGATTGTTGAATATGCAATGAGAAGTCCTTTTTACTATGGGGATTGTGTTGTAGGAAGTGTGCACTGTAATGTAGATATACTCGTAGATCGTGCAATTACATATGTACTGTATACAGAGTATTTCCTTTTACAGGGCGATAGTGGCGGTCCCCTCGTCTGTCAAAGATGTTCCTCGTGTGAATGGTATCTGGCCGGCGTGACCTCATTCGGTCCAGAAGATAACTGTGGATTACCTGGACATCCAGGCATGTACTCAAGAGTGAAGAGCTTCGAGAGCTGGATCGTCGGTCATATACCATCCTTGAAAGGAAAACAAAAATCATGCGAGTACAAATATGGACCTTGAACCTATTACAAGAACCTGAAGTGATTTAAGTTCATGGGTCGTACTGACGTAAGCCTGTGAAACAATTTGAATAAACAATGAACGTAGCCCTGGTCACGCACGCTATTCATAATTTTTTGCACTTGATGTGAGTTTCTGGATTTGTCCCCAACAAATAGATATTAAAAAAACTTATTCTCAGAGCGGTTCTGCGTAACGTTTTAGTGAGACATGTAATGAATTATCCAGGCGAATGTTGCAACCAATCTATGTTAATGTAAAGGCTCATGTCGAGAGATGTGAAGATAATATTTAAATTGAGACTGGTAAGATTTGTACCAAGTTTTGCCATATTTCATTCAGATAACCAGTTAAACAGGGCCGATCATATTACCTCATTAAAATATCTAATATTATATTTGTGTATAGTAACAAGAACGTCTAGTCTCACTCGGATACTTCATCTTTTGTGTGGTTCTGTCAAATGTCCCATAATGTAGATATTTTGCCTCATTGAATATATCTACAGTGTGTATTATTGTTTTAAATCTTTATTTCGTGTTTATTTATCCGGTGTGCATGTAGTTTTAATTGAAAAACCTTATTTTTATATGATTTGTTCTCGTTCCACATCTAATTTCAACAAGTTTCGTTTTAAGAAATGAAATAGTAGAGGTGTTTAGGAATGTACAACAACATTTTGAAATGGTTCGTAGGGTCGGTTTTCATTCAACACGAACGAGTTCAGCGCGAGTGGAACGCATTCTCTCAGCTACGACGGTACCGTAAACAAGCGAGCAATGCTCAATTATATGGACACGAAGACCAAAACGAAATATTTTACCCACAATTCCCCCAAAACAATATTCTGAACGAAGCTGGATCTGTGAAATGGCTACTGTACCTGTGGGTTCAGTGTAGTTTAGTACCACGAGTACTTCCAGTGGGCACAGATGTAACAATTTTTGCATAGGTCATACCCGACCCCCACCTGTGATTGTGACGTAATTTTAGGTTGTCGTAGTCGCGTGGGGGTCAGGAATGACATATGCAAACGGAAAGCACATTAGAAATGCATGGAAATCACTACACCAGATCTCCGGTACCCACTACAGCACTAATAACCTTCCGACTTTCGCGCAGCATGAATTCGTAACATCAAAAACCAGGACAGCCTTGACGTAGGCCGTCACTTGTACTTGTACCGAGATTTGTTCAGATAAATGGTGTTCATCGAAATGGAATCCACTAAACCAGGGTTTCCCAACCTTTTTATCTCAATTTCCCACTTCCGATTTAGTGGCTGAGTTTTTATTTCCCATCACATATGGACTCACTGGAAAAGAATAATTTTCCTGTCAATAATAATTAGTAACTTTCTTTAATAAACCTTGCAATTGGTGTAGAAGTTCAAACGCCGCGAAAACATTCATTGCGCACTCTAGCGTTCCAGGATAGTAACGATCCGTGTAAAGAAAACCATTGTTATTCATCAAATAGAACATTTCAACGCATAAGATTACAAAGTACGCCTCAGAGTTTACATTACATTACACCGTCCATATCAATTTTGCTTTTTTTTTCTTCATATGATAGACCGGGGTTCGGAATCTATTTTTGAAAATGCGCATTGCTATCGAACCCGTTCACCTTTGACGCCGCAGACTTACTCCACAGAATATTATCACACTCCACAAGACAAAGTTTCATTTATGTCCCACCGATGTTATGGAACTTTTGGTTTTTGCTATTCGTAGGACATCTACAAATGACGCAGTCAATATCACCTTTGAACTCGTTTGAATTGCCCATGTTTTGGAAACTCTTTTATTTTGCAATTATTTTTTAGCAAACTGATGTTTGAAATATGTTGCCTCATTTGATAGGGCTACATAAAACCATTGGTGATGGTCTTAGTGCAAAAAACGCATTGCGGCAGTTGCTGAAAATTTTTCCTTACAAACGTGAAAATAAGCCGAGATGACTATCATCGTACTTTATTTTTACATAAGCCATTATCTTTTAATAACAATTTAGCAGAATGGAGGGACGGGTCAAATATTTGTTCATCAGAGCGCGTGCCTACCAAATATCTCTGAGACATTTGAATAAAAACTGTTTTCTTTTGGGAGGCTCTGCAACGAAAATTTTCGTGCGTAACATTCAAAGCATTGGTGCTCGTTCGAGACATGTCTATGAGGTTGTTATCGGCCGATCAAAGATCAGAATGAGTTACGTAGCACGATCAGAATATCATGGCCAACAACGTGATATTTCACTAAAGTTTCGATTAATTGAATGGGAATCTTTTTCCGCTTCATGGCATATATTGTGATTTTCATTGTGTAATATTTAATAATTGTGTTGTTGTGCGTACCGTTTTAAAGGAGCATTCTTTTTCCACCTGCAACCTCCAAATTTCCTACCGGTTGGGAACCACTGCACTAAACTGAGTGACGGTAAGTGCATTTTTAATCCAAAATTCGGAAGAACCACGGTACACACCTAACCCTTTTCTGATGCTCGGACTTCGTTTCATTTGGAAATATTAAAAGCGGTAGCATGAAATAACTTGTGTATTGTACAGAATAGAAAATAGACAAAAAAAGAACACTTGACGGCAATCAGATTTTTCGTTAAATGCCCAGTCTGCGATGGTATGTTCAGGCGTGTATATCTTTGAGTTTGAAAATGACAAACAAATTTATGTTGAAAAAATCGTTGGGAGACATTTTTGTGGAGCCATTTGTACTAGTTACATAAACAACGTTATTTGTTTGAAAACCTCCCAAGGTTTTCCTTTTAATTTATTTGGCGCTTTTTATATATCGTTCCGTTAGAATATTTACATATATATCAATGAAAACGTTAAATTAAATACTATTATTTAATATATGTTTGTGGACAGAGGATCGGTACTCTAAAACGTAATCACATGATATAATTCTATCATAAAGCAAAAATTACTCTGATTACAGTTAACTAAAGAGAATAGTAGAAAAAGTCATGAAAAACAACTAAAACAAAAGTATCCAACAACGAGAACATCAGTAATGGTCTGAGAACAAAAGGGAAAAACAAAAACAAAAAGTATGCTAAAAATGTTTCAAAAAAAAAATTTGATGAAATTTTGTACACCCCATCAAATTTAATCGCAAAGAAAGGATTTAATAAATGTTCTTCAATCTTCTTCATATTGCATTTCAAGTTCGTTAAAACTGTCACCTAAATATTCCTCGTCATCTTCGCCCACGAGCGAAACGTCCCCATCTTGAAGTTGTTTTTCCAACTTGCGTAAATGAGCATCGTACCAAGCAGCCTTTGTGCGCAATAAGCGCATGGTGACGTCATGACGAGCTTGGGCCTGTTGCATTTGCATGTTGACCTTTTCTATGTTCGCTTCGTGTTCCTTAATCCTAGCAGACATGAGCTTCATTTTCATTCCATGTATGCGTTGACTATTAGTTTTGTTCAACATTGAGAAATTCGAATTGGCTCGCGGACCAGTCAAATGCTCTCGATTGTGTTCTGGAGTTAATCGACGCCGCGGAGGCTGGGTATGCATTGGCTTCAAGGATCTCACGGTTCTAACGTTTGTGATCCTTTGCAGGCGATTGGAAGCTGGTCGAACTGCAGGACTACCAAATTGAGATGGAGTGTTTAATGACCGCGAGAAAGATGCAATCAGTTGCGACGCAGCCAAAGATGAAGAGGTTATTGCAGCTACGCTTGTAGTGTGATCGCCGCCAAGGCGAAAGAGGTTTTCTTCAACGCCGTTTAGGTTCGTTGGGACATTAGTATCAGTGTTGTAACTATTTGGTGAAACGTCTGGTGAGAAGGACTCAATAGCTTGAACTATAGAATGGTCTTGATTTGAAGAGGCTTCCTCATTAAAAGATGTTTCAACGAAAGATCCCTGATCAGATGGTGCTGAATTACAATGTTAGACAAACATAAACTTCCCTCAACTTATAAAGGCTCACACATAAATTTTTACCAATCAAAATAAGCAAGCGCAATGGTATTTGTGACGCTTCAAGACTAGATAACTAACTTTTATTCGGGCGTTCTTGACATCAATTGATTGAACATCTATTGCATCAATTGATTGAACCGACTTAATTTTTATAATAAAAACCAGCTCAAGTATTATCACACCGACAAGATATTTTTTCCTATATCCTTATATATCTTTTTCATAATGATGTATTCAATTGGTTTTTCTGCGGTTTATTTATTACAATTATATTCTCGGGTGCGTGAAAGATCCCAACGCGTTTCATTTTAAAATAAAACTTTTCAAATGTTACTCACGTTCTGCCGTGGATGACGATGGGGCCGGTTCATTGTTTCCTTCCTCGCCAGCAGCGGTCAATGTGAATGCACCACTCATAGACGTTCGGGCTGTAAAAACGCGAAAAAGTAGAGTTATGACCTGTCGAGGCAAACTCAGTTAAATTGAAGCTATCAGGTAAGAGATTATGAGAATCACAAATAACTTTGATTAGCACATCTAGTAGTGCACGTTTAACAATATGTTAAATACGCCTGATGTTTGAGGAGGATTATTCTGTGTACCAACTTCCAATTATGATTACAAGTGATGATTGAAGTTTCTATAAGCCAAGGCGATTTATGCCTGTCACGGGATGAAGACTGGAGTGAGTTTAACGTACTATAAATACACACCAAAGAAAGAACACGTGAGTTAACGACATAACATAAATAACAAATACCAAATAATTTCTTCCCGCTGTACAATGCAGCAGGGTCGATATTGCCTCTGTGTTTGAGATTCTCCCAACATTTTCTCAATTGCTTTACGCTTCTTGGACGCACCTGGAACGAGGAAATAAGTAGTATGCAACATAAGCGATTGGCGCCATTTTATTATAATATCAAAGTTCAATTTACGTTTTAGATGCTGTTCAAAATATATGGAGTAATATACTCGATTCTAGTTGTATTAAATCATAATCAACGTATTTATTCGTTCTTATTAATTGAATTCACATTACTTACATTTTCTTTGGCATTAAATTCCGTTTCTATCGCTTTCCATGCCGCATTTGGAACCCGACAAAACGTTGACATATTTTTTTGGTTGAAAGATCCCTGATAAAGTAAAACAGTTTCAATTTTGAGTATATGAACCATCCTAGAGTTGATGGCTAGTGGGTTAACGTACGTTAATTAGTGGAAAATTGTCCATCACCCACACCTTACCCGCCCTTTTATCGATTGCTGATAGTTTTACACTTCCTCTGACAACGCATACATTTACTTTGCCTAGGGCAGGCATTTGCAAAATTGAATGTGTTTGTTGCACGCACTAAACAAAACAATTTTAGCCAAAATCTCAGCGATCTACCCTTTTCTCAATGGTATTTACTCACCAAATTTGACATATCGCATTGTTCCCCAACTTTAGTATAAACATGCTTTTGGATCTGAAATGAAAATAGTGTTATTTTAATATTGCCAGATGTGCAGCCATACTATGTCGTGACATCACAATACCATTTAACGTGCAACGGGGCACGGTCGACCAAATGTTCCACTTCCTCTAAACACCACAGTGATTTAAATAAACACAAATATTAACCCCCATTTTTCATCGGTTTCAACATGTCAAAATCTCCAAATAAAGTGCTTTCGACGCGGATCCTCTTAGATCAATATTTCGAACAGTTGGATTTAATATTTTGGATACGGGCTTTAAGCAAATGGTTGGATCAAGCATATAGAGTGGGAATTGAAGCCCAACGTTTTCTAGCGAAAAAGCCCATCCGATACAGCCAGTAACATGTTCACTGGTATTTCAGGTACGAACTACAAAATTGTGGTCGATGAGTCTTTTCAAATAACATAGTGACTAAATTTAGAATGGTGGATTCCAATAATAAGCCTATGCGCGTATGTTTATTGTGATAAGCTACAACTGCAAAATGTCTAAAATCAAGACAATATGAAACTCATATCTCTGAAATTACTTTCATTAAAATACAATGGAAATCTTGCCTTGGGCGTAAGTAGCATTAAACTTCTATTTCTTGAAATAACAAATCGAGTAGTTATCGATAAAACGGGAGGTATTTCAAATTGGCGTAAACCAAGCGCGCCCAACCTTTTTAGTGTCAAGGGTCACTTTCAAGCAAGCAAATTCATTGCGGGCTGCAAACGTTTCACTAAACTCAAATACCTGCCAATCCCCTCTCCGCGTTAGAATTTACATAATACATAAAAAGCAAGTTATTTTGCATAATAACAAACAAGTCAATAATGACTGGTTATTGAGTAGGGAATATGTAGAAATGCGATAAGAAAGTTAATTTTAACATATTTTTTAATCGGTAATCGGAATGAAATTAACGTCGCCAATGATCGTATAACAGTATTCGAAATTGTCGAACAGAACGCGCAGTTCTGCAACCTAAATATAGATGTCCAGTACAATCATACCAAAATCACGAAACACATCTCTACAAATAACAAAAATTTAAAAAGTCTGCTTTCATTTATAGTGCGTGTCAAATTGAACAGCCTGGCGGGCCGCATGGTGTAAAGCTGTAAACATTTAAGTCTTTGATAGGACACTCACCAGAGCGCATAGGAATTCTTTCTCTCGCTTCGTAAACGGCACTCTTGACGCTCCAGACGACATCCAAATTTCACCACCCATTTCCACATTGGTCTGTCTGGATTGTTCAAGTTTTATTGACATATCCAATGCATCAGTAACACCGTCATCCGCGTGGTTTTGATCTTGTTCGAAGTTATCGGAGTCTGTCGTAACCCACATATCGCTAATACGCGACTCAGGCGAACGTGTCACAAAGCCCGTTTGTTTGTTTGTGTCATCGGGCATAATAACTATTCTTCTGAAAAATTGGTATTTTACAAATAGTGAATAGAGCTGGAATGAAGAGACTATTTAAAGGAAAATAGAAAACAAGGCAATTTTATAAGTTTGCTTTATAAATTAAATAAAAAGTTGTCTAAGGGAAGCAATCGGTAAATGTTTAACACGGTTCCATTACATTTGAACCCACGTACATTTGAACCCATGACAATTGCACCTGTATGCTATTGCACCTATGGAATTTTTTTTGTTTCACGGATAGTTAAACCCATACTAACCCTAACGCATGGGTTCAAATGTACATAAGTTCAAATGTACGGTCACCGTTTAACACATTCAAATAGCTCGAGTGATCACAAAGCAAATATCAATTAATCTAGTTATTAGTTTGTTTTGTATTAACGTTGTCTGGGGCAATGTCATCATTCACGACTCCAATTTTACACTAAATAAGAGATAGATTTACCGGTATGTTGAGTCAAACTATTTGTAACCAAAGTAGACTATTTATTAATCAAGGTCTTAAGCTTCAATTCTTCCTTTTTAGTTTTTTTGTGAACGCAAACGTAGGTAAAAATTTTGTTCGCATTAATTCGCCACATTATTAATCAATTAAGTCGCAGAGTTTATGGGATCAAGATCTTCGCAAAAATTAACATAGAAAACTTCCACAATTTTTGATTGATCTCGTATGGGTGTCATTTTATGCCACCATGCATACATAGAAGATTCAGATTTTCTGGTTCTGAAGCCCTATCGTTTCTCCTTACTAGGCGATCACACACAATTCCATCTGCCTGAAGATGGCATACCGATCCCAATGAACAGAAATAAACGCTTCGTAGTGAACGATAAAAACATCCGATATATTCAATTTTTAAGATTTAGCAAGCGTATACATATATGTAATCAATGGCGTGGCGCTCTGCATTTTAATACTAGCGGCTGAAATTTACCTACCGATACAATACAGTTGAGCTTTGTCGAATTTTATTTACTAAGAAAAACTAGGCAATACTTCAGATTAGGTCGCTATAAAATGAGGAAACAATGAGTGCATGGTTGGGGCAGAAAATCTTTGTGGTATAGCCGACAAAGCGAGTGTCAGTGAACATGTAACCAACCCATTATACAAATCCATACAATGAAGCACATTTACTCGTTACAGGAAGGTAGGCATCGTGTAATCACGAGCCTGGGAGGTCTTACACCGTTTCGTCGCACACGGTTCACGTACATATAAGTAGAATTATAAATACCCATTTCGGCATATGAATAAGCCTACAACACAGCAGCCGCTTACACATCGTGTTTAGTCGACATGCAACAAGCGACCATTGCATTCTGACACTTACGCACGAAGAGTCATTGATCAAAACCAAAAGCATGTCATGATGACCGAAACGAAATGTCATCTATGCCAGGGTTCCTTATATGTTACAAAACCTAGTTGGCAATTGGCATATGCATTGAATATGATAAAATCCAAAATTAGCTTCGTTCCAAACACGTGAAGTAGACGGCTCGCGCAAACTATCTGTTTATTGTATAAAATAATGTACATTTTTGTCCCAGCGGTGTGGGTTTAGGCCTTGCACAAGCAGTGGACAGAATTTTCCCATCACCATGTTATACCAAAAACAGAATGCCCAAGATTACATTCGAATTATGACACAATGTGTTGATAGCCTTGTAAAAGCCGAAGTGTACTAAATGTTTTCTGTTTGTCGAAAAATGCGCAATTTTGACCATTATAAAATAAATATGGTACGGATAAATATCACTGAATTTAATTTGGCATTCTTTTATGTACAGGAAATTTTAGTGTTGCCGACAAAAGGGAATCTCGCCGTTTCTCGGCCTCAAGTTGCATTGTAAGAACAAGGATTAGTCTAATCTCGAGATCAAATCACGTAATTAATTAAACAACACGCTGTGACAATGCTATCAGTCTACTCCCGGAAACAGCGTTATGGAAATACGAGCCAGACATTTAAAACGTCACGAAAATCGATCGAAGAGAGAGCATTAGAGAAACAAAAATAGTGTGAGAATGTCTGAAGTGTTGAACGCATCTACAACACTCTTTCCGCCCCAAATACCACGAATCCTCTTTTAGAGTCTACTAATAGCCGCCGGCCATGTACGTCTGTGCAACTGAAGAGTTAGTACAAGTCAAGCAGGTAAATTATTCGAACTATCGCTCTAGCTGCCTATTGCTTTTTGAAGGAAGAAATTACAGAAGCGTCAAGTAAATAAGAAATAAAATATAAAACAGTTTGCACATGGAAAAGCGCATTTCTATTTCGACTTCAATCCTCGACTTGCAAACAAATTATATTATTCAAAAGCCATTCAATATGCTCTTTGTGGCTGTCCGGATAATTTGACTAAGAATTGTTTTGCCTCGAAGGTGAATCCCCACAGAAATTCCATAATTTACATAGCACTCGAACTAAGTCAACAACCTGAACCGCACCTCCGACAGACCCGACCGAGATCCCTGATCGCTAGTCTAAGAGACCCGCCCATAAGCTCCTCAACCTTATATAGCAACAAAGCCACTCGGAGAGAGAAAAAATGTGAGCAGTGACGTACTCAGCTCTTTTTTCGCATAACACGTAACTATCTCTCTCGGATTGGACGAGCGTCACTCACTCGACATAAAATTTGTCATTCGCGCGCTGTCTCAGATCAACTCGTTCAGCCAACTCACTGCTTAGATATCGATTGTATACGGACGTCAATGATTTAGGTTTACAACAGTTAGACAATATAATACGGATTGTTTTCGCCACAATGAGAGCTTGCTCATGCCTACCACTCACACATATGTGCATTTGACTGGAATTTCGAATAATAAGGGGTATATTACATCTGCATCAGCTGGGAGGCCATATTTATTGATAACTTCTCAGCAAGATCTGATATCCTGTGGTCGCTTGTGACTTTTCTAAAATAAGATACATTTTGCTTTGAGTAAGCATTTCTGACATTGCTTTCATTATTAGAATTGGTACGGGTTGAATTATGTACATATCTTCAATTTATTTTCAATGATTAAAAACAAGGGGTGTACTACATTTTTTGTCGGTGGGCAATAAAACCAACTTCAAACTATGGCTGAGCACCACAAAAATGTAGTTTTTTTCCATGTACAGTAATAAAGGCACCGGGCAAAACGGCGAACGATTTAACGCAGCGACAAAAGCAAAAAACATTAACGGTACCGGTATGTATTTTACCCATGTGACTGTGTGAGCGCCCTGTTAAACATAAACTGCCAAATTAGGATTGTATGCTTGAAGGGGAACTCTGAGTGTTGACAAACGCAACACTAAATGGCTTGGCGAGCCCGATTTGTGACCCTGGGACCGCCTGTTGCACACCACTAGATTAGGAGTATATATATCTCTACCCTTATTTGCAGAACTCTCGAAATATCATTTCTGTTGAGAAGATCTAATTCTAACGCTATGACATCGCAATAAGCGGTTGAGTCGGTACCAAGACGTGAATATTTATAACTGTTGATAGTAGCGGCAATCATTTAAATACTCTTCCAATATTATGGAGCCATCCATGCATCTCTTTTATTGTTTTCGGAAATGGTTCTATCGATATTAATTCTATTCTTATATGGGTACAATCAATGCAATAATTTTCTTTTTCTAAATTTTTTTGTAGTAAAAAAATTGGAAATTCTGCGAAAAATCAATTCTTTTCGTTGCTTGTAAAACAATATTGAGTGCGTCTGCAATCGGTATCTACTCCACTGGGTTCCAGGCTGCCATGTTATCTGTGAGCTCGGTAGTCGCAGTATCTGTCGGTATTTCTTCATTCTTGGTCTTTTTGAAGTTATTTACGTTTATTTCTCGGCAAATTTTCTTTTTACAATCCATCGTTGCATCTGACAACTCTGTCTTGTTTTTCTGTTCGATAGAAAGAAATTTATAAGGTTGCTGACCGTTCACAACACAACCATGTACAAACTCTTCAACCCCCACGTCAATCTTCTTCGATTCATGTTCAACATTGGAAGATGAAGGATTCATTTGTTGTATTTTTACATTCGTGGGCCCTGGGCGCTCGTCGATCGATGAATTTGATATATCAATAATTTGGGACCTTGTTATTGAATAGTTGTGCCCATTGTTATTGTCCCAAGCAGGCCATCTCTGCTGCGTCGCGCTCAAAACAAAAATTGCTACTGTACTGTCTTCTTGCCACCGCACATTTTTTCAGTCACTGCTGATCCCATTTTATCAGTCACTGCTGAGTAAGCGGGTCGCAGAACATTTTATCATACTATGATACCTGTCAATTTTCATCAACAGCAACGAACAACATACGAAAGTAAAACCCATGCATAAAATAAAAAATCTCCAATAAATTTTTAGCTTAGTAAGCTTTTTGGAATCTTATTAGCTTTACTGTGCGCTCTATATTAGGACGAACCGAGGATTTGGAAACCCTCAACCGCATGCGAAACTTCATCTCACTCGGCCGCGCGCCCGCTGTATTTTTGACTCGAATTTTTTGGTCGACTACCGGAGTATCACTGTTTTACTATGTACTAAAATAAATTGTAGTTTTTGATATTGTATCGCATATCTAGAGATTTTTCTAACGTTGATATCTTGAAAATAATCGTGGGTAGTAGAATTATGATAGAGCGGAGTCGGTGAACATATCAAATTTGTATAATTCGTAACATCGCAAAAATACGAACAAAACAAAAATACGAATTATAACTAGATATAATCGGACAGTTTGACACGCTTCCTTGTGGTCGTTGATTGACGTGATATCCCATACTCATAGTATTGTCCCTATTTTATTGACGCAACCGCAGGTTACATTAAACACACCAATAAATTAATAAGCAAGACATTATAAACAGAATAGTATTGTGCGTGAATTGAAAGCTTTGCGCAAAACAATGAATCGCCTGAATGCTCCGCGGGCCGCACAAAATTCGTTGGCGGGCCACAGGTTCGTCACCTCTGCTCTACTCTATGAAATACGCCAAGCTTGGTATGAGCCAGAGCTTCTTTTTTTAATCACTTACGCATAACGGTAATAATATATTATTACGTGTTTTGTGACGTAATTATGTTAAGAGGTATTATGAAATAAACAGAGTCCAATGCTCAACTGTACGGACACGGAGGTCAAATAACTACACCAGAAAGTCTAATTTCGGATTTCACCCCATACTAAGCGATAACTTGATCATTTATCGTCCTTGTAACGCCAAACTCAGCTGGTGAGATATTTTAACTGCTGTTCGATATTTTGTTGTGATTTAAAGTAAGTTGTTATTATATCAATTCCTCTATTTAGACGTCCTCTGCCATCGACGTCCACGTGACTGGACTCTCTGGTACGATAACATATTTAACTATTTCCAAATCCATTCTTGCTGGTGACTAGGTGAGATGTGATGTTAGCATTCAATTCTTCTATACAAAAAGCATGCTCGTCTAAAAGCACAGCCGATATATAAATACATACATACAAGTTTAAAGTGTTGTTCTTCAAACAATTCAAATATTAGGCACCCGATAACACACGTGTAATTACACATATTACTTTTCTACTGTCTCTTTGTTGCTATAAATATTTTTATAGATAAATCAAGGTTTAAGACTCCAAAACTTGATTAGAGTTCAATTTTATTGTGTGAACTGTCAAGCCCGAATACCCATGCTAAACAGTAATATGAAAAGTATGTTGCCCAGATATGATTAGAAGTAAAGGGCATTGCGTTTTAACGAATGCAAATATCTCTCTTTCGAGTCAACATATGTCCCTTATATTGAAATAGGTTCAGGTACAGAATAAATTAAATGTTTAAACTCATCATTCTTTTCGAGGATGAAAGAAAAGTAAGTCCCTGTTTCTCTCTCCATTTCCATATTACGTTACAAATATAAAAAAAAATTGTACTGGTACAAGTTTGATCTAGGTTTTGAACAAAATATCTTCACATAAAAATTGGTTGAGTACGAAAAAATAAGTCACGTGCGACTACTGTTACATGTAGAAATCGATTCACTAAAGCCTTGGAACCTTAACCCTGAAATTATTAATGCCATATCTCACTGATCATGTCGTTTGATTTTTAACTGTCTCAAGATTTCGAAGAATTCGTTGGGTATTGTAGTTTCGAGTTGAGACCTGACAACGTGTAACCACAGTGTAACAAATCGGACAGGCAATGCTGAATCGGAAATATTCTGACACTTCAAAAATAGCAAATCATCGTATAGCAAAGGCTACTTTATAATCCTCATATAGTCCTATACAGAGACTTGAATAGGTCACATACAAATCATTCTCTGCCTTACCTACCTTTTTCGTAGAGGATTAATGATGTGTAGACGTGACGTAATCATCACGAGAATAATTTTTACAAATTTGAACATGATGACTTTGGGGCCTTGTAACATTCTGTTTTTTGATACCGACCAATCACCTAATTTTGTAGCTTTGCGATGGATGTTTCCCGATTATAGAGATTCCAGTAGTTTCATTTGTGCTTTTCGAACTAGATGCCAGTGTTTTTATTTGCAGCTGATTTAACACGTTAGGACATAATGATATGATGAAACGAATATGTAAGCGATTTTGCACGCGTCAACTCGTTGAATATACTTTTAAAATGTCGTCCATATATAAGTACGAATACATGTTTATAAGAAAATCTTGTACCTTCAATTATACAAAACGATAGAGCCCAATGAAGATAACAGAAATGCTCAAAAAGGGCGCAGCACAAAGGCACCGTCAAACAACAACAAAAATAACAAGAGAGCATTGCTCAAATATATGGACACACAAAACAATTCTCCAAAAATCATATGCGGTGGCTTACTAGCACCTGTATCGGAGTACCCTGCCGAGACAGGAACTGTCATATTTTTTTAGGTCCTGTGACAATGATCCATTCTTCTCGATTATATTGAAACATCAATTGAAATACCAATAGATCCGTGTTACTTTTCCATTTTAAAAATTACATTTTTCCACGATATTTATATGCGGTACGGTAACTTACAAGTGTACCTGTAATGCCAGACGCTTCTCTTTTGTGAGACAGATAGACCAGACCGAAATTTTGCAGATCCTGTGACGATTTCGTTTCAACGTAAATTGAAAAAAAAAAACTCATTCGATTTATCACGATATTTATAACAGCAGATACCACAGTCTACAAATATATTGACACCAAGCGAAAAAGTGCGGTACTTCAGTAGTTTACCGTATCTTTAACATTACCGGTAAGCTCATAAAACTCCCGATTTTTGAGTAGCACCGATTTTCAGAATCAGCCGTCACGCTTGGCAGATTAAAAACCGTGTTCCCATATTTAAAAAGTTATACAGCGAAATTCATACGAAATTAGAAATAAATAAAAGTAGCCTCCTGGAGAAATATTCCATTCTTAACCACTGAAAATTTCAATGCAATTGGTCCAGTAATCAAAGAGAAAAGCGACTTTTTCATAACGATGAAATTCTGTGTCAAAGAACAAAAATAAGAACAACAACAACAAAATATTAAAACGATCCATATGTCCACTAACGTGTCCAACAACAATAATTTAATAATACGATCCATAAATGTACTTCACATCCAAGCGATAAAAACGAGTTAAACCTTTTACTTATGCCTAGGCTTTTGAGTGGAATATCGGGTCATATAGGACTCAGACAAAAAAATGAATAAATAAAAGTAATAGCGACTTTAAAGATTTAGTTAATCCTACGTATCATTTTTGGAAAGATGTATAGTTCTATTTAATCTATCTTCTCTCAGGTGTAATAACTCTCGTCTATTATTAGAACTGTTGCAGTTTCAATAAGAATAAGCCGAGAAAAGCACCAGAAAATTATTATAAAATAATTGAACTTAATTTCATCTACGTCAAGTACTTGCGTGTAACAAATATCCGTCAACAGTTTTTGCCACAGGCTAAACGGCAAAAAATTATTGATAACTGGAAGAGTTCAAAATATTATCCAAATAAAGAATCAGAAGCATCCCGGAAAAGAAAATATACCGCGAAATTTCAGTATAGATAGATCATCAGTAACTAAAGAAAGAAGATAATATTATGCAGCATTTTATATGTAATAAGAGTAGTAAAACATAAAACAGAAAGGACAGAAAAAGAATTGCTAGTTTGTTTCAAAACAACCACCTAAATCAAATATCATAAATTGATTTGACATAGCAGCGCGCTGAGGAATATAATGCAATATGCTTAGTATATTCGTTTCGTACTTTTATAGGGAAAGGGAACCCTCAACCCAAAACATTTTTGTTAAAATTGGAAAAAAATTCAATAATAAACCATTGTGAATAATATTTGTGATATCATAGTATATATTGTAAATGATGTTGAAGTTTAATGTTTATAATTACCTATATCTATGCACAAAATGACATTTTCTATTTACATTCTATTATGCGTTATTCATATGTATGTTAGAATTAACAATAAAATTAGCGAGGGAGTAAGCATGATAATCTGAGAAAATCATATTCCAACCGATTTGGAGAAAAAGTCAGCAAAAATGTTATTGTTGTGTATGACGCTACTGATTTGGACACCTTTGTTTTGTGCTGGACAATCGTCAAGTAAGTACACTAATTATTTGCCCCTCCAATAAAATTTCCCACTATCTAAAAAAAATCAACAAAAGCATGGACCTTGTCCTGTGTTCAGCCATGTATAAAAATGACAAGTGAGCGTTTTAGACGACTTGTAGATGCAATAGTTGATTACTACATCACTCGTTTATGCGGTGACCGTACATTTGAACCCACGTACATTTGAACCCGTATATCCGCGGGTTCAATGTATATGAGGGTGCTAAAATCCATGGGTTAGGGTTAGTATGGCTTCAAATATCCGTAAAAAAAAATCCATAGGTGCAATAGTATGCAGGTGCAATTGCCGTGGGTTCAAATTGCGGGTTCAAATGTAATGGAACCCGTTTATACACCTAACCAAAACCTTTTGCTAAACAACACCAATTTCTATAAAATTTCGTATCTATTTTCAGAAAAAATGATGCAATAAGAAATTCATATTTTGTGGCACATGTTTACAGGTTGCATTGACGAATATCCAATTGACGCCTGTCGCATTTTTCAATCAAATGGCCAGTGTCAAACAGACGTTGGAAATCTTTGCAAAGTGACATGTGGAAAGTGCAGTTTGGGCCCGGTTTTTCGCCCACCATTGCAACAAACTCCGCCCCGACCAGTAACTCTACCGCAACCAGTTGGTGTGTATGTTTCAGTTAGGGAAACATAAAACTGAACTGAAAATTGAATTATTGGTTATTAGGTATTGATAGAGCTAATGGCCCGAAAGCATCCAGTTTTAAGCATTATATTTGTATACAATTTGCTGTTACCGAATCTTTTTATTTTTTGAAATACATTCCAATTCCGTATTAGTGAACGTGGTATTGATACTACTATTTTTCTGCTTTGCCTGGCTCATGCTAACCTAGTCAGAATTCTTACCGTGTCTTAACTGTATGCCCTCGCCTTAGGCTCCCCGATACTTTGATGTGCCGAACCGAGAAATTAAAACTCTTAAACTCAGTATAGTTCCTTTCCTAGCGATTTTTGTCCTTGCCATTGGGTGCCCAAAAGAACTTGGTTATGAGTTAGGTCGTGAAATATTCCATTGACAAAATTTTAAAGACTCTGAGACTTCATGTTCATAATTTCCATTTCAGCTTGCAATGATCGGGACGCGCAATGTTCTACTTGGGTTGCATCGGGCTACTGTTTCACGGTAAATGAAGTTGCCAGACTTTGTCCGAGATCGTGTAATTCTTGCGTACAAATAGCAGGTAAAATGCATGTTTTGGTCTACAGATTACGTATGTGATCAAATTTACTCTGCATTTCTATCATAGCTGTTGTTACAGATTTAATTTTCGAGGATATTATAATGAGGATTCTTCCACAAAGGTATCTTTTCAATTTTTTTGAATTGAGACATGTCGACACCCAAAGCAACTTTATTTTGGTTTTGTTTTTCTTTGATTTAGTTGTTTTTCAAGAAAATGTTTGTTATCCGTCTGTCGTGTGGTCGTGGGGAAATCCGTCCAATGTTTTGATTACGACAGATTGCAATGCTAAACATTGATTCGAAGGTGCTCCTTATTTGTTCGCGGTTTATCGCCGCCTGGTACAACGACGTCGTTATTAATGTAGCTACGATAAATGATACAACCAAGAAGTTTTTTGTATTCTAGAATGCTTTATACTGATTTAGGCGGATAATGTAATTAATGGGATTAGTAGATATCCAGTAACCGCAAACAAACAACTGATTCTTATCCACGGAAGTGTAAAATACACCAGGGTTGGTTGAAAGCTGGAAACTTTTTCAAATTTTAAAAAAATACATTAAAAGTAGACGCGCAAATAAAATTCCAATTTTGTGATTTATCTATGTGAGGAGATAATCATGGCATACGCGATAACTTGACATTTGCAAAAATTGAAATAGGCAGACCTCTGATCATGTATATTCCAGGATAGATATTTTACAATTTTGTGCACCATTATAATATATCGAAACCATTATTGTTAAATACCTTGACCTTTCATATTCCTTTTGAGTACTCAAAGTTGATACGAAGAAATAAATTTTAAAAACACGAACTTTGAAAATTCAAATTACTTTTGAATTGAATCAAATATCTTTCATACCCATTCTTTATTGGATTTATTTTATTTAATTGCAATTTATGGGTATGTAACACTTCAGATTAGAGACTGTTCTTAATCACTATAGTTCGCATTGTTTTTCAGGACCAACAAGTGGAACATGGACGGGTTGGGGACCTTTCGGGTCCTGTAGCAAAGCATGCGGGTCCGGTCTGAAAACCCAATACAGAACCTGTATTGGAACTTCCTGTATTGGATCTTCCTCAAGAAGTCATTCCTGTTTCCTACAAGCCTGTGCTGAACCAAAAGGACGATGGGAAATATGGGGAGCATATGGATCATGCTCCGTAACATGTGGTAGAGGAGAAAGAACCAGATTCAGACGTTGTATTGGAATAAATTGTATTGGCAGTTCTTCATCGACAACAAATTGTGTAAAACCGTTGTGTGCAATAGGTATCATTAGCCGTTATGTGCAATAAGTATGAAAAATGTCGGGGGCATCAAAAAAGTACAAAAACAAAAATTATAAACTGGTTTAGGAGTAAACATGCGAAAAGATGGCATCATAATATTTTGTGTAATATAAGGGAGATCGTGACCACTGCGTTTAAATACGAAAAAACTGTTCACCCGCGTGGCTCGCAAAAGCGTTATATACGAAAATATTGTTTTATGTTTTTTCTGGTGTTTATTGACAAAAATATGACATTGATAAAATCAATTAGTGATTTGTTGAATATATGCAATAAATACTCCAGCGCTCATTTATAAACTATTTATTTATTTCAGAACCGTTGCCATTTTCACCGTTATTTCCAGATATTTCATTTATTATTCCAAATATTCCCACAATTCCCGATATTTCGGATTTCAAAAGAATAAGAGGATGCACTGATGATAGATTTTGCAAATCATACATTGCTTTCAATCCCGGGAAATGTTCCGAATCACTTGTAGCTGCTGCATGTATGAAGGCTTGTGGAAAATGCAAAGGTGGTTAAGATTAGTTTATTAAGTATTTATAGTAGATAAAATATAACAATTTGCCAAATAGTAAGATCCTTTCATTTTCTAACAAAAGATCGGAAAGTCATGTCACATGAATAAATACCCATTTATTATTGCAAAATACTTTTTCTTGCATATTTAGGCGGTTCAACTGGTACATTAGGAAAATGGACGAGGTGGGGATCCTGTAGCAAAACGTGTGGGGCAGGAACAAGGACCAGAACACGAAAATGTTCTGGACGCTGCGTAGAAACACTAAAACAAACGGAAAAATGTACAATCAGAAAAACTTGCCCGAAAAAACGTGAGTAAGAATGCCGTTTTCGCGAAAAATTTCATTTTCTCCCTTCTATGGATAATTTCGATATCTTCGAGATGAAGCTAAGAACTTTTCAATAAAGAAAAAAGCTAATATTAAGTAATCTCGTTTTGTCACTATATATATTTTACTAGTAAATAATAATTTATTAATTTAAATCATTTTATCTTCATTTCAATACGATCTGTTAATCCAATTTAGTTCGTGAATTTTATTGCTCATACAATTTAGAACATTTATGAAATTCTCTATCACGTTCATTCAATGTTGGCCGCAAATTTGTAAGCCGCCAGATGTCTAGCAGAATACATATTTGCACTGAACAAGCATAACGTTTAGGAATTTGTTAAATACACATTACAATTTTTAGCACCTAAAAAATCAAAATGGTCCACATGGGGTGCGTATTCTTCTTGTACAAGAACGTGTGGGGGTGGTACGAAAACTAAGAAACGACGTTGTCGCTACGGTAAATCTTGCAAAGGCTCTTCAACCTCAACAACAAAGTGCAATGTTCAAAAATGCAAAAAACGTTAGTATGGGGGTCCGACAATGTACGTTATAATTGTCCCCCTTTACTGTGCAACTTTGACTAACTTCGAAACTAACACGAAATTGGTGAAATTTTTACTCGTGTCAAGTTTACAACTAATCAAACTAAATTTTACCTGTTGTTTGTCGCAAATATACCATTGAGTTTTCTTAGAAGCCTGGGATAACGCGGAATTATCGTCGAAAAATATTTAACGCCATAATTATTCTACATTTTAACCTCAAAGATGAAACCAGGATCCCAAATTTTTAATCAATTTTTTTTTCTAGTTATTGACTGGCAAAAATTTTTACCATCACTTTGTATATTTAGGAGGGTGGAGCCCTTGGTCAAAATATTCAAAATGCACAAAAAGTTGTGGCGGAGGAACGAGGACCAGAACTAGAAAATGTTATGGTATATTCTGCGGATTAGGATCTTCTAGACAGACTGAGAAATGTAACGTTCAGAAATGCACGACAACTAAAGGAGGTAAAATACCATTTACCTTCAGTATAGTACTTTAAGGTGATTTTAAGTATGCATCATCTGGAACTGTGACTGCTGCTCATGAGTTTTGTTAATCTTGTTATAACCATTTTGTATTACTTGCGGTCCGCAAATAGCAAAATTCAACGAAAGTAAATTAAAAAGCGTGGTTTGATGCAATATCAAAAATTCTTGATTTCAGAAACAAATAAATCATTTAATTCAATTTAGTTTGGGATAATTGGGGCCCGTATTCAAAATGCACAAAAACGTGTGGAACCACGGGGACTCAAACCAGAAAAAGAAAATGTAAAACAACGAACTGCGTTGGAAGCTCAACGTCTTCGAAGAAATGTAACCAAAAGCGATGTATCCCTTCATCATCAGGTATGAAAATATTACTAGACATTCGTCGTAAGTGAGGTGATGGTAAATAAAAGTAAGGGGGTAAACACAGGAGTCAATGACCAATCAAAATTAAAAAAAGATTAAGCACAACCACCCTAGCAATTGACATCGATACCTGTGGAGCTTCAACTGATTTTGTCAAAAAATAGTGAACCATATCTCTATGGAGTACCACGTGGTGGTGCAACATGGGAAAAAAATAAATTTGGAGTGAAATATGGAGCTTTATTGGACTCTGAAAATATTTGAAGAATATAGTAAATGCAATAGCCTCTTAGCGACATCTCCCATCTGACATACTCAAGTTTGAAATCGATTGGACAATTATTTGACAGGAAAAGCCGTTTTTCCACAACATCAATGACCACTTCGACCACCCCAACAAGATCAACGACAATTGAATTCTGTGGGCATGGTCGTTGGAGACAGTTTTTCAGCCAATTTTTTCTTATTTTTTACAGGAAGTTGGAGTAAATGTACAAAGACTTGTGGGATCGGTACTCAATATAAATTTGATTCCTCAAGTTGTACATCTGCATCAAGTCCAAGATGTCTTCGCACTTTTCGAGCATGTAATAAACAAAGATGCCCAAATAGTAAGTGTCAGATACAGCTAACATTAAAGCTGATCACAGGATTCGATATTCTTATTCTTCGCATTATTCACTGATCACACGGTTCGATATTCTCATTCTTAGCAATATTTTCTCTGAGTTCAATATTCTTCTTTATTTGCTCTAGGCCACCATAGCGAAAGTTCTTAAAAAATATTCCTGATGTTTAAGTGACTAATAAATCGACACACACCCTTACTGTGAATCGAGTACGGGATCTGGCGTTTTGCTGAATAGTCAAAACGGTCAAATATTATATATCATTTTTCGCACTTGCCTTTGAGAAAGATTTTTGCACCCGAACATTACTCTTACTATATTACCGTATCGGTTTTAGAAAGTTGTCCGAGACCCAAGAAACTGAGATATGGTTCGAATCATGCTTGTTGCGAATCCGCAGAAAGTAATGTTCAACGCATTATTGGTGGAGATGGGGCTAGTATACAAAACTGGCCTTGGATGGTGAGTTGTTTAGCGACTTAGTTCTGAAAATTCCTATGTTTATTATTCGTTCCTCGATCTCGGTAGTTTTATGTCATATTTTAGGTATATACAAAGGAATAAAAGATAAACAGCGGGATCGCCAGTCGTTTTAAAGTGACTAAGAGTAAAATTTATTTGACTGTATAGTATAAAATGGTAAATTTAGGTATCCGTATTACTAAAACAAAATGTAAAAATGGAATCAAGAATAATAATGAAAACATGTCTTAATTGAATAGTTCGTAGATATATCTCCACAAAATACTTATAGAGATACTGGAGAACTCATAATTATCTTTTTGATAATTATGCATATTATATTTTTCAGATTCTTGTTTTGACCGGCGAGGTCTGTGCTGGAACTCTGATTCATAGACAGTGGGTGTTGACAGCAGCTCACTGCTTGAGGTAAAAATTGCGTTAACAAATTCTATATGAACTAAATGTGATTAAGACCACGTAAAACTAATCTTAGAGTGCTCTGATTCTTGGTAATGGATAGCTGGTCAACCTTTTTTCTGTAAAATTGCCAAATCGATAAAAATCCACAATAAATCAGTATTGAAATAATATGTGATAATAGCTATAAACTATATTTACCGATTCTTTTTATTGCCCATTTAACTTTGAACGATATATATAACTACGTTACACAACATAGGTAAAAGAAAACGGTTTGTAAGTTTGTTTTAGATTGTAATCTGAGTTTATATAAATATATGTATATATATATATATATATATCGGTCCCTTTAAAACGCTGATAATTTGGTCGTTACCTTGGTTTGACGTAAAACTCGATGACTTGAAGGATTTTGGTTATTAGTGAAAAAGAAAAGGGTAGAGATTGACAATACGGCAACTCAAGACATGGCTGCTACACCCCGTCCGATAATAAATTTTTGGCTAAGTATTTTTCATCTTTATCGGTAATTTGTAAGACTCGTCAATCGCGTCATTTTTAACAAACGTTCACTCTATGTTTATTACCTTTGCTGCATTTTATCTAATGTTTATTGATGATTCAGTCGTATTCCCTATTTCATATTTATTTGTGTAATGAAATATTTAAATACTTTCCAGTTCCAATCCAGTTGATCGAAGAAAAACACAAATATATGCAGGGATTGAAAAATATTCTGATCACCACAAGACTAATCCCATTGCAATTGAAAGAGTTATTGTTCACCCTGAGTTTAACTCCAAAACTTTAAACAACGACATCGCTTTGATCGAGGTATCAGTTTAAACTATTTATGTAAATATGAACATTAAAACTTTGCGTTCTTTTGCGGTTCATAGTTTTTCTGTGCAGTCCACATTATTTGTATAAAAGTTTCTGTTTTCTCTTAGCGTTAGAAATTCAGTCAATATAAACGAAATGAAACAAGTTGTGTATCAAGTGGTTCCGCGGGCTATCCATCCCAAACATTAGCTATAGCAGGATTATATGCTTTACAATATGAACAATTTCCGACTCTATCCATTGAATTCGAACAATTGACTGTAATTACCAAATCGGGTAATATATATTTATACAGTTGTTTTTCAACCACAAATATTATTTTCTAGCTGAAACAACCCCTTTTGATGAAAAGCACTATAAGGTTTGTTGATCTTCCATTTGGCGAAGAAACACCGATCGATTCAATTTGTTACACAACTGGATGGGGAGTTAGTGAGTCGATAATTATGTTTAGTTCAGCTTTTTTTATATCATCGTTCCCCAAACTGGTTTAAACATGCGGAGCTGCTGGTCGGGTCGTATATTCGAGGGAGGAGGGGTAATTATGTTCGAAAGGATTGCTACACTCCTCGTCACCGTAGGGTGGTTCACGTAACCGCTGGCCAGTTAAAGCTTGCTTCCTCAGCCATGCATCTTAAAACAAAATAAATGGCTAACTAATTTCATACCCGACATGGAATGGTAACCGGATGAGAGTCCGTGGTTCGTTCGCCATATGATTAGGCCATCTTATTTCCTCTCCCCCGGGATAAATATGTTAATCCTATCTCATCCTAAGTTAAAATTTTCTACGAAATAAAAAATTAAGTTGACAAAATTGAAATGAACAAAATAATTTTTATAACATACAAATGTATAGGTCTGCATAGACTTCATAGAAGTGCACAAAATTAAGAATTGTACTACAATGTTAGCTATTATTATTATTTCTAAATTGGGTCTGTATTATTATTATTGCTGAATGTGTTAAAAAAATAATCGTTTCCCAATACTCTTAACAATTTTATTATATAAAATATCGAACATTTCAAAACTCTGAAGCGGGCGTTATTTTTGACTCCCATGCATTCATTTTGACTTGTGAAAATTACCGCTAGGTGCCTCAATCTACATTAATTCGGCCATGGATCGATTGGTTGAACATTTTCTCATTTAATTGCGACGCTCAGTTACAATTTTACCTCAGGCATTGCTCCGACAGACAGAAAGTTATTCAGTACGAAAGTTAGGTGTGAACGTTGATAAGGGCATCAAGAACGAAAATTTAAAATTTATCAACCCCTGCTACTCCTCTAATGATTGGAAGATGTTTCGGGTTGTAACATATATGTATATATATAATCGTTTTTGTATAATATCGATCTTTTTAATGTAGCTCAATTTAAGATTTGTTATTAGCATTTGTTACAAGCATTATCTTATTCTATATAAGTTATGAAATTTCACACTAATTTTGGAGTATTACTGCTAACATGTGTTCCATGTCCTGATCTTTCTCTTCTATTCAAATAATATTTGATTTTGGTATCTTTTCTTTTTTTCCGCAGCTCATCCTGATGCAACTGTCGAATCCGAACAATTGCAAAAAGTCAGTTTACAAAATTTTGACATGGCATACTGTAGAAAGCAATACAAAATTGGAAAAAATTCAGAAGCCCAGAAAGCTATGATTTCTACTACTACTAAATTTCTATGTGCAGGAAGTCTTACCGACAACCGAGATACGTGCTATGTAAGTCTGAGATGGTGTTTTTTGAAATAGGAAAAAATCAGCATCAACAAAACCACAAATCACATCCCTCTGTATAATGCTACATCACACACAAATCAATAAAATGCTCAAGAAATGCCAAAATTTTTATATGACATTCTTATTATCTTTTTGCCAGGGCGACAGCGGCGGTTCATTAGTCTGCCAAAGATGCTCTTCCTGTCGCTGGTACATCGCCGGAATAACGACATTCGGATTTCCGGGTACATGTGGAAGAGTGGGTTATCCTGGATTGTATGTCAAAGTTCGAAGCTATGAAAACTGGATTGCCAGTTATGTAACTGAGCTAACAAGGGGTCGCAAGTCATGCCCGTACGAATATGGGCCGTGAGGTGGTTGTTTTAGGCATTGAATGTTGTAAATATCGTTTCTCGCTCTGTGACGTAGTCATTAGTTTCGTTAGCTGTTGTTTTTATAGTGAGCACTGGGTACTCATATTACGGATTTTTGACTTGACATAATTATAAAGTTAAATTTCCCTAGATTTTGCTGCCATGAACATTTTGAACCATGAATAAATATATGACAGTTCCATAAGACTTGATTGAATGACCATGTGACTGCTCGGTATGTTTTTAGTTACTTCTGATTATGATATCATTTGGAAAATACACATGAACCTCCAACCTAAGCTGCTCCCCCAAGCTTCAAGACGTATAAAACGATGACATACATTGCCACTCATGCGTAACGGAGCAGCACCACAATGCAGCGGACTGAAAAGTTTATTTAGAAATTACGCGCGAAACACTGAAGCGTAACATAGTTTCATTGGAGTACTCCTGTAGTGTGTGTACCAGGTTAGTGTTAGGCCATAATTTTAGTCCTATTTTCCTTATTTTAGTTATATTACGAGTTCGGGGACTGTCTGTGTTAGCCAAGTGAATATACCCCCTGCACATATGCTTCCGTTCCTTTACACAACTTGATGTAAAGTAGGCGAACAAAATTAGCTAGACATATTGGTAGACACACTTCTGGAGCGCCTCCATTTGTGGTCTGGTGGATAGGTTTGTGTGGACTTGCAAACTTTGCAGGCGCAGCCTTGGAGGCCAGAGGGCCACCACCTTGTGGCGAATGAGCCTATCATGACTGGACAGTGGTCTCATTGGAGGGGAAATTCTCAATATGGCATTCTTATCGTATTAGCACAGGAATCTGGAATCTTGTTGTTTGTAAGTGCCTTTTTCCATGCCTGGCTAATATTTGGAGCGATGGTCTGTGTTTTTTTTTTTTTCAAGACTGTCAGAGTGGAATTGTTCACCAAGTTGCCCTTTAACAATTGCAATATTTGTTACAATGGGACTATTCTGAATTTGCTAAAATTAGGAAATTGATTCAAACAGAGTTGTGATAACACTGACGGGTTGAGCTTAGGGGATAGAAATTATAGCCTACGTGCCACATATCTAAAACATATTATGCTTCCCACAGTTATGTATATATTTGGCTGAACTTGACAACAAATATTTAAGTGAATCTTTTTTTTTGGCTTCTGAAAATGTGCTACCGTTGTGCAATGCTTGGGATGTGCTAAAGAATTGTTTTCCTGATTTGGCTTGGACTTCTCTAATCTAATTTATCGTTAATCGTTGTTTACTTACAATGCAGCGCCACAAGTCTGTACCGTTCAGTATCTCTTGGCATTTTAATGGCCGGCCGTTACTTTACTGAAAGGCTGTATTTCTTTGCAGTGAGTGTGCATGACCTTAATTTGAGGAAATTTTCATGAAAAACACGATTTTCAAAATAAATTCCCATAAATGTAAAATTATTACATTCAATTCAATATATCCTACTGACGACCGTCTTTATTCATAACTGGATCTTTAATTCATGACGTTATGTATATTTATCAATTTACAAAAAAGGCAAGCAAGTAGCATAATGTAATAAAAAAGCAATATAATGACATTAATGAAGTAAAACATATTAACTGTTGTATCGGATTAGAAATGACTAGAGAAATCAAAATGTTACCTACACTTGTTTACAGTTAACTATATGCAGGCCACACACATACACGAACAGTTGTATATTTTTAAACATTCGTCTTTAATATTTTTTCGCAGTAGCTAGTGTTTTATCTCCTTGTGCGCCATAGCGATTTTTGTAATTGAATCAGGCGAATAAATGAATTAAATAATATGTTTCAAAATGTTATCGTTTTCGCTTTGAGATAATTTTCACGTTACAAGTTTTGCATTAATGATACACGTTTCGAACTGTGGTTGGAACTAAAATTAAAAACGCCTGAAATGTGGTATTTCAGCAAAGTCAAGCGTATCGTCTGCTTCGAACCAAAATGTGCTAGTAAGAAATCCCGTAGCAGAAAAATATGAAAATTGATAATAGTAATTAATTGTTAACAGTCTTTTATCAATAAAATATAACAGAAATGATACATGAGTGAAAACATATCGATCAGTCCAAAATCGCTTTTTCCTAACACCAGCTAAAATATTTTACCAAATCAGTTTGTAATGCTGACTATTTGTGCTGATTTATGGTCCATACTTATACGGGCACTTAACAGGCGACTGATTCAAGTCTGGGATGAATTTGCACACCCAGTCTTCAAAAGCTCTCGTTTGCGTGAAGAGATTAGGGTGGCCACGTTTTCCGCAACTGCTTCTTCGATTCGTTGACGTGACCCCAGCAATATACCATTCACAGGATGAACATCTCTGACAGATTAATGGACTCCCTTCATAACCCTTCAAGGAATTTATAAATCGATTGATCATTAATGTTGCAAACGGGTTGTAACTGTTCTATATGTCGTTTTCGAGGCTGAGGGCAGCACAAGAGGATCAACTCGGATTTTTTATCAGAGTTTAGGTTTGAGAAAACGATCTCTTCGCTCACACCACAGTTGGTGATTTCAAGTTTGAGGATTGCCTCTAATAAATGTTTTGTCAGATTTTTTTTATTTTTTATTATGGCTTGTGTTGTTTGACTCGCTCTGGGTATGGTATCTAAAAGGTGATTCCATTCTAACTTTTCGATCAAAAATACCAGGTAAAATATAATTTAGTAGCAATATGAGTTACGATTGGCTTTTTCACCTAGGTCTATTTTCTGTAGACTGGAGATCTTGAAAAGTTCATGAAAATCTGCCTTAAATTATATATATTTATACTTACGGTGCAAATTTTGTTTTCTTCTGTTAAACTTCCGGCACATAACATTTTAGGTGATTTTTTCATGACATAGTTTTTCAAAATCTTGTCGTCTTCAAATTCCCTCCTACAAACGTTCATATCAAATATTTGCTGATCAGTTTGGTGCACTGGATTCGAAGAAGCAGAAATTCGGAGAGAACGATCTGTGAATTATGATTTTTATTTAGAAAAGCCATATTTAACTTGTACTCCGTTTAACTTCATCGAATCATCATTCGTTAAATTTAGTGACTCTAGAATCTAGATAATATTCGTTTATGTCAAGACAAGTATCAGATCCTACTGTTAGTGTTAGGTATGCACGGTCAAACAAATTCGTTGTTCATACCATTTCAGTAATTTGGTGATATTGATTCTTATTTTTTAAGTTAGGTCTATAGAGTCTGGTTTTGAGGAATGTCTAGAATTTCAAAGTGACTGCAGTATTATAACTTACTTTTACATGAATTATATATAATATGACGTATACTTACTTATTCCCCAGCCTACAACCATACAAGTTGTGTCTAGTGGTGTGACTTCGTTTCTTGGAAAACTAAGGAAATTGGCATATCTTGATTGCGCAGGCTTAGTTAACTGCAAAAATATATATACTGTATTGTAAAACGCTCGTTAAAATTGAACTTTTTTAATTTCATTAGAGGGTATTTCTACTATTTCATCTAATATACATTGGTGGTTAAAAGTAATTTCTCTTCTATCAGCAATGTGCAGTTACGATCCAGTGAGTCACACTTCTCCGGATCGCTCGTGATTGACTTCGTACTATCACCTCTAGTGGGCGCTAATGGTTTGACTTACATGAATTCATACTGGTTATAAAGTCCCAACTTCCAACAGAAGACAAAATCGTGGCAATTGTTTGTAATTAACAGAGATAGATATCTGATTTTCGCTTTTATTTGTGAGGCGTGTGATACTAACCTGTATTAAAGCAATGTCATTTTGCATCTGCCTGTATTTTGGATGGGGAATAGTTCTCCTCACTCTGTACTTGTTTTTTGACGTCGAATAAGCAAGATCATTAATACCAACGTAAACAAACATACGAGAAGTACTCGTTTTCAAGCTTCCGCTCCTGTAAATATATGGAAATACGTTTAAAATAATAAATGAGCTTAGCAGAAAATATGTCAATATAAACACCATCGTTCGTTCTGCATTTCTGATATACAACGACCTCGAATATGTGAAGTTAAAAATTATGCAGGTTAGCTATTGACAAACGATTCAAGGTTTGGGAGTCCACAGGATTATTCATTTGCAAAAAATTAATTGCAAAATCCAATGCAACTGAATTTGAATACATATTTCGGAGTAAATTTTTTTTCATAGATATATATATATATAAATGAAAATGCTCACATTACGCAATGCGCAGCTGTTATAACCCATTGTGGATGAATTAATGCCCCATTGCAAACGTCGTTAAAAGATGTGATCAGTGCCTGTAAAACAAATGTGAATTTATTGAGCGTACACCATGTACACAGCCGATATAACAGAATAATAGGACTGCGTCCATCACAATATACCACAGATAATTCTTTTTTTTAGCTATGTACCTATATAACGCGTGGTGCAGTCCTAGGAAATACCTTCTACGCGGCAAACGAAGCCCATTAACACAGACCGTTAAAGGTTTTCCTACGTGTACATATTTTCGTGGGGTGGCATTATTTAAAACAAACTGCACGAAAGTGATATAAAAGTCTTTTAATTTGCTATTTCACGCGTTTTTTTCGTGCACAGGATATTGTCTAACTCTACAATATCGTGAAAAACCTTTTCTATTCACGTGTTACTGATATTTGCTGACAATCATTTTGTTTGCAGCTCACCATCCATGGCCACTTGTTATCACTGAATGATTTCCCTTTATTGGCAGACTTCAATTTTGCGAGATATTTTGTAACTGAGGGACCACGTCGCTTACAACAACCTTTTTTATATCCATATCTTTTCATTTGGTTTTTTCGGCAGGCTCCTGTGATGAAAAACAAATAAATTTTTATTGTATTATAGACAGCAAATTTTTTTCTGAAGGAAAATTATTTGAGTCAAAATCATCTTGGAAATTTGAACGATAGTCAAAATAATTGATTTTTTAGATATAATTTTTTGAGGAGTCCGTCAATAATTGTAATGCAATATAGCTTGGTGTGCTCAGTTCGTCGTATTTTTTAAACATATATGTGTACTTTTCACTGAGTTTAGAGGTACCGATAGATTTAAGCCCAGTTATTTTAATGTTTCGTCTCAAAAAAATGTAAATTAAATTTGATTGAATTGATTACAATGGTTTTTATTCTGGCTATTCATTAGTAAGAAAAATCCTTTTTAAAAATGGTACTGTTGACATCAATTCATTTTCATCTGTAGTTAAACATGATATACAGTTGTCTGTTAATTTGCATATGATGATATAGAGTTGAAGTTATGACCTATATGAAGTAGTTTTTATTGGTATTAGTTTGCGTTATGTATTACATGAATTATAGGTCTGTCATCGACTACATTTAAAATAGCATCGTGGTCTGTTACTTAATCGTCTCCATCAATCAATGTATAATTTCACACTATGAATTCAACAGCATGCAACATTGTCGTATTGCTACAATTCAGTTTTCATGACAACCAAGCTTGTTGTAACACATGAAAAAACCGGTCAGCGACCCATCCAACTTAGCCTTGCGTGCCAATAACTACATGTCGAAGTGACGTAAAAAAATTAATAAATTCTGATGAGTGAACTTGATTTGTCAGTGATTAATGGATCTTCCAGTAACCTCATCGCTCTTTGCTTTTCACAAAATCAGGTCAAAAGTATATTTTTCCTTTTTGGAAACTTAACATCAATTCGTCTGGACGTAACAATTCGCAATTAGTTTCTTTTTTTTAGGTCATGAATGACTCCGAAACTCAAATTCAAATTCATCTGCTATAATAGAAGCAGAAAAGCCATGAAAGCATAAAATTTCAATTCAAATTATTACGTCGTAAATAAGGCTTGACGTAGCATACTAAACCAGTGAAACCTTCGTTGGTTGCATGGAATTGCTGTATTTTCTGTGCTGTGACATGTATTGGTAAATGATAATACAACAAGCACTTACTATAACGACAAGGATGAGTATTGCACTCTTCAAATACTCTCAAACATCGATGGTTGTTGGGATTGGTACATCTTCTTGATAGAAGAGCAAACCTCGTTCCGCCTCCACACGATTTAGTGCAGGAACTCCATTTATCCGGACGATAGGTGGTTGGCGTTGGTGGTCGCGTTGGTTTAGGGCCTGCATTAAACAAAATGTATAATTTAAATTGATTTGTTCGAACTTTCATTGCAGCAGCTTTGATGCACCGTTTCATGGCATCCTACGTAATTTTGAGTGATGGTTTACACTTTACAGTATGATTTGCTATTTTTGTTTGGTATGGTTAATTTAAAATACGATGTGGTGACACTGTTATTGCATCCTGCTTGGGGGAAGACTAGGGTTACTGGCGAATGTGCCATTATTCTAAAATGTTGTGCGCCATCTTGGTGCGCATACTTCAGGAGGTCCAATAAAAGTACATAAAGTCAATTTTTCATTTTACAACTTTTAAACAGTGAACCGGACAAACAAATGTGATATATATGTGAGGAACAAACTGTCTAAGTTTGTTTAATTTCGCTTTACCTAACGTTACAACCTCTTCCTTGAATATAACTGTGAATTATGGCACGATTTGAAGTTCATAAAGCAATAGGCGGAATCTAACATTTTATTTATATCATACCACGCTGAAAAGAAAGCCAAGTCATGGGTGTTGCCGAAACCAATAACACCGCACATGTCATAATTAACCGGAAACATAACATCTATTTTTCATTTCCAAATTTTTGATAAATGTTTCCGCTTTCACAGCAATCGTTTACAAGTGATATTGACTCGTGGTCGTGACACTTTTTTAATTTTACAGAGTCGTTTCCTTCCGTGTAAACAAACAGAACACGTTGCTGATAATATTTATTTCCAGATATGTTAGTTCATGTTCGCGACAGCAGGGGAAACCCGTGCTTGATATTAAAATAATATATTCGTGGATCTAAAACATAAATCTGAATTACTATTAAAAAAAAATTTCATAACTTGGTCCACATATACCTTCGTTCAAATATAGTTACATGACAAACGTTGTTAAATCGCAATTGCCGTATAATTTTTGAGTTAGTCAGGATTAAACCGGGTTCAGGTTCGAGTTTGAAATTAGCGAAAAAAACTTTAGTTCATATAATCATACATCAAACTATATGTTTTGTTATAGAGAACCCGCTTTCAACTAAAGATAGTCTGGGCTTACTTCGGCGCTTCATATAAATAAAGTTCGGTCACGCTTTAAAAAATGATCTAGCTTTCTAATACCAACTTTTAATTTACCAGTCTTTTGTATTGACTAATCAAAACTCTCGGTAAAAGGGGCATCACCTGTAATACAAACTACGGTGCGATGTATTAATGTACTTCGTAATTTCCAAACACAGATGTGTGTGCTAACATTTTCTAAATACGATACGCTTTTGAATGATAATGAAATGACATATTAATTTCTGATACTTTTAACAGGTTTTTCAAGAAAACATCGATTGAAATTTTTGTAGTGGCTAAATATTTAAAAAACTTATTTAAAATCAACTATGAACTTTAAAAAAGTATTTTCTAGTTATTCCAAAATGTTTACTGCTCATAGGATCGAAACTACACACCTTACAGGTTTGTACCACGACGAGACGTCGTTTTGGACATTTTAATCCTATAGGATTTCCATTCAAAAATGTTTCGGAAAGAGGTTAAACTTCTACAAACGAAAAAGATAGTCAACAACGGTATTCATTTGACTTTCACAACCTTAACAAAACAAAATGTTTTAATAGTTATCGGTTTTAACCTTTTTGTAGTGGGAATTTAAATTGAAGTCAAAAACTGCTAAATTTATTGTTGATTTCGCAGTGCAAAGCTTCATTTCACTTAATGAAGAATTTCAAAAATTTAGATGATCAATGTAAAATTTCTTGTCTTGAAGTACCGGCATGAACATTTCGATGGTTGACGATATTTTATCAACTACCTCATACAGATTATCAAACGCTTTTTTGTTTTACTTGAAACTATATTCATCTATTCAAGTTTACATAGTGAAAATAAAAAAGTTTACATGAAAATATGTTCAAGACTGATACTTGACCTCTGCAAATATATCGTGATGAAGATGCAGATAAAACAGACAGTTTGTCATTACAAATCATGTTGTAATTTTTTTTTTACTATTACAATTAAAATATAGAGACCACCCATAAAAATATTTTTACAGCAATATCATTGAAGCCTAACATATCTTCGCAAAAACAATGGCAGATACTAGAATTGTTTATACTTTCGTAGTATGTTCATAAACAAAAAAACTTTCAAAATTTAAAGTTGGACAGTATAAAATATTATGTAGGCCATTTGATTTAACAGATTATAGCCTCGTAATATCTGCATTGAATCCCACAAAAAGAGTATTTTTTAAAATATGCATGTAAAACGTAATTTAAAAAAATATTTTCTTTACGTTCGGTAATTTAGTGGCAAAATATTTTTGGTGTTTTGTAGAAAACCGGACAGTAACATTTTTTGCAAGTCACTAAATTCTGTAAATTCACAGAATGTCACAAATTATACTACACACAAAAGCATACCTGGGTCGAGCATTCGAGGCTGCGTAGTTGTACACGAGCAAGCATAAATTATCTCTGGCCGCGTGTGTGCAAAAATAAAACCAGAAGATATCTAGGCTTTTCGCAGTTTCTGCGTAAATGACCAAACGAGAGAACTGCATGTTGAGTGACGTATTCGTTAGATATTTTTCTTGGTTTCGATTTGCGTTGTTTTGTTTAACATGAGATTTGACTCAAAGCACATCTTTGCCAGATTATCTCTGACACAATTACTTAGATTTGAAATGTTTTCGCAGAAATTGCTTCGAGTACAAATTGATCGAAAAAATGCTGACAATTGTTGACAACCGCTCTTTATCAACTTAAGCTATATTAGAATAACATGACCGGAAGAGAATTAAAAGAAACATTTTATTGCACGATTTAGGAATTTTTTCACATAAAACTGTTTACTGTCACATCTGTGCGCAACATCACGTTGTCGTGTTTGTGCATGGGACTTCAAGGACTGTGGACGGAAACCACCAACCACATTACATATGTGAATAAAAATCACATCGAAAATTCCGTCATTTTTGGAATCATAACAAGTAGCTCATAAATAAATGTCAACTTCTTCACACTGTAATGTACTCGATGTCATCAGCCCACCGAAACCAACACCCTGCCCCCGAAACAATCTTATACTTATTGCTCGGCTTCTTGAACGCTCTTGGTTACGTTTATTAACTCGGCATTCCCATGTTTTGGCCAACTTTCACCACATTTATATTTATGGAACATTAAAAAGTTAATCGAAATTATTTTTGGTGTTAAGCTAATAATTGACGGCAGTAGGACTATTTGAATTATTTATATATTTATATGAATCATTCACGTATGTGCATAATTTTATTATGTTATCATATATAAGTTTGGATGCATAATTGAAAATATCTCGTTGTTATCGATGACTAAATTGGTGTAAAAATAGATGCAATGTTTGCAGCAGCAGGTTAAATAGGAAATAATGCTGAATCATCTCATAATTCTGCGTCAAAAAATCTATTCATGTAGGTGAGATACCAAGTTGAAACATAACAAAAGTGAGATTTATCTTATTTTTTGAAAAAGGATTTGAAAAAATTTAAATTTATTAATGCAAAAAGACCATGAAAAATCATCTATGAAAGCGCCCTCTGTATAATCTATGCATAATATCTCAAGTAAACCGGATACAGTTTATTTCTGAAATTTAGAAAAAAGGCACTTGGACTATTCGTCTTTGCTTTTTGAGTTATTTATCTGAAATGGAATAAATGGAAAACAAACCGAAAAATCTATTGATTGTTATAACGTTTCTTCCATTTAATTTCGTAATTTTTCTGTACCTTCCAACTTGATTCTGTAAATTTTGGATAGCTTCCCAGTTTACCCAAAAAGATGAAACGCCTTTATATGTATCTGAGTGAGCGCGGCTTGAATCCAAATTTAACGTTCCAACAAAAATTATCAAACTTTTCATAGCGTTGATTAAAATTTCACGAATCCATTTATATTGATATGCTAATAAACTATGTGTTAAAAATAACTTTATTTGGCAAATCCATGTTAAACAATTGATTTTTGAACTATTAGATCTTTAACCTAATGGCTTTTCATGGAATAAAAAGTTTCGGAATCATATGATCAGACAAATTTAATGTAAATATTTAAAAATCAAAACTTAATCTGACCTGAAGAATATGGCACAATTCTCTTGGTCGCAGTGGTAGTAGCTGGTAGTTCACAAACTCCACAAGTTAATCTGCAATATTTTCTGAACATTTTGCACAAGCCACGGGAACGGAACATTTCACAACTATAATCTTCGTAAAAATTGTCGCAAGTTTCTGAAAACGTAAACATAGTTTCAACACGACGAAGGATGTTATTATATAGATCTTAATTATTTGAAATACTATTCAAAATACAGCATGTTCCAACGCTACTTTAATTTCGATTTAATTTTAAATTCAATATATATATATATATATATGCAATGTCTTTAATCAATGCATTATACCCGCATTCATATGAAAGTTTAGTGCTCATATAAGAGCTATCACTGTGACGGCATAAAGGAAAACTAATAGATGGGGACTTGGAAGAAAAATATTTATGCAAGGTCACAATGATTCAATGAAAGTGAACAAAACTCACTCCCAGCTGAGGTAGTGAGTGACTATTAAGCCAGGCAACGAGTTTCGTGGTTTCTTCCCTAATCCCCCTTTCTTGCAAGCAATACGTATATAAATATATTATATATATTACACATACCTTCCGAACTTTTAGCCTTCTCACAGTTAACCATACATAGAATAATGGATAAAAATACCCATGAATGAGTTGAGAGAATCATCGCTCTTCTTTAGGTTTCAAATAATACAAAAGCTAATAATATTGTCGTATCCTCGACGAACGCCATTTATATAGCGCACATGCGCCAAAAACCATAGCACTTTCCGGACTTTTTTCGGAATTTTTGTCTCTAATCCAGAATCATCACGTAATTCTTTTTTCGTATTTTTGGTATTACGCCATGGCAACATAAAACTCATAAAACTCCAAATTGGCCATGTGCGATCAGTTCAGATACTTACTTACAATTAAAAAAAAGTGTAGTAAAAGTAAAAATGAAATCATACCTTAACCTTACTAATGAGTAAGATCATCTTTCTCATTTTGTAACAGGATTCATTTGAAATTTATCTTCTATATGATGTTCACTTAAATATTAACCATTTAGTTTGCTTGTTCTTGTTAAATTTCCATTACAAATCATGTTTAGAATATATATTCGTACCAAAAAGATGAAATGATGTTTGACAAAGGACATAACTAATTGTTACCGAAAATATGTATTATAGCCAAGATTATTTGAATGCTTTTTATTTATTTTATAATAGAGTTTCAGATAAAATTTGACTGTTTTGTGAATTGATACTTAATCAAACTTTCTTGTTGAAGATCAGATTGCAGATCACTGTAAGCCTTATATACCTCAGTGATTTTAGTGGAAGACTTTTTTGTCACATGATAATCTAAATGGCATCTTATGCGTATGGGAATACTGGGGTTAACATGACCGTTGTTTTCAAAGTGCGGCATACCTTACAAAACTTTTTGCATTTTCTTTTTTAAGTAGCCACAAACGAATAACTGCTGTTCAAACCAAAGAAGTTATCGTGGATTTTTTTTAATACAGTGCATATTTTTCAATAACGTTCATAATCACTAAGCTGTATTTTATGTAGGAAATAAATTATTTTATACATAAAAATTGAGTCTCAAACAACAACACCAAAACGTGAATATAAGAGTACACGCTAATCACGAAACGATTATGAACAAAGTATGTTTTATTCTTTTGAAAATGTTGTTGTTCTTCATCCTCATATAATATTAGTTGGTTCATTATGCATAGGTAATGTTAGCTTATGCGTATGGGAAAACTGTTTTTACATTTTTTAATTTCAAGTCGATCCAAATTTGATTCGACGGGATCCGGTCGGGAATTTCTCAGCCCAAAGGTAGACTTTTTTCTCTGCATTACAGTTGAATGGTTTTTGCTTATTGAACACGAACTGGGCCTGTGGATCGTATTATGAATATGTTATTGTTTCAAAAAAATGAGCAAATGCTTTATTTTTGGTGATTGGAGCCTGTTGTTGACAGTAAAAGACTATTTATTACTTTTATTTATTTTAAAAATATCTGTGAGCCTTTTGGGATTCGTTTCTAACTTCGAAGTATTGTGTAATGGCGTCATCAAAATGAGAATTTCATGTCGTGGTTTCGACTACCGGTACTGTAAAATATTTGGTACTTCGTCGTTTTGGCTTTCGTGGTCATATATTTAACATTGCTTCCTTGGTTTTTCCAATTGTCTCGTTTCATATGGCCTTTAAAGCAATACGTAATTACAGAAAGATTGTCTATGTTTAAGTTGAGATAACTAGTTTTGTGGGATTGTTGGTCGGTGAATTCCGACATTTAGACACTGGTGTTTTTTTAACAAGCCGTAAATTTTACTGACGGGACTGTTGCCTACGAATTTCTTCTTAGATTAAGTACGAAGTGAACAATGCAATTAAAAGCAAACGCATTAATTATAAGAAGCAATAAACATGGTTATTATACCGGTAAATACTGAGTTTTCCATGGCCACATCGATGATTTGCTCAACTATTTTGTTATTGGACACCAAATGGACCCATGGATCGTTTTGTTATTATGTTATTGTTCTTGATGGCATTTTTCCTTTTGTTGTTATAAATAATCGATTTTCTTCTTGTGGCCTCTGTGGGATTCGTTTTTTTTTTGTGCGCGATGGCGTCATCAAAATCATCAAAATCGCGGTTCTGCGTTTGCGTTGGTTGCTTTTTGGTGGTCAGGCGAAGTCGTGAATATATTCCACTGTGACAGATTGCATACCACTATATCATTAATTTTGCACCGCTCTCTCGTTTATCACTCGTGACCTTTCTTTGTTGCGAAAAACTTCGAGGAAAATTTGCGATGAAACTTTTTGACCGCAAGACTAACAATGATAAAAGTTGGCTAATTTTTTTAAACATAGTGTTTTGTGGTAGGTTTGTATTTAGAAGCCACCAAAAATCAATTTAATAGAATATTTATGCCTGAAGGAAGGTACCAAAGGCCAATGAGTTTACTTCATCGAGCAGAGTTTTCCAAGTAGCACATTTATTTTAATTTACAATTTTATTTTGACCTTTTTGAATGAATCATTAATGAATGTTTGTCATATAACTTTATTTTAGTAAATTAATTAAACAAAATATAAAGTTTTAATAAAAGCACGGCTTATTGAAACTAATAGATTATTTGATTTCGAAAATTTCTCACCGCTTTGATCATATTGTTTATCCTTTCATATAGCAGGGCGTTCCCACTTAAATGTCAATCACATTAACAATAAAAATTTACATCCTCGGGTATAAATTTAATTGTCATAACAACAAGCCATTATTAAAAAATATGTAATTAAGCGGAGTTTGGCAATAAACATAGGGACCATTATTTGTTTGGACTTAACTTATTATTGAACACCGAGTAAAATATCCTTTTATTATTAAACGCACGCAAAGTACAGAAGATAAGGTCGGAGTTTTATAATTATCACGGAAGAGTAATCAAAAACATGGGCTACAATCACTAGTTCACGCAGACTTTCATTTTAAACGTCAATAAGTATGTTAAACGTGGAATCAGCACAACCTAGTTCGAGCCTAATAAACCAATCTCATGAATTTATCCAGAACAGTGATTTTCAAACGCGGTTCCGCGGCACCTCATAGGGTTCCGACAATACAGTCCAGGGGTTCTCCAACTTTACATTAAAAAACGAGAGTTTGTATTATATTTAAATATAATCAAATATTTATTAGGTCTGCCACTGTTGTTTACCGATAATTTTATTTTGCCAGTATTAGGTTTGTATTTATAGATATATATATCTATAGTTTATACAATTCAGACAATTAAACTATTGTGCGGGGGTTTCTCGAACCTGGAATGTTGCATTTGTATTCTGCTCAATCAAAAAGGTTGAAAACCAAATCTAGCAGATAAAAACAGAGACTTTTCAAAACTTTTTAACACCAAAAAAATGTTTCTAAAAATACTAGAATGTACTACTAAAATACCAGAATTGTAATAATAACTCACACCTAAAATAGTTTTACATACAACCGTGACAGAACAGAATATGAATAATGGATATTTTAAGATATATTATCTAATAAAAGAAAAAATAAATAAACTGTTAAATAAGATGGGGTCGCTCGCAAAGTCTGCTCAATATAATTTGATTTTTTGCTGTTAAAAAGCCAAGGTTGCTAGGAAGATAATTGTGTTCGTGTCAGCATGAACAAATGTATTGAAAATTGTATAATTTCATAAACAAGTACTATATTGAGTTCATGTAAGGTAACTAGAATAGATTTTTAAAACCTTATATCGCGTGTTACAAGTAGTACGCAGTTAATTTATTCATGATTCTCACGCATATATATTATTTTAAATGTTCACATGATTTCAGTATATGATTAAATTGGGCAATGGAAGGTATTATTTATGTCATTAAAACGTAAATATTTCGAACACTACCTAAAAATAGACTTTCTGAAAATTTTGTCTGTCACCTGATCGCTAATAAAACCAATTGTATAGTATATGCGAAAATGTTGGGCACGCAAAGAAAATTTGTCGCAAAACCTGAATTACAGACAATGACATCATATTAGTAAAAAGGCCGATTCATCGTCGCAAATCACACAGGTTTGCCAAAAATATATTTAAGATTTGCTTCACTTTGTTGATTCTAAAACACTGGAATATTTGCGAATTTTGTAGAATTTTGATCGATAAAAAAAGTTCATGACAATATCAATGCTGATAAATAGAAGTAATGAGCATGCGTAATTAGGATTTTTGATAAATAGTAATGCCATTTAAACATATACAGAAACGAAATGTTGCAAACGTTTTATAATACAACTTTTTTTTGAGATAGATTAATTGCTTTTTTCATAACCATTAAAATTTGGAGTAAGATACTGAATACAAATGAACAATGGTATACAACTACATGCATCCGTATCTCTCATGCGCCGTTGGTGGTGGTAATCATTAAAAAAGAAAATAACAAATATGAATGAAAATTTAACTTTTCGCCCTAATTATCTTGAAACGTGAATAAATGACCCAAGCTAATTCCTTTTTATGGTTGTTTTCATTCGAAGCTATGAGTAAACAGATTCTTATGGCTGTATCAATCACACCGAGACCATTTGGGAAACGGTTTGTCTGATATTAATGGCTGAAACTACAGCTGCGATCTAATACCATTTGAATATCAGAATTGGGTGGCAATAACTGCTATCGATTAGTGAAATTACAGAATCTGTGCATAGCAAATTAAAATTGAGACGCTTGTCAATATTTTGTTTTGTGAACTTGTGTGTCATCTACTTTCGTTTTGATATTGTTTAAAATCATCTCAGATTGCTTTTATCATGTTGCGTTTTTGCAAGATGTTTATATAATAACTGGCGTTGAATTCATTTTATCGTATGTTTTTTGAGATTTTTGCATGGAGATCAGGGATGGGCAAACTTTCGTCGTTCGCAAGCCAAAATTAAAGGTTGCAAGTCATTAGCGGGTCGCACATATTTTTAGAAAGTTAAAAACCGAGGAAATGGCCAAGAATCACATTTTTTCATACAGATTTCAGTTAAATTTCAAGCAGCCCGCGAAGACATTTGAATATTTTCTGCGCCATTAACCATTTGCACTCAGCATCAACTCATTTACGTTCTGTCGACATTTGTTCAATTATAATCAATTTATAGGCTCATTAAACGAGTGATTGTGAATTATATACTTGTTAGGTTATAATACAATTTAGTGTTTCAAAACAAATTCTGTTACGTAAAAAATATAATCGTCAATACAATACGAAGCGTCGCGGGCCGGATTATATTGTTCCGCGGGCCGTAGCTGGCCGACCCCTGAATTGTAGATGAAAGCATAAAATTTGAAACTCACACCACTCTATAGGTCGTAAGATATTTTGAGGCTTCTTGTCCTCATGAAGTAAAACACAAAAAATTTTGAACCCAAAGGAAACAAAATCACATATATCATTATGTAATTGGAAATATCATTAAATAGCTATACTACGTAATGTGTGTAATATTCGAATTAATAAAACCTAAAAGTGATTAGATGTCGGAAACGGGTATTATTTGGGTCAAATTATAATAAAAAAATTTAAAAAAAAAATTAAAATGTTACCGCGAGTCGGTTAGAATAATAGCGAAACGTTATCGACTTTCTCCTGTATTTTAATCGTCTGTTTTAAGTGGATATTTGTAACATTATTCCAAGTGCCGTATCCAACGCTACACAATTAAGATAACTAATGTGTTACTGCGACCGGAACCTAAGGAGCGTTCTCATTCAGCCTAAGGAGAAAATATACATATTAATTCCTTTGTACTACAAACTACAATTAACTGAGTGGGCGATAACCACTTATTTAATTCGTACTTCGGTCCGGTTTTAGTCTTATCGAGCGTGGCAACAAATACACAATGCAATTTTTATATATAACTACAGCGTATTTTATGTACATGCCATGTCTGTCAACACTACGAATGCCGAAACTTACAATGAAAGCAATTGAAGGCATCATAATTTTTAACTGTAAATGCCAAAAAAGTGCTCTTTCCACACAGGAAATTGCAATTGCGATGGTACATGATCCAGGAAGATGAGTCAAACTCGAATTTCTACTGATAGTTCCCCCTAAAAACTAAACACCGACAAAAGTTCTTAAAATTTGGACTAATAATATCTCATTTGAGCGGAAGTTCTGATTTGACGTTCAGACATCAAAATATACGGGACGGAGAAACAGCGAAGTAACTGCGTCACAAGGTCGACAGATATTTTGATGCTCCAATCATGTTATGAATACGAGAAACTACACGTAAATTGAACTAATAATATCACATTTAAAAAGTTGAAACGGAAGTTCGGATATGTCATTCAGATGTCAGATATTATAGGATGATGCAATAGTGCAACAACTTGTAGCAGTATCAATTGTTTTTAGCGTTGCCGCTATTAGGATTTCCAAACGTATTTTCTAAATTCACTGAAAGACTGAATGCCCTTTATTGTTAACACGTACTAATCAAACTGAACCAACGATTGGCAGAGACTTTAGTACCATACATTTATATATTCATCGAAAGGAATGTGGATATTATGTTGTTGTCAAAAATTTCAGCATTAAAATCTTTTTTTATATATAGTTGTGGTTGTTAACCTATTTTCCAGCTTATCATTTTATAAAGCAGAAATGAAATATATGCAAAATAGCATTTTCAAAATGAAAAATACGTTTTCATAGATTTATCAACTATTTTAATATTCATGCGAAAATGCTTTTTCAAGTAAGGTTTCGTTTCTTTTTTTGAACCACCCTTACAAAAAGTACCGAAAAATAATGTTGAAAACATTTCACTGATGATACATCGATATCACAACGTAATACATCATTTTTAAAAAAATGTATCACATTGGAGGTTTGAGTTACGTAACTGTTGAATGGTGCGTCATATGGTGAATGTCGATGTTGGCGGCCTAAATTACTCAACAGTATACTAATCTAAAATAGAAAACGAAAGTTAAGCACGTCTGTAATACGCAAAAGGTTACGATTGGGCCATTAATAAAATAAATAACATGAAATCATGCTCGAATCACAAGAAGTAACATACAATATAAAAACAGCGTTACTGATCGTCTTTGGCTAATGCTAATTTGCAATGTAAAGTACGCCAGTCAACAGACTAATTTCTGAGAACCGTTTAATTTTCAAATTTGCATTGAATGGCCTTGACGACATTTCAGGCGAAAATTGATCTTCGGATTAGCGGGAATAAAATAGTTGTGTGATCGATGTGATGGGTAGTTCTGCGACATCTTGGTGTAGAATGATTTTGAGCGCAACGCAATACTGTATGGCGAATGTGATTCATTATTTCCTTCCCATTGGCAGCAACGGAATAGATTAATGCGACCACGCGGAAAAATTATACTTGTCAAAATGGGACTTTTGTCTGGATTGAATCAGTAAAGTTTTAAGGAACAGGCGATGGCAGTCGATGAAGGATGGCAATACTCTGGCAGACTTAATGCAATTTCAGCTTCCTGCACGCTCATAAACGCTGTCATCGGTCGGATTCACCAGGATATGACATATTCTCCTATTATGATTTATATCCTATATTTTTAGACTAACACTTACGATCAGAAATAACGCGAGACCGAATATATTAAAAAAGCAGACACATAATTCAAAGTTTACAAATTTTGACATATCGTCACGCTAATAACCGAATGGCGTAAGCCATTTTTGGCGATTTTGAGTTTTTCATAAAATAGGTATTTATGTAATGCTGCGCACCTGTCTGTTAACTCAGATTTTATTTTAAGAATTCCGAAACTCATAAAAATGGAGATTTAGTATGACATGCACATTTGTGCAATTGTTTCGTCATAATAAATTATCATTGTTACCGCAGGACTATTGTGACGTCACAAAAGCAAAATAACCTCGGCGAAGTATTTTCGAGTTTTTGCATCTCGGATTCTAGCTTAGCGCGTATTAATTAATTTGAATTTTTACTACAGTATAGGAAGACGTGCACTTGTGATATTCACTGTCCGAGTCCAATTCATCTTGGTTGGCTTTTATATTGGATGCATTGCTGTTTTATTCTTTATATTTAATCTTAGTCTTATTTTGGTGGGTGTGCAGAACGTGTTATATATATTAATGAAATATATATTTTTAAACATAAAAAATATTGTAATTGAAACTGATTAGCTATTTTGGGGATTAGACATTGTAGATACTGAGAATTACATTCGTTTTTGTAATGTTTAGTTTTCAGGACTGGTGCATATAGTGCATATGCAAAATTGCGTATGTCCCCAAGTCATAGACACATTTCTGCCTAAGTCACAGTGCGCCATTATGACGTCACTTAACTGCGTCATACAAATTAACTTGAATCCGGCTACGATCGAAAAATTGAACCGTGGCAAATTATTGACTCTCAATGGCATAACAATATCATTAGGAAGTTTTTTACGTTTTTCTCAAAACTGCCAAAAATGACTTACGCATTTCGGTTATTAGCGTGACGATATTCTCTGTTGTAATCAAAATCTCATTTTTCTGCATTCTTCAACTACATTTAAAATAACCTGAGAAATCAAGGGGTTAATATATGGCTGTCAAGTTTTCGAGTAAAAAAACCTTTTTATAGCAATATGTCTGTCCGTCAGAACAATTTGAAAGGAAGTCACTAATTTTCTATGTTATAAATCAACCTTTCAGATCGTGACATAACAATTATTTTAGTTCATTACGGAAGCCATCCAACATATAAGATGATAAAGCATGATATATGGCACAAGTAATTGCCCTGGTCCCGAATATCCTGGTCTCTACTTATAGTCCATTCCACGTTGAAACGATATCATTTCTTCATTTTTGTTACAGCGTTTGTTACATACTCGTATATACGCCAGATGGACAATACTTCTCCGTATAGTTTGATTCACCGTACTTTCACCTGATAAAATCGTGTAATAAGCTACAAGCAGAAAATAGAACTCCTCAGGATATCTGTAGGAAAAATGTTTTATTTTGACTTGCTGATTGATATTAAGTGCTAAACTTACTATAGATGTTGCAAAAATTAACTCTTTATAGATTATAACCCGCGTCGGTTTGTAGAATTGGTGTTTGGGATTTGATTAAAACTTACGTGTTTTTAGATTTAATATACTATCGTAAATATGTTCAAGATTTTGGATAACGGATTTATCGTTGGTATTCTTGCGATTGTGATTGTTTCTCAAATTCACCAGGTTCAAGGTTGGTTTATTATTTTCCTGTTTAACCAAGCAAACTCTAATAATCAGAAACTAAAATGAAGATGTTGCTCTACGGCACCATCTATCTTTATACGTCTCGCACTGAATATACACGGTGTTGGGTATAAGTGTGCGTTGGTGTTTTAGATGAAGTAGTATAAAAATAAGAGGTACGTTATCTGCACCTATCTGCATCTAAAGCGGTCATTTATTGTAAATACGAACAGAAAAGACGAATTAAGTTTACCTCGTGACTATATACAATATTTTGAGCTTTACGTGGAACTATGTTTTAAAAAATAAATATTTTCTGTCATGCTCTCTGATGAAAACTTGACAAATACATGACTATTTTCTGAATTGACGAAAGATATAAAAAAATTTTGATACATATAATATATCGTTTCGAATTCTTTCGAAAATCATGCAATTTTTATTACACTTTTAAACTTTCTGTCTGCCGCAAAGTTGTAAGAAAGATTAATTTTTAAATTCTGAACTTGAGCCAAATCCACAAATGCAACACCGTGTCGTTTTTAATGTATATGCGATTTTTTTCCACAAATTTTATAATTGGAACTCTATTTCTAACAAAATGCTCCTTTCCTAAAAATATTCCTTCCAATTACAAAACCGACTCAAATAGTATATATATACGTAATTATTCTTCGAAACAAAAAATGTCAAGCAAAGTTCATTACATAAATTGAAAGTATTTTGGCTATTTTGCAGGTCAATTATGCCACGATAGATATCCACTACAAATCTGTCAAGTATATCATCAACGACGCTTATGCAAATATGTTGAAAAGTCTTGTAGGGCAACATGCAGTGGATGCAGCGATGTAATACTAGATCAAGGAGGTATATTTATTTTGGTTTCTTCTAGTAGTTATGGAAGATTTGTTAACTTGTTTAAAGATAGCTTATAAATATCAGTGTTCGGCGACCTGTTTCCAGTATCATGTTCGTACATTCAGCAAATACAATGTATAAATTTACACTATCTGACTGAGCAACGCAATGGAAAACGTATATTTTGAAACGAAGTGATCAATAGTTTTACTATAAAATTTCAATATAAAAACTTAAAATTTCCGACTTAGTAAGTAAGAGTAAATAAAACTATAATTTTTTTATCACAAATTATTGAAAATATAACAGCTACATTTTTATTGTCTTTTTCTATCGGCCATTTTTTTGTTTTTTAAAAAGCTATGGGATGGAGTGAATGGACGGCATTTTCACTGTGTAGTGTCACCTGCGGTGGTCGTGGTGTGCAGACAAGAACTCGAATATGCAATTCGTTGAACGGATGTTCTGGATCAAGTGTTTCTAATAGAAGATGTAATACAGAGAAGAAATGCCCTTCAGGTATTTGGTGATTTTAGTTTCTCTGAGTAACTTTTTAATATTTTGGGTAATATTGATTCTGAAATGGCGGACTAGAATAGAAAAAATTTCCAAAGCAGGCACGATATTAAAAATTTACAACGATATTTCTTTCAAGGGCAGTGTATTTAAGAAGAACGCCCAGGCCATGTCTACTAGTCTCGAGTGTTAAAACAATTGTATGACGTCGACGTCATGTTCTGGTACAAAGTTTATAATTCTTTCTAGTAATAATCATTTTATCGCTATCTCACTCCATTTCTTCCTTTCCCCTTTTTTTAATAAAAATCGAATTTTTTTTGCCATTGATTCACTTCAAAAAATTTGAAATTGAAAACATTTTTTTAACTATTCGTTTTGAAATCTAACGGAGATGTTTTTTCTTCATTAGAATGGGGTCCTTGGGGCCCTTATGGAAGTTGCAGTATACCATGCGGAGGCCAAGGACTGAAATATAGAGTAAGAACATGTCCGATACCTGGCACTTGTATTGGACTCGGTACTTCACAGAAAGCTTGCTATGGAGGAATATGTCAGAGAGGTGAGATCGATTTTCCGTATGAAATCAGCATGAAATCACAAAAATAAACTTTATAAAAATCAATCAATATGAGAATCAATCAAGAGAAGTCGAACGTTTCGTTTTGGTGGTTGAAATGTTGAAGTATGTAGAGAGCAGATCTTACTGGCTTACTGGCTGATCTTATTTGTCTTATGTTACCAACAAATCCCACACATTAACACAGTTAATTCAGATTCACTTGGGATCCTAATAATAAAAAACTTCATGCTGATTCAATTGATTCAACTTTGTCACAGACTTGAGAAGAACTAATAAATTAATCACTTCATTGGTTGAGTAATTGAAATAATTCAAATCGATTTATATTTAGTTAATGATTACTTATTGCAGACATTTGGTTTTGTATTGTGCACAGTTTTGTATTCTATATCAATTTTACTTTGCCTGTTGTATTGATAACTTATAGTAATATAAAGTCAATCTGTTCCCGGTTTCATTATTACAGTGCCTGTCAATCAATTTAACCTATCACATGCGGGTCTTTAAATGTGTGATAATTATTGTCTAACTAATAGGTCAACCTAATGCAACTTATCTAAAGTCAGACTGAAGGTTTCATAAAGCCTGAACATAAGTAATAACCTACATAAGTCTAATATATCATTAGATAAAGTTATTAGGTTGAAGGTCTCAAAATCTGAACCCATAAAAGTGAATATCACTTCTAAACACATACTCAATTCTTACTAATTGCCAAATTAAAGATAGGCACTAATGTGGTAAAAGTTATATATGTGTATGTTATATCATTCTATTAAATATGAAAATCACGTATCGTCTGCTGCGTGAAATGTTGTAAGGGGTAAGTATCTTATTCGTTTTTGCTTCAGTACAGATTAGGCCAACAACATGAAAACATAATGCCAAAACCACATAGAACTGACATCTAAGACATACGTTACTAGACATATTGGATTTGTAATTCATTCCCGTTTTACTATAAAGATAAATCGTTGTGTGACCTGAGTCTCAAGGAAACTTAATTAACCAAGAAGAAGTCAAGGAATTATATAGCTAAAAATAGATAATTCACATCTGACAAAGCCAAATAACAAAAATCATCTGAATTTTGCTCTTTAATACATATGTAAATTTATTCAGAAAATGAACTCAAATCGACATCATAGCCTACTAATATTTGTTCTTTGATTGATTATTCACAAAAAAAAAGTTTTCTCTAGTTGTAAATGGATTTAATACCGCTCCTGTTTTCACAAAATTCACTCTTTCTTTCTACCTACCAACAGAAGTTTTTTGCTAAGAATTTTATGTGTTGTTTATTAGGACAATGGACGGCTTGGGGACCATTCCAACCATGTAGCGTTAGTTGTGGCGGAGGAAAACAGAACAGATATCGCAGTTGCAGAGGGGCAAAAACTTGTCCTGGATTTTTTGAAGAAGTCAGAAGTTGCGCGATTGATCCATGTCAAAAGCAAGGTAAAAAATCACCACCCAATCACCAGTGCTTCAAAATTATAGATTGTTGTTTCCTTTTTTTTCATTCATATCCGGTAATTGTATTCAGCACCAGCAACCATGACAACAACCAGAAGCAATGTTCGTTCTGACAGTGCTGGATGGAGTCAATGTACTCGATCGTGTGGAACTGGGACTAGATTTAAATTTGATAAGCCTAGTTGCACTGACGTTAACAATCCAGAATGCTTACGTACATTCGAGGAATGTAACATTCAGAACTGCCCGACAGGTAATATACAAATATAAAAGTATTGTGTATTGAACATTCTATCTTTGCTTATGAGTTACACATACCAAAATTAGCAAGTATGAAATGTATTCTTTTATCCTTATCACTTTGCTTTCTACTTTTATATATGGTATTAAACTTTTTTACGGTTTTTGAATTCATTTTTATCTGGTTTTTTTTTCAAAAAAAAAACTAAATGTGAACTTGCTGCAGCGTTGTTATTATAAAAATATTGAGCATGATCAGACTATACTATTTGCAAAAATCATGTATGACCAATTCGTCATGTTGTTACACTGTGTTTGGTTTGTTATTGCGCTTTTACTAATGATTTTACAATAGTCACTCACAATCAAATTTTTGCTTAGAAACATGTGCATGGAATGGACTTGTTCCTCGGTATAAATCTAACGGGTGTTGCAGTCGACCAACGTCTGGTCATTGCGGGCAATCGTTTGTAAGTGGTCGTGTGATCAATGGTGATTTCTCGAAAAATCAACAATGGCCTTGGATGGTAAATTGAAAATTTAATCTTATACTTTGAACAATGTATTTCTTGCTTATTTATTTACTGTGATTTTTAATTTTTCACTATCACAATAATTCCCAATTTACTCTTGTCATTAGATATATAGAGTTTTATTAGTTGAACTTTTTTTATTTCAATCATTTGCCGAAAAACATTATATCCATAACTTTACAAAATTACATTTATTCCTTTTTCATTGCTGTTGTTGTTAGGCTTGTTGCTGTTTGGAAAGACGATTTTCTCCGTAACTAATTGACCATTCGATTTTCTCTAATTTTCACTGCTTTATTTTATTGTATGTGAACACTGTTTTTATTCCATCAACATCACTTTTGCTGCGGTTAGTGATCGGATCTTCGCGTCCATATAGGCAAATTTCAGTATTGTTCTCTTGTTGTTATAGGTATCACTACGTATAAAAGGATTGCTTTGTGGTGGAACCTTGATTGACAAACAGTGGATTGTCACAGCAGCCCATTGTATAAAGTAAGTGATAATAGTAATTTTTGAAGTTAGTCTTTCTTTTTTGTTTTGCTGCTTGATTTCCTCTTATTCCTGTTAATTTTAACCTTTTTAGAAGAGGACGAGTTACAGCAAAACTAAATGAGATTGAAATTCGCCTCGGAACAAATTTTTGGGATCGACCATATGTTTCAAAACATCAAGCTTCTAAAATTATCGTTCACCCACGACACGATTACTTGCAGAATGATATTGCCATTATAAAAGTGCGTCATCCACAAGTCAAATTTATCTTTATACCATGATTTCCTATTTAAAAAGTTTTAACATAATATGAACTTTGAATCAAATTACTTTTATCACTAAGCCTAATTGCACAATCAACATTTTAGTTGAAAAGTCAAGTGAAACTCAGTAGCTCAGTGCAGCCGGTATGTTTGCCAGATGGCGAAGATCCTCCCGCTGACAGCCCTTGCATTGCAATTGGTTGGGGTATAAGTAAGTTTAAGTTTTACCATTTACTGTGCTATACACTTATATATGATGCTTAATATATTAACCTGTATTTCTATATTGTGTGAATAATATTTGTGATGCACGAAATGTCTTCAGCGCAAAATGCTTAGTAAGTGCTAATATGCCTAGTTTGCTTAATAATAATAAATTTACCATGTTTCACAGAAAATATTTTTTGTGAACTTACGCAATACTTTAAAATTTATATGTTATAAATACGTGATTATCGAAGGTCATTCACGTCAACATCACATTTTCTCAGAATAAAGGCCATGATTACTCAATAGTAAAAATATCAGTCAGAAAATTAATTCTTGACTGTGATGACACTTTCTTACGAGACACATATAATGACTTTTTAGTAAAACACGTACGCAAATCTTATGCGTTAGTCAGTGGATCGAATGAACCCGTCAATCAATAATCTGTATGGTTTCAAGTGAGGTTATCTGCCACACAAGTGACAACAAGAGTTATAAATAATCGCTTACAAAGCAAGCGTTAAGCAACATGCATAATGACAACCAATTTGACGTAGTTCAGTCGATCCAGGAATGGGGTACTATATTTTCATATAATGTATGAATTTAAATTTCATTTGAATACATTTAGCTGATCCAAAAGGTCCTCCAAATCCAGCTAATTCTTTGATGGAAGTTCAGTTGAATCATTTGGACATAAATGTGTGCAGAAAAAGATACGGACGTACCAGAGATATAGGAAATTACGTTATGAATTCTAATCGACTTATATGCGCCGGAATGTTAACTAAACGCAACGACATTTGTGAGGTAAGGCATTCAATATCCTACCGATTTTATTATTGCTAAATTTATCTTGTCGTGTTCACTAATGAATTCTACTGGTATCCCGAAGATAATGAGCCAAAAATAAAATAAAATTTGCCTAATATGTTAGAGTGCACATGCAGATGCTGAATATAGTTTTTCGATAACAATTTTAAATCAGTGTAACTTTAACTATTTGCATCTGAGAGTAATGATAAAATTCAGCTTCAGCAAAAACGATATGATGTACTTTTAGGGTGACAGCGGAGGACCTTTACTTTGCCAAAGACGAAATTCATGCGCATGGTACATTGCTGGGATTGTATCGTTTGGACCAAAAGGAACTTGTGGCGAAATTGGATCCCCCGCAGTGTTTACGAAGATTGTATCATTCGAAAGATGGATTAGCCGACATATATCGTTTCCAAAAGCAGGCGGTTGTAAGAAATAAAAATATTCCGAGCTTCCAGGATACTTATGCTTCCTGATCTTCCAGGATACCAGTTTTAGCAACTCTCTGATGTTGTCCAATAGAATAAGTTGGGACAATATTTCTGAATGTTTTCGGTCATCAATACCTTCCCTTTATTATTTTTATTTTATTTACATGCACTTTATTGAGCCCGTATTATTTTAAAATAGAATATTAATATCAATTTTGATTTTTTTGAATAAAAATTTCGAATCTATTACATTCTTTTAACTAAAAATCGACTAATAAACGCAAAAGATCTAAAAATCTTAATTGAAAATGAATTTTGCGATAAAAAGTGTTACTTTATTCTCGATGAATGCATATATTATTTGTATTTATTTATTTGGATCAAACGGTCGAAGATATATTTTGTGAATTTCATAAGGTTCGGAATAAATGGTTTTAGGTGTATTTTATTTATATTCCACACGGTTGCCTGTTCTAAATGATCATTCCTTTTTTAAATGAGGTTCCGGAATAATTTGGTTACAAATAATTTTTGCTGTTTTCTCCATATTTCAACAAAAAAGAATTTTTTGAAATTACTTCAAACGCCTAGACAATTCATATTTACACGTGTATGTACATAATGAAATGGTAAAAATATGAAATAATAAAGTGTTTTAACGCAATGCAGTTGTTTTTGGTCTGCTAAACCTTGGTTATTACCAAGTCTTCAATATTAAAATCGTTGTCAAGATCGAATCAGAAGAATTCGAACATTCAAAGTGACGTCAATGAGGTGACGATTTCGTTCTTCGTTTTCAAATAACGATATGATTTAACTGACGTATTTTTGTGTGATAAGGTTTTATACATGCAACTGTAAAATTTTGAACAGCTAAAACACTCCCGGGACAGGTCACTTACAAATATTCAACATTTTTAAGTTTTTATCGTCAATATCGTGTATGCGTACAAAATACATATAAATTTTATTAAAATATTTTATTTCAATATAAAAATATCACAGTACAAATAAAACTACCCTTATTTAAAAATTGCAAACAGTGCATTTGTACAATATGAATCGTATTTTCAAATTTTCTGTTCTACACGATAAATTATACGAAAACTGGCGTTAACAAGATATTTTCTTCGTATTTTCAATAACTCCCTTCTCTCTTAACCAATCTTCAAAATAAGATACACGAGTGTAGATGCCAGGATAGCCTGGCTGCCCACATCCACGACCATATGAAACAAGTCCAGCAACATACCACTGGCAAGAAGAACATCTTTGACACATCAAAGGTCCTCCACTATCACCCTGCAACGGAACAAAACTTAGCATGATTGCTATATACTAGGAATAAGGATCGATATATTTTTTCATTCAGACATAACTTTGTATCTTGTATGAAAAGCGTTAATTTTTTTTTATTTTCACAGTGTAGCACATTTACATCTCTTAGGTAAAATTTTTGATGATATTTACAATCTCCATGTGAAGAGTATGTTAAAATGCTTCATAACATTTTATTCTAACACGCTCGTAAATTTATGCTAAACAATGTTCAGTTAATTTTTACTAACAGCAGTGACAGAAAAAACTTTTATTCCTATATTTCAAATATAAATCATGAATTCAGCAAGATTACATATATTTATATACCTGGCAACTATCCGCTTTCCCGTTCATGTGTCCAGCACAGATCATTTTTTCAGTATTGAAAGTGGGTCCGTAGGCTTTTGCACAAACTTCAGGATCCAAAATAAAAACTTGAGCTGCTCGTAGACGTTTTGAAGCATATCCACGAAATACAGCTTTGATATAAAAATATGAATTTAGATATTTAATATACTATTATAATTGTGCATATTACAGGGGGCCAAACAAACTTCCATTCAGTTTAAAATGTTAAGCAGGTATGAACCTTGTTAAAATTGTTTGAGTGATCATTGATACAGTATATATATTAAATATCATGACCGAATTTATCTGGGATCCTATCTTTTCAAAGTTTGAAACGCGTATAAAAAGTTAATACAGACTTGTTCCTCTACAAAAGGTGTCAAGGCTTCGAACATGTCATTTATGCAGTTTGTTATTTATCTATTCGATATATTTGTGAGAGAAATACATCACTCCTGCAAATTATTATTGCTGGTCTTCATTGCTAAACGCTACTATTGCTCCGTAGAGTCATCTAACGGGCATGTCATATGCTATATGTACACAGTTTACAGCACTGATAGTGGCAATTTATTTAGCCCTTTCGGTGAGAAGAGGAAAGCGCGAGATTGTATTGTGAAACAACTAAGGTTTCTTTCCAGTTATATACACAGCAGTCAGGCTGAAGACATATCACCTGCAGACCTTTTACGCAAATTCGTAACAAGCAATTAATATGGACAAGTCAAAAATCATTCACACACAACTGCGTTCTGAATCACGGGTAGACCTTATATATCCATATACAATATCTCCCAAAGTGTGTATTATGACAAATTGTAACACTTACTTGAACCCCATCCAGCAACAACACATTTCGACCCGACTGGTGGGTCCTCTCCGTGTGGTAGGCAGATTGGATGAATGTTGTTGGAATATGAAATTGGTTTTTGGAACTGAAATACATACGAATAATGTTTATTACAGTGTTAATCAGATATAAAAAATAGTTTGAATTAAATCATCTAAATATTTGAATAAGGTTTATTTACTATTTCGGGAAGAGCGAGTTGCAATGAGAGGGACAAGTCTGGTTAAATTTCTTCCTCTCTCAGACTATACTATGCCAGTTTTAAGTTTTGAAATGGTAATCGTGGTACATTGTAATAGCCGGTTCAAATTAAATTTAAGTATATACAGTAAATTAAAAAAATTTACGACGACAAGCATGCGGTGGCATAGTTAAATAAAACGACTTGTAGCCTATACAGTTCGTTTTTATGCATTCCAGATGAATACAAACTATACAAATCAAATAATACAGTATGCAAGTTATATATAGATTAGTGTAACGGTATAAGAATGACTCGTTAAAACAACCTGGTAAACAATGCTAAAGCTTTGGTTCTCATTTTGCATTTTTGTTTCTTACCTGCATGACAGCGATATCTTGAACAAGCCGCGGAGAATATCGAAAATCGGGATGAATAATATTTTTTTTCAATTGAGCCCAAGTTGTCCATTTTGTTGCTGGGTTTTTAACATTGTTCAGTCCTATAGTCATAGTCATTCTTTTGGCAGAATATCGGCTAAATGAAACACTTTTTATTGGATGCGTATTCACTCATTTTATAGAAAAGGCAATTGGGTTGAAAATGTACGGTAAAAACGGTGTCGTTTTATTTTATCTACCCATTAATATAAATATATAGCTTTCGAAAAGGGTTGGTTAGGAAATCAAATCTCTCAAAAATAATTCAACATCTTGAAAATTTCATGTAAACGATTTGAGAAGATAATTGAACTGCATTCAAAGGCCCGTTAGGATACCAAAGCTACGAAATAATATTATAGTTTTCAGTGCAGATTGCCGAATAAATAATAATTTCCTATTTTTACTCTTTCATTATTTGTTATATGATACTTACAAAACACAGTGTGCAACAGTGAGAGCGTATTCCTTGTTGATGAGTACAGCTGCACAGACAGCATTACCATATGGAACAATATGAATCTGTCAATAAAATATACAAAAACTATACTATCAGCTAGCAGAAGCTGGCTTGAAGATACTAGTATTATGGCTTTATATATATATATTATGTATCTGCTGTAGACTTGAATTACAAGAGCAATACAACACATTGTATTTATTTGTAGGACGAGTATATTGTGCTTATTGATCTTGACTTTAAGTCCTGCTTAATCCAATGGCCAACCAAAATACTATTATATTTCTATGGTTGTAAAACAATATTTAGAATGTATAGTTTTAACCATTACAACGCATATAGGGGCTTCCTATTTCCGAGTACAGAAGTGCCATGTTTAGTTCGATAGCATGAAAACGACCCAAGAGTGTAATCGTGTAGTTACTTACCATCCAAGGCCAGCTGTCTCTCTCTGCTACGTATCCACCAAGTATTCTGGCTTTTGGAGGCAATGTACCACAGGAATATGCTGGACTTATCGAACAACAAGACTTCTTACTGGTATACCTGGGAGCGAATCCGGCCTTACACACTGTAGCAAAATTGTGAAATATTAAATACAATTTGTTAGTATTTGATATTCTACTTACTCTCTACCGATACCTCGTGTTTACAACATTGACATAAAAAGTAAGCAACAAATGATAAATAACTCTCTCAAAAGTTTCACACTAATTTGAAATCGATGCAAAAACAATGTGGATATATCTAAAGCAAAAAAAGTTACAAAAATAGCCAGACCTGATTCTGTTGTATCCACTGCATTTGAGGTTGAAAGTCCTGCAAATAAACAATTCAGTAAAATATGAAAATCAAGTATTCGTATTAAAGCCTATTGGCCAATTTTTCTGTATTATATACTGTATATGTAAAAATATATTATGAGTAAATACTGGACATAGATTAGTGTCATATTCAACGGTGTACAGAAAACTTCTAGTTCTTTAAAAAATCGTATCCTTTGATTTAAGTACAACACTTTCAGAGGAAGCAAGAAAATATATACCGCTAGAAACAGATGTAAAATTAGTAAGAAAAATGTCCCCGTTTTTAACAGTTGTTACCTTTCACACACCACGGCCTTCCTTTTTTATTCGGACACCAGAAGCAATTTCTCTTGTCACACATTTTCTTTGTGACGCGTGATCCTGTTTCAAAACAATCTTCCGACTGTTTGATCTGGCATTCTCTCGGTCGTTCAGTTTCCCCTGAAATATAAGTATGGATTCTGTAAATATATGTGTTATAAGATGTAAATATATGTGTTACAATGGTGTTGATGCTTTGCCGTTCGTATAATATATATTTTACGATTTATTTATTTATTTTTTTTTCAATTTTGAACAAATCACATACCACACGTGTCTAGTAGTAATAATCGCTGGGTGCAAGAATTAACGTCATTTTTAATCACAACGTAAGTTTGAAAATAATTTTGAATGAAATCGAAATTAAGTTGCAGATATTTGAAAACTACGGTATATATGGCTCACGCAAGCAGATTTCCGTCAGAAGTATATGTTTGCATGATGGTGTATTTATTCGTGTGTGTACCGCGTCTGCAAACCTTGCTTTATATTGGGTACGCCCGAAGTATGTGAACCAAGATGGCGGACGCCGGAACGTAGCATGTGTACCAGGTTAGGGTTAGGTCATAATCTTATTCCAATTTTCCTTATTTTAGTTTTATTACGAATTCGGGGAATACCAGAGTGACTCCCGTACTATTCGTACCTGAAATTATGGCCTATGGCCTCTTGAAGTAAATTGAATGTCTATTACAGCGAACATTTGGATATTTTTAATCCCCGTTTCGTATTCAACTCTCAGAGAGCATACAATTCTAATGGTTTAATAGTTGATCTCAAAATTTTTATATGCAAAGACGCGCGTAGCGATAATTCAAAATTTTCCGGTTTAAATATTGATAGTATTTGTATTATTGTTTATATGCATTTTACCTTTGTTTATACTCTGTAAAAAAGCCTTACACCAAGATTAAATAATTACTACAAAATATATGTACACTTTCAGTGAATTTCAGATATAATGGAATCTGTAATACTCAGCAGAAATAATTGGCGTTGGGAGATAAATATAAGATTAATGAATCAGTAGCTGAAAGTAAAGGAAAACTTTAAAACAATAAACCAACACGGATAATGTACAAGCAATTAGTATGTACATGGATTTGTAAATATAACAATTTAATTAACCACTAATTGGTCGACGCCGCGTGCGTGAATAATCGGAACAACGACATAATTATAATGATTGAATATACACGTCTGGTATAATTGTCACTGACTGCAAAAAATTCCTTGGCGTTGAATCGAAAAAAACTGTTCCAATTTCCAAAGCAAATTTTTGGATATTCCTATATAATACCAATTCCCTTTAGTTCTAATATAGTATCCTACTTCACGGCACGTGGGTGCAAACCATAATTATTTAAACTGAATAGGACGCACTTTGAAAACGTTAATTAATAGTTGACCCAACACCAAGAAAACTGACAATAGCGGCAATTTGAGGGATAAAATAACAGTAATTGTAAATATTTTTCCAACAAAATGTAGAATACCAACAAGACTATAATTCGCTCTAGTTCATGGACTAAAACAAGAAGAATCTCATAAATTACCTGTTACACACCACGGTTCACTTGTTGTATTTTTGGGGCACCAATAACATCCCATTTTTTTGCAATATTTGGCAGCCGTTTGAGATCCTTTGGTAAAGCAATCGACAGAAGGCTTCACCAAACAAGCATCATCCCCCGCGGAGTAACCTTTCCGCAAGTCTGAGTTGGAACCTGTTAAAATAAAATCACACCTTTTAGGGTAATGTTCATTTCATCATAGTCATAAATAGTTGAAAGTATTTTTTTTTTCGAATAAATTTTGTCATAAAATAATTATTTTTATTATTATTTTTCAATAATCTATATTAAACAAACTAAATCAGTCGAGGTAATTTTCAAATGCACGTTCGGAGAGATTTATTGTATAATATCAAAATCTAACTTTTGCTTTACGAATGCGACAGTTTTTACACTTAAATAAAATAAAAATCAAACTACTTGTACCGCTCAAAGCAATAGATTCTCACTCACCAGAAACACTCCAATCAATTCCCGAGTTAAATTTAACAAAACTTGCCAACAAAAGCAAAGAAAAACAGCATCTTTGATATAGCATCATTTTCTTTCTAATACTATCCGAACCACTAACACTGGCGATCTCATACAGAAGATAGTTTAAACTGGTTATTCACTTATATATACTTCTCATACCTTCAAGGAGGATTTAATAAATCGCGTAACGAAATTTTACGAGAAACCCTCGACACATTCCAAACTGTAAATTCGCAATAAGTCAGCTGTGTGACCGCCCCAAGGAATGTCAAACTTGAGAACAATAGGTTTCAAAGAGTCGGCGACAAAGTGACTACTTCCTTACTCAACAATTATCAATTTTTCGCGTTATTGTTTATTATAAACGATATGGTATTTAGTAAAGCCTCCTCGTAATAATATATTATTGTTGTATGCTATATGTTAGTACATTTTAAGTACCTAATTATATATTACAAGTTGTTCTGTTTGTAGGAAATACATATCCACTCATAAAAGCAGACGCCAGTCTCGAAATATATCAATGTAATTGTAAAAATGTAAAAAAGGGCAATTCTTTGAACCTTAACTTTTATAAAATATAATTTTGATTGGATACGCTTCGAATTAGCTACCTGTTTTTACTTTAGATGGTATTTATAGGGAAAAATTTATCGATGCATCACACCGGTGCAAGTTGATACCGATTGCCACACAGAAAAGGACGGTTTGCTCTGGAAATTTGTTGGTCAATTAATTACAGAGTTTCGAAAATAATGCTTGGAATCTAGCAACGCCTGGAATACCAATATATATAATGCTAGATTGTATCAACTAATAAACAAATTACTCGTACTTCAAAACATCTTTTTTATATTGTTAGTCGGCAAATGGTATACAATACGTGCTTCATAATATTCTCCAATAAAAACGTTATGATATAGTTCTCAACTGAATAAACAATTAAAAAATATATCACGTGGCATAAAATAAGCAAATGCATGTTATTTAATGGTACAACATTGAATTTAATATTGGTTATGTTCATGTTAGGGCATATATATTAAAATAATGCCATATGTTTTCAAGAAGCAAGGGATATAGTTGAGTGTGATAGGACCTGTGAATGTGAATCTGAGATAGAAAAAATTGAACTAGACGCTGGTATTTGGTCAGTCAATAAACGAATGTTGTAGATTCGACTTCTAACACTCGCTTGATATCGGTATTAACTAAACTAAATAATCATCTTCAGTATAATGGAATAATACCCATGGGATGTTATTAGAGAAATGTAATTTTTTTAATGTAGATGTTTAGTTTGTTACAAGGTTAAATAACAAATTAATTTGAATTAACTCCTATTTCCTCATAGTTGTTGTTTTTTTGTTTGAAATCTAAGCTTGCGTCGAATATGTGTATTTGATAATTAATCACCGTCAGTATAAACGAGTAATACTTATACGATATTGTAAACGATCAATTGTAAAAAGAATATACTATATAAAGCGTGCATTATTTTTACTTCTCATTGATGACGATTTGGATATGCTTTTATATAATTTATCCACCTGGATGTTCATCAAGCTGAAAACACAACTCCATGTTTATGCATCCGTATTCACGTTTAGCTTTTCTAATACTAATGAAAATGGACTTTTCCCGTTGCTCTAACTGGGAAAGGCGTGAGTTTTCAAAACCATGGAAACCATTGGTAAGGCATTCATCATTAGTAATTAAATGTCAGTGAAGTCGTATAAAAAACTCAACAGATTTTCATTTTCTTGGACTCTCCAACTCAAAAAACATTCCATAGAAGCAACATGTTGTTTCTGCAGTTGATTTATAATATGATTGACCATGTACGAATGTAGCGAAAGTTTGATTCTATGGTTTCATCACTTTTCCTTGTAGCGTACAAGTATTCAGCAGTTCAAGACAAAACTGTGAAGTTTAAATCGGAAAAAAATTTCACTTCGGACACCGGGTCCAAACTCTGTTATAAATAAAAATTGCGACTCTAAATTGACAAAATATGCTCCAGTGCAGAACTCCAATAGAAAAACAGTGATAGCAAATGCATTGGTCTATCTATGCAAATCTCTGAAAATTCCGCCGAAAATTTTACTTCCTATTTTCGCCATTAAAAATCTGAAATTCTGAAATTTCGACTTTCGACTTCAAATTTGCCTCCGACTTCAGTATCAATGAAAACAAGCCAAAGCCTTATGCTCCACAACATCTATTTTAGACCAGTATCAACCACCTGTCAGTGTAGTTTTTTTGCCTTTGCGCGGAACATTTTGTTATTTGTGTTCTTATTCTTTTGTCGGGGTTGTTGGATCCCCTTGCGTTGGATAACAGTCAGAATATAAATTAGTGTGTATAATGTCTACTATCGATAGTCCGAACATACAAAAGATCGTGGTTTGAAATTATTTGATGTTACTGCCATAATATTCTAGCGTTATGGCACAGTTCTGCGAATCCGGATACCTTTTTACACCGTATTTCTGCTAAAAGTGGGACGTCGGTTAATCCTATATAATTCTAAATTTCTTTTGTTTCTTGTTTAATGTTGTGATTAGAGATTTGAGTCGGATTAATTTATGCTTTGTTTTAGACATACTATCACCAACACGAAATGATCCGTGGTTGAGTTGAGTACTATAAATAAAATCAGACTGCAAGCCATTTTTACTTATCCGATCTGTTTGCAAATTTCTCTAGGCAATCAGTATGAATATCCTCAAAAACCCAATGTTTTGATTCGAACGTACCGCTAAATTCCATATTTTTCTTGCAAACACAAAAAATAAAACAGCCGTACATCAAAAATATTCTCACGAACTGTGAACAGAGATATTAGATTTTCATGTGAAAAGCATTCAAAACAGCCATTTTGATTGTGAAAAAAGAACATAACATCACAGAAAATTTATGTCCAAAATGAGAAAATTACTATTAGGATTTTGCTTGAAATTGACATTATTGGCGCCATTCAACTTCCTATCTGAATTACCCGTGGCCCAGTTAAAAAATGTAATAGCACCATGCGCGCATCTGCAATACTGTCAAAGTGACTATAATATAGTCACTTTGAATATACTGTATAGCACGTAAAAAAGTCGTCATCGACTGATGGAAAAATTTAATCTTTATACCTGGCGATAATATTTTATTTGCGTTGTTTGGTCAAAAATATAATTATGATTCGTTAGTGGAAGATCACAAAACAAAAGCGGGAATAATTTTCAATTCTTTATAATTTATTTACGCTTGTCGATGCTGGGATTTTAACGCGAAAATCGTATTAGTTCGTGTATGTCAAAACGAGGCAGCTATTTCATTCGGTGACCGTACATTTGAACCCATGCGTATATCCACGGGTTCAATCTATATGCGGGTGCAAAAACCCATGGGTTAGGGTTAGTATGGGTTTAACTATCCGTGAAACAAAAAAAATTCCATAGGTGCAATAGCATACAGGTGCAATTGTCGTGGGTTCAAATGTACGTGGGTTCAAATGTAATGAAACCATTTCATTCATTTCAAAATTCTGTTTGTGGTTCTGGTCATCCGGGTAAAAACGTTGCGAACCACAAGTCAGATTGATAAGAGCTACACAATTAATTCTGATTTTTCCCAATAGGCAAAATTTTTTTGAGGGCTTTTTATCATAGCTGACAAACACATACATGCCCAAAAAATAGTTTTATATATATATATATATTATAAATGGTCGCAAGCCTCGATCATACTGCTATGTCAAACGATTCAAGAGTTTAATGAGCAAAATCCAAAAATTATAATACATTTCCCTGAGTCTTCCGGCTTTGGTAACGCAACTGTTGCTACGGCCAGATCAAATGGACAGAAAGTCGATGAGGCCCTCTCGCATCTTATGGCCACAATAGTCACTTTGGTATGCATGGATCGTACTTGCCCAATGCGTATTTGTACAGCCCAAGAGTTATCTCCTTTTCCGCCAACACGTGTGTTTGAGAGAAAACAAGACTATCGCGAAAAAGAGTCTACATTGACGTGAGTGATTATGCGCAAAACTTTATTCTCTTTATTATATTTTAAGCTAGCCTGAGTTTTGCAATTGACCACGCATGGAACATAGCTATTTTGAATTGCGAAGATGATTATAATCACTGCCGGAGTTAAACAAGAATACATTTTTGAATGAAATCGTGACATGGTCCTAAATTTCTCACGTTTCTTGATCGCTGAAGCGTGAAAAGTAGGAACATGACGCAGTTTCTTCTATCTTTCTATGAAGAATTTTCTCATGGACGAGTGTCGCGAGAAATCCAGATAGAACCGGTTGAATCCAGTTATGACCGTTTCGTATGGCTGTTTTGCCATGATGTACCTTCTTGTTTACGCGTTGTCAGTTGGGAGTGGAGGTAACAACGAGGACAGTTTTGTAGGGTTGATGAAACCATAGGTCGTAAACTATGTTAAATTGGGTGATATGGTGAGTGATGAGTTTATACTTTCACCAGAAAAGTAACGTTGATGACAATGAGCTCGTGTGGTAAGTCGAAACCTACTATGCCTCAAGGCAGATCGGCTTCCAAGATGGATGATTTTTAATCATGATATTCATTGGAAGAAATTAGTAGTGAGTCTGGGTTTGAATAAACCTAACATTATTTTTTTTTTCATTATTGCCATGAATATGATACCTTGTGTAATTAAGAGGTGCAAGATCAAGTTTTCAGGCTCATATTGGGTAACCTACTGACTAACACATAATTACTAGCATTAGGTCACTGATGCCACATAGATGACTGTTATCACTTATAACATATGTTGTATACATACAGAGTATTCATAAGATCCTGTATTAAATAAGGTAAAAAAAACTTTGATGTGCTACAGGTGGTGGGCACATAAAGGGGTATGTTAGCATACACAGTAATGTGATTAGGTTTGGTAAAGGATCTTCCAGCACAGTTTTAACAGTATTCATCCATATGTATCGCTCATTAAACTAATTTTCCAGAATGCTTTCTTGTGACTTTTTATTAGTATCAGCTTAATATTGATTAGTTAATGTTCCTGGATTAGTCATCGCAATGTATTCAATAATAAAATGGTCCTATGATGATGAGTAGCAGTTTGGTTATTTTAAATAAACCTTGAGTGAATGCATTTTATATTATCGATTTATTTATTCATGTTATCCAGCTCTAATGTGACCATACACATTTTTGAATATACTATCATAGGAAATTGAAATTCATTCGAACCCACTGTGCGGTTCTTCCATTCTCATTGCTAACTGTTTACCGCGAAGCAATGTTAATTTTTATTATACTTTTATTATTACTAGATAGTTGATATATTTTACATATTAAATTAACTATATATGTACATCCCTTTTTATTCGCATATTATTAGTCCTGATTTAAGAATGTAACTGTAGGTAGTGAGAAAAATTATTCCAACGACATATTATCTAGAAAAGACATTCTTATTGGATATAAAAATTGTTGAAATATCTTTATACAGTCATATTTATTATATGTTCATGTTCACTTATCCCAGTATCCTCGATAATGAAGGCAATCCAATGTGTCTCCATCACTCATCAATCTGCCAAAAAAATTTTACAGAATAGATTTGAATCTCAAAGCTACAGGTTTTTATCGCACATATTACCAGTATTGCCACTAGGTAACAGTTGACATGATGTATATTTAAAAAATGGTAGCCTATTCTAGTTGTTGATAAATATGAAGATAGGGGGATAGATGATTGCTTTTAGTGATATTATGATGAGTGTATCAAGTCATGTAGCGATGACGAATTATAGTGTCCAGATGTTACTCTTGAACACTTCATGATGTTCTTTCTCTATAAGGTATTATGTCTGAAGTATAATTCAAATTTATTTATTTCAAAACAGAATCAGGCCATAAGTATCTATGTAATTCATAACATTGCTGCAGAGCTTACTGCAGCAGTGTATTTTGTACAGTGTAATGTTAAAACATAAAAAATCAAACTTGTTCGTGATGATCTACTCCTGTTTTCCTGATACCTCATTGAAGTGAGTTCTTAAATTTTTACTGGTACAAGATTAAAATGCTTGCGTACCAATCCCATTTCTACTGGATATATTTATGTATTCGGAGTAGGGAAGCATTCAATCTAGTATGGAACTAACGTATAAGCCATACCAGGCCCGCCGGTGTTCATATATGAATACTTAGTATTCTGGGATTCTTCTCATTAATGTAATATATTTTTGAATATTTTAAATTGATCTGTAGCCGAATCCTGGTACATTTGACATAAATATGACAAGCTGCAGCAATGAGAAGTTTTTCTAAAAGCAGTACCTTATAATTATCTCTTTTTCCAAATAGAATTTTTTATGTATATATAATATATGCTATAGTTCCGAGAAGAAAATTAAATTTTGACGTCAATGAAATAGATATAGTTGAGGCAATCTCATTTCTGATAGACTTCATTATGTTTTTGTTTCTTATTTTTTCACAAAAATATGATTATGGAGCTTGTTTCATAATAAGCTCATCCAAATCGCTAAGGGTCAAAACTATAAATGTCATTGTGCTCATAACTGAAAAATAGAGAATTTAACAAGCAACTTACTTGATTTGCAGTTAACAATACTGATGGCAGATGGCACGCCAGATTTTGCTGATCTTCTTGCTGCATTTGATGATGCACCACCTGCTGTAAGCTTGCAACAGATCACCGGCACCACTCATGGAACCAGCTTACATGCTGGTGCTGTACAATTTAGCGGGAATGTTCCGTTGCAATTTACTCAAGGTTATGCTGAAAATAGAAACAATGGTCCATTTAGACAAATCAACCAACAAGGATTTACAACTCGTAATCAAACACGTCAGATGCCTACTACGAATCCAGATATTTCATCAGGTAATAGTGTGTTCAATTAACGGTATTTCTGGCAAAGGTTTCAAAAAAATTTTGTTGATTTTCAAATTATTTTTAATTGTTACATATATTACATGGTATTGAATTCTGTTTGACAGAATTACAGAGTCATCACAACTTTTCTGATGATGTCACAACACATGGTGCAGCAGCTGATGATTCATTCAGTGGAGGAAGTCTTGGATCAATGTTTCTTTCATCAGTTGAATCTTTCTTATCAGATGAAGGAACAAGCCCATATATGATCCAACTTCCACAAACTCAAAACACTGTGCAACCAAAAACAGCACAACGTAAGCAGAGACAAAATCAAAAAACGATTAACGCACCATCCCGGAATCAAAACTATCAATCTAATAAAGTTGTACAAAACACAGAACCTTTATCAGGGATTCATAGATCACAATATACCAATGTCACCCAATCTGCTGCTAGCCCGTTCCAAAGGCCAGTGCAATCACAGAGCAATGCAGCAGTTCATGGAATGAAAATGGGAACACCAGTGTCATCTCCTCCATTTGGGATGCCTACTGATATGCAAGGAAATACTGGAGTTGCAAATTTGCCTCCTAATGTTGGTGGTAAGTATCTTGTATTACATAGTTTATTGCACCCTTTTATATATGTTTCTGTCTCACGGTTCTTTTCTTTGCAGGCCAGCAAAAAGCATTTCCACAAGTACAAGGCCAATTTATTCATCCAAACTTAGGACGACAGCAAGTGCAACCCGCTCTGCCTAATCCACCTCGTCCATTGTCTGCTGCATCTTCCACTTCTGATCATCCTGGAAGTCACCCAGGCAGTGTTCCTCAACCCAGTCCATCTTGCGGGTCTAACCACTCAGGAGATCCTGCCACACCCCTGACACCTCAGTCTTACAATGCTGGAACACCACAGTCTTATAACCCTGGCACCCCGCAGTCGAATATTATAAATCAACAGCGACAACGAGCTTCAGGATATTCTGAACTTCAACAGGTACTTATATTCAGAAAAGGAAATAATTTTTGATGATCCTCATTATTACACCCAAATTTGTTGCAAAAATAAACCTGAAATGTTATCTTCATTGCTAATCAAAATGTATGTTTTTGTTAGATTCCTGGACAGGCTGGTCAAAATTCAAATGATAGCTTCACAAGCAATCAAAGAACAACAGCATATCAACAGCAGCCTTCTCCATTAAAGCCTGCAATAAATACATCCAATGATTCTATTTCTAATCTGCATATACCAATGAAAGAATCTTTTATTTCTCCGATCAATGCTGGGTCGTCCCATGAAAATATTGGAACCTGTAATCTTGCATACAATGATAATTCTGTGATGCATTCTATCGCTACTGATAACAATACCAGTCAACCTTGGATTCCAAACACAATTAATAACTCAAATGTTACACCAGCATTGATGGCACCAGATTCATTGTTTATTAACAAACCAGCCAACAATCAACATACAATTCCAGCCTCCACCTTTGCGGCTTCAGACTGGCAGCATAATTTTGGAGCTTCTGAAACTTTTGGTGATGGATTTGGTATGCCATTGCACAATCAGCAACATTTGGAGCGTGCAGATACGGGCCCTGGTACAGCAAGTCTAACTTCAAAGCAAAATGCACTTCTTGATCAATTATCTTCATTTGGCAAATCAAAGATGAAACAACCTAACTTCGCTCCGCCATCGTCTTTAGAGAATATTTTAGAATCTGGACCTAGTGGACTGATGTCAAATCGATTTCCAGAAAAATTTGATATACCATCTGGATTATCTGTTTCAGAATCGAATGCCACATTGAATATGATGAACAAGGCTAATGATGCTGGTACTGCAGCTGTTAAAGGGGTAATTATCAACTTTCTTGGATGGGCTACTTATCTGTTAATATAGATCTAATAGCAGTATTAAATTATGTTCTAACCTTAATTAGAGCTTCACTTAACTAAGCTACTACTAAAGGTGTGTGCTATCCTATCACTTAATAATATTGAATAGTGTGCTTTCTTACTGACATATGGATGAAAAAGATAACCAAATCATATTATGACTTTCTGTAGCGTTCAATACAACACAATTAATTCTCCATGCTTTTTTCTGCACTGTCAAAATGCCAAGCATTGTTTGGGCCAGTGTTAACTCTAAGCAAATTATGAGTGCGAAAGTGCTTCGCAGTCGAAAAAAAAAGTGCGAAAGTGCTTTTGCCGATTTTAACAAGTTAGGTGCCCTAGCCTTTCATATAACCCATTTAAAACGGCATAGATACTCGAAAAAGCGCTCCTCCGGTTAATATTATGAATTAAAGAGAAGCCTTTACGTTAACCGAGTTTTCTTCAAGCGAATTCATGTTTAATTAAAACAAGCGAATCGGCAACAAAATGACATCTGCTAACACCTGCCGCGGACAAAACTTTCATGCAATGTATCACCGTGTCAGTTGCTTACTCGCGTAAACAGCAAAGACTTTCACATTTGTTACTCCTTCCATCTAACAGACACGAGGCAGGCTGGAAACCATATTAGTTACAGGGTGGATCGTTTATACAAATCCCGTGCAAAATACCCCCCCCCCCCCCCCCAAATATAAATAGCAATCAACTAATTAGGGTTAGTTGCGCTGGAAATTTAACTTTTCGATTTATCCCTAAACTTAATCTGATAATTATTAATTTGTGATTTTGAACCACTTTGAAAGTCGCCGCCACCCGCTGTTTTAAAAGATAGGTTAACCTACGTTCCCTCCGAAATAGTAAGCAGGATACTCCCTTGTTTTTGGAGATAGGTCGACCTACTTTCTTTTCAAACTTTTTTCTCCCAAATATTACACAAGATCACTTTGAAAATCTTCCCGTTTCGTGAGCTAGCGTGACCTAATTTCTCATTTACATTTATATTATACTATTTCAGAGCTTACCCAAAGACAAGTAATTTTTAAATGTCAACATGCCTTGGTTTGCGTGGGAGTTAGTTTGAATCGAGCAGAAAACATCATATATTGGCAAAATGTTTAGTAATGTCATGTACTTTCAGCATTCATAAATAGCACTCTTTGTAATGCTGCTGACCTAGTATCAAATATTCGCATCACAACGCCACTTGTGAGGTTTCCATATATTTCAATTACACTAATAGGAACGATGACCAAAGAGTTTTCTTTTGCGAAGGTACACTAAATATAACAAGGGTGATTCTTGAGAAAAACATGAACATAAAAAATAAACGAATGATATGATAGTGAATCCCAAATAATTTTGAGAGTGTCTCGAAGTGCCAATCCATTTGATAAATAATTTTTATTTGACCAGATGAACGCTGATAACCTGAAAATTAATGTTGAAAGAAAATTACGCATTCTCAGATATCGGACATCCAGTCACGATATTCAATCGTTCATATGCACAAATCTCACATTAATAGTAATTGCTACCCAAGTTTGTAAAGTTTAGAAACCAACAAACAGAAAATAACTTATCCTAAAACATAATTAAAATTCAGTCGGCAATAAATTCGTCGCCAAGACATGCCATACAAAACAAAAAAGATTTGGTCGCGAGAGTTACGTGAGATGACTGTTTTTTGGGCAAAATGTAAAAAAATTTATAATTAATAAACGGGAGTTACGACGCCCTTTACACATCGTGTGTATTAAACTTCCCTGGTAAGTACTTTGGTAAGTACTATTATTATTGTACCTAAACACCTGTTGGAGTATTTCGGACAATTTCGAATTTAAAATAAATGAAAACCCGACATATAATAAAGACGCAAAAGTAAAATGAACATTTATTGAAAAAGTTATTATTTAAGAAAGACAACATGATCGTACAATTCCGCCAAAACCTCAATGTTCGCAAGTGAAATAATAAATAAATACTTCAATTGACTTTAGCGTATCGTTGTTCTGCCAACAAACAGCCGGGTGCAAAATATTTCCGTCCTGTGATATGCTCACAAATATTCTCGATATTAATATCATACCCTCGCGTATGTACTTTCTATTAGCACTTCAGTGTGATCCCTTCCATCCTTGGCCAAGTCATGTTTCGAATATGTGAACATTTTATTCGACCATACATGGCCGGCAGGATGTTAAAATTGTAAACAAGAGAGAGGTAAAATCAATCGCGAATTTCGTTATAACGGCTCGTTTACGAATTGTTGCGCCTGTTATCGTCGAAAATGATTACATTTGTTGTATTTTGAGGCATTTAAGCAGTAAAAATTAGGGCATGACATCATCAAAATCGTCAAGTGAGATCTTGAAATTGCAAATTCCGTAAATAAAATTGTGAATTATTCGGTAACGAATTCAGCTTTAATGACGGTCGGGGTATTGTTTTGTTGAAAATTATTATTAATGTGAGAGCGCCAAAAACATACAGTCCATACCGATGCGACTGCAATTTATATGGTCGCAATTGGTGTGGCGCGTTTATTAATAGTGTAAAATAAATTAAACGAATATCAATTATAACCAAGCCTGTCAGCGTGTTTATTTTCTGTGGGCAGGAATCGTAAAATACCATCTTGAGACAAATTCACTTCTATTATAAAATCCTAATTTTCAGTTATTATCGTTATACAAATAACATGTGGCAACTTTTTAATTTATCGTCGACCAAAAAACGCCCCACACTCGTCCAAACGTGTGTCGAGCTTGAACGGCAGGAACAGATTCATCGACGACCTTAATTAGGGAAAATATGTATTTTATTGGAATGCAAAATAAATGAAACAAAACGCATTTTTTTGTGATATAACTTTGTATTTTTTGAAACGGGTTGCCGTGAAAGGTAAAATTTGATCTAAATTAATCGCAAAAATGTTTTACTTTAAATGTAACAAAACACATTTTCGCAATATAACCTTGTATTTTCGGAAACTGGTGTAGTGAAAAGTAAAATATGATCTAAATTAATCGCAAAAATGTTTTATTTTAAATGTAACAAAACACATTTTTCGAGATACAACTGTATTTTCGGATACCGGGTGTCGTGGAGAGTAAAATATGATCTGAATTAACCGTAAATAATGTTTCATTCCAAATATATCATAACACATTTTTTGCGATATAACTTTGTATTTTCGAAAACGGGGCGTCATTATTAATCTAATGTTTTATCTATCGTCTAACTAACGTCTGGAACACATCATTTTCGGGGAGAACTCTAGCCCGCGAAACGTCATTTAATTTTAAATACAGAATGTTTCACGCATTTCAAAACGGAAAATCACCAGTGAGTCGACAGGGATTCAACCCTCCGGATTCAGTATTTTATATCCCGGTGTCAGAACTTTCTGAAGAATGGAACAAAAAACCCGTCAAACCGCCGCGGAATAAGGGGAGTATTTTTGCACTAATAATTAGGGCGTGACAATATCAAAATCGTCAAGAAACTGGTGAATTTGCAAATTCCATAAATAAAATTGTGAATTGCTCGGTAACATTTTAGCTATAATTGTCGCCGGGGTATTGTTTCGTTGAAAACACGTTGAAACTTGAGGGAATTAGTTACAATTAGCGCCTGACCTCTATTAGGCACTCGAGCCCAATCTTTTCAGCATTAAGTCGCATACGTAAAATATCCTGTAAAAGAAGTGCTGTTCATTAACGTCATCTCGTCTTATGACCACGCAGAAATGCCTTTATAGCCGAATTATTCGATCACTATTTCAAATCAATATTCAGGATTGGCACAATTTCAGATTTGCGAAGTTTATCACCATAGAAATACGTGAGAAAGTTAATTATCGGCTTAATAAATATCTGCCTCACGGTATGGACAATAATATTACCATTCGCATAAAATCGGGACGGTAAATTTACAAATCTTGATAGGTAATATTAAAGCCAACGCAAATGTTAATTTGAGTCCTCAATGTCTTCAACACCTGTTGCCGATGTGAACGAACGGGTAAACCCGAAATATAAAACTTCGATGTCCGCCGACCCACAAGAATTCATATTTGTAAAAAAGAGAGGGCGGGAATATAGATTACCCAAAACCTGGATATCGCCGCCAAAACGATCGGTGACAAGAACAATTAGCGATTACAACGGAATTAACCAGTAAAAAGGCTTTGTTGCCGATTTTTTAATGTTTTCACCTTGTTTATTTGGTACTCCTTAAAAATATTCGATTCAAAAAATATTGAATTTTGCCCACCCGTCCTCGCATATCAATGAGAAATAGTTGTGTAAATATCGCAAAATTCCGGAAAATGCCACGTCCTTTCAACATTGTGATTACAATAAAATGGCACTTAATGGTATTTTGTGAATTTGTTGATTTTGCAAATCTGTGACATGCTGCTAAAAGTTTCGTCTGATTTGAAAATCGTGCAGTTTGGTCACAATTCATCCAAAGTGACTATAACACGTTACTAACACTTTTATAGTCATTTTGGAGCGTTTTTTGCGGGAGAAGCGGAATCGGCAGTGCTTGTATAATAATCATATTATAAACAAGAATTTTGCGGTTAATGCAAAAGCTATGTCTGCATCTCATAGGTTAGAATTCCGGTGAATATCGTTATGATATGCAGAACTGAGTTACAAAAGTACTAGTATGTTACTTATTTGTCAACTTAATACTCGAAAATATTTGTTAACTTTGAATTTTTATTCCATTCAAAATCGGAAAAAAGTGCTATTTCTCTTCAAAATCGGAAAAAAGTGCTATTTCGCAGTCCCTAAAAAAAGTTGCGAAAGTGCTTCGCAATTTTCGCAAAAAAGTGCGCTAATAGTGAACACTGGTTTGGGCCATATAGTGCCAGATGGCTGGCGCAGGGCCAGGATTTTCAAAAGGGGAGGGTTTCAAAATCTGAAATTCCCATTTCTTTCTGAAACAGCGCCGCAATTCCGAGCTCGTTAAAGAGTCTTCTTTTTCAGCGACTGCCGACTTTTCTGTCACGGAAATATTCAATTCATGACAGCTACGAAAATCTCAAATTTCCTTCTATATTAATATAATTGTACCTAACGTAACCGGTGGTTGTTTTGCGTCAAAATAAAAACATTACTACTCTAAATTACCACGTCAATCTTTTGACATAAAAATATGAGATAAACATGACTAATTGTATTTAGTTTTGATACTTTTTCTTTTCGATCTTGCGAATCGGCGCTAGAAAAATCTCAAGATCTGTAATAAAATTTCGTACAAGTTTCGAGTACAATTAAATACCTATAAAGTATATCAGTGAATCAAAAATACATATTCATCACCCCGAAATCCTCGCGGAACGACTTTTTCGAGGGATTATAGTGATTTTTCTATTGTGCAGAGTAATCAATCCATGACCGATAGGAGCATATTCAAAATGTCTTGCTTTATTAATTTAATTGTCTTCAATTTAACCTGCGGTTAGGTCGACAAGATAAATGCATAATTACTCTAAAATACCACCGCGATCCGCGGACATACCCCCTCCTCCTGGCTCCGCCACTGCCAGATGGTATTTGAAATGGTGTGATAATCCTCGCCAAATACCAATGTATCTAAAGTCCAGAGATAAGTATGGCCTATTGCAGACTTCGCTTATTTTTTTACTTTTTTATATACCAGTTATTCAGCTCTCAAGCAACTCATTATGAAGCAATCAGTCCTATAAGTGATTACGCAATGTCTCCTGTAAGCAAAACAACAGTTAGTGATGATACTCTACCTGAAAGCTTTCTCTTTTCTCCGTGAGTAAAATATATTTAGTTTTATAACTCTTTATTAATGGTGAATTATCAGGGCATAATTATTTTAATGGAAATTTTTTATTTTCAGTTTTTCGTTGCTGTAACTTGTGGTCAGGATGTGAACAATAGGGATGACCAGAACTGTTAAATTTCTATCTCATAGTTTTTGGAATAAGAAATTTTTATATTTTAAAGTTATGTGTGTCATGTAAAGCAAAACAGAAGTTTGAAGTAATATCTGAAAAGATTTTGATTTGTTCGGTCATTTATTTATAAATCAGTTTTCGGAAATTAAAAGAAGGCTCATTTGCTCAATTAACATTTCCAAAATGATTCTATCTACAATTATTCCTAAAATTCAATTTATCAAATGTTAATAATTGATTATTGGAATGTTTGAGTAACATCCTTGGTGAGAAATAAATGAAATGCCATCTTGCAAACATTTTTATGTCTGCTTGCCATAATCGTTTGACACATACAGGTAGTTAATTAATATCATTTATGCATACTAATGTATCTTGTGGGTGTTTTTTTTATAATCGGTTCGTAAGCACTGGCTGGTGGTATCTTTCATGGGTACTATTTACATCTTATATGTGTAATTATCGCTTATGTTATTGCGTCAAAATTTCATTTAAGATGGTTCATATGCTTCAAATGATAACACTTTGATTTCTTTTTTCAATAGATCAAAGTTCCCTTCTGAGAAGACTGATATGATGATCGACCAAGACATATCCAGTTCTGTTGTTTCAGATGTTGCCTCAACTGATCCTGTGCTAATGTATGTGAAGCACGACAATGCTAAACATTCTAAAACCAATGTCAACAGCAATCCCAGTTTACCTGGTCAATTTCTCTCCCAAGAACTGAATCTGAACATGTCAGCTACTTTGAAAAAAGACTTGATGCCGCCTGTGTCAGCAAACTATGGTAATGCAGGTAGTTTCAATAGAAACTCTCAGCAGTTTGTGAAATCGTCACAGTCAAGTCTTTTATCAAGTTTATCAAACCAAACTTCAAATGTTGCACCATCGTTTGAGCCTAATAGCGCATTGAGGCAGAAGCAATCATGGGGCTCTTCATTGCCCCCATTTGATAGCTCACGTTTTAGTGTCGATGCTTTGCCATTCCCTGAGCCTGCCATCTTGAATAAATCGAGTGGTTTTACATCAAAAAATCTGCAGTCATCTCCTATGAAAAAGAAACCTATTATTGGAACCTCTGATCCAAAAACAATTGATCAGCAAGGAAGTTTTGGTATAAATAGGAGAAAGAGTAGTTCTGAGAAATCTAAGGTATCATTGAGCAAATCTAAAAAGTCTTCAATTGATACTGATTTTGGCTTTGAATCTGACGATGATGCAGAGCCAACAATTTGTTTAAGTAAGCCAACACCAAAGACAAAAGCAGCTAAGAGTAATAAACCTGAGTCCAACCTGATGTCCCCTAAGACACGATTGCCCATTGCTACGGTTGGATCACATATGAAAAATCAAATGGAGCAACTGAAAAAACTACATGAACAGCAAGAAATGCTCCTAAAGATTCAAAAATTCCAAGAGCAATGTGGAAGTTCGGCACCAATTTCAAATCGAGGTAATATGAGTAATCAGCAAGTAATACCTAAAACTCAGGCAGTGCCATACCACAGACAGCCACATCCATCATCTAAAGAAAAGAAACCTTCAAATTCATCAGCGCTTCCAAAGTTTTCATCATTGCCTCTGCCTATGTTGCCTAAAGTTTCTCAAGCAGTACAACCTAATATGCGGCCTTCAATAGAGTCATCTATACGAATTGCAACATCTCAATCTGACGTTCCATCAAAAGAAAGTGAAATATCCAAATATTCGTCTCGTAGCTCTACGTCACATGCAATGACATGCACTTCAATAACTCATGGTGTCCCAACATTTACATCGACTTCAAGTCAATCTTTACCGCATTTTTTAAATTTTCTAACAACACCAGTGACCTGCACTGGCCCTGTGTCTCAACCTCTATTGTATTCTGTAACTCCATTCACAAAGGCTAATCAAACATCAAGTTCCACAGAATTGTCAAGTTTTTCTGGACCTGGTGCTCTTATGCAAAAACATACAACCTCGTCATTTACACCTCCTAAAACACCAACACGTTCAGTATCATCGTCAGTCTCTGTAAGCAGTAATGTTCCTCAGCACTTCCCTTTGATGTCTACAACTGCACCTTTGATGTCTACTTCTGCAAGTATTACAACTTCTTCGTCTAAACATCAGCGAATGTCTCTGTTGTATCCACCACTCAGATCAGTGTCAGATACTTCGATAACATCAACGATTTCTTCCATCTCTTCACTGCCAATCAACATGTCGTTACCACAAAAAAGTCTTCCATCGCCAACTCCTGCTCCAACATTTGTTGGTGATAATATAACAAAGACTAATTTAATTTCTGATATGTCACAAGCGCAAATGTCATCGAATAGACCTCAACCTTTTGACAATAGGCATTTTGATTTGGACTGGCTACATCGCGAACCTTACAGTCGAATTCCAAACAAGAGTAAGACACCAGAGTCTGGAAGAAGCCTTGTGACCAAAACATCTGCGGATTCGCCATTTCAAAATGCAGCAACCTCTACTCATCTTGACATTGGTTCAGCAGTGACTGTTTCAAAGCCTGAGATAACTTCTGCTTCAGAAGAGGGAACAGTTACATTGAAGCAGAGTATTCACACAGTTCATCATGTGGATATACCGAAGTCACACCCTTCTACATTGACTAACAAAGATAGCACCCCAGTTTTCCAGGAAACGAAACATCTTAATCATAAAAAGCATAGGATACTTGAAGCTTATCCTCAGTCATCTGACAGCTATAAATCTTCTATCAATACTCCAAGTTCCAAATTTCAGAATGGGATTCCAACCTCTCTTGCGCACAGTGTACTGGATAAGCAACGGCGATATTCGAAAGAACACAGTAATAAAAAATTCACTCACAGAGTGTCACATCATGTTATAAACGATAAGAAATCTATTTCAGCTGCGCAAACCAAGCAGTCTGATTTACCCACTGTAAAGACCGCAAATAATACCGGTGGCATATCTGAAATGAGAAGAGTTTCTTCAGAAGCTGAAAAATCTGTCTCTGCAGTTGAAAAACCTGACAAAAAGGATGATGATCAAGCTGGAAGTATGCTGTCATTTTTCAACTCTCTACTTCAAGAAGCTTCACAATCAGCAGCAGACAGTCTGAAAACTAAAGCTGAAGACAGTGATAAAGAAGGTGAAAATCCTGTGGAACAATCACCGAAGGTGTCAGGTGATTTACGAGGAATGCTAGAGGCTAAAAAATCGATATCTGCTCCTGTAACAACAACCTTATCTGCAGGCACATCAAACCCAGTGGCAAAAACATCAAACCCAGTGAAAAAAACTGTTGTTCAACCGGTACATACAGTCAAAAACATCCCAAAAAAGAATCGACCTGCCGCCACTGTGCCATTTAAAAGAAGACCTTACCCAGCCATTGGTGATAATGAAGCTGTTAATTTGTCTGGGAACACAAAGATACTTCCAACCACTCTCCCAGTGTCCCAGCCTACAAGCGCTGGGAGTACAGCCATCAAACAAAAATTGGTTACTGCTACATCCACTGCAGCAGTGCCTTTACCGTCTTCAACTCCCAATACAATTACTCCACAATTGACTTCAGTCACAAGGAGTGTGAGTATGAAAGAACCTATACAAACCTCAAAAGTTGCAAGTACAAGTGTAAATGCTACTATTACGACTGTCCCAGTAGTCACAAGTGTAAATGCTACTATTACGACTGTCCCAGTAGTCAAAAGTGTAAATGCTACTATTACAACTGTCCCAGCAGTCACAAGTGTAGATGCTACTATTATGACTGTTCCAGCAGTCAATATTGCTAAAGTTTCAGAGTGTGATCCAGCAACAGAAAACGCTCTACCCAAAATATCAGCTGTTCCTAAGCTCAGAATCACTATGTTTCGTTCCTCAAAAGGCCAGGTTATTCACCAGGCATCAATGGTAGGTAATGCAGTCAATGAAGACTCCGTGGATTCTGACCACACTACTCATAAAAAACATAAGAAAAAGAAGAAAAGAAAGAAACGAAAAAGGTTATCTTCCTCAGATTATGACTCATCAGTTTCATCTTTAACATCTATGTCATCTATGGAACCTAGTATTAAACTTACTCAAATGGCCAATAAATATAATGAAATAGCGAGCAAAGTTATAGAAAAAACATTGGAGCAACCACCACCTTCTACCCAGTCTACGCCCATCATAAAAATTGCGCCAATAGTCGATTCAACGAAACCACCTCAAAAGCGAAAAAGAACAAAAGCAAGCACTGTGGAAAATACTGAAAAGAAGAAGCCAATGAAACGTGTCAAAGTCTCAAAGACAACGACCAAGAAAAAGTCTGACACAAAAAGCAATGAACCTATCGCAAGGTATCAGCCAAAATCTGCACTTAACTCAGTTTCCCCAGGTACACATTCAACCACAAAAGTTTCTGTAACACTGCCGTCAGCGTTTCATCGAGCACCAGGAAAGTTGCCAATGTATATGAATGCATCTGACTCGACGTCTGCTGCAGTGCCTACAATACAATTAGTAGCTCGTAACACAAAACTTTTAGAAAGTGTTATTGATAATAAAGAAGCACAGTCTAAAACTGCTGGCTCAAGTGGGGCAGGAACTCTATTGCCAAAAACCTTGTCCACAGGATTACTCGCAAATACTGGGATGCAATATATAATCCCCAATAGCCGAGCACCACAGCGTATCATTCTGCCTAATATATCAACTCCTATAACAATGCCAATGTCACTGGTATCACCTCTGTTAGGTCGGTCTCTTTCATCCGGCTTTTATCCAATTACAGTGTCTAATGCCAAACAGGGTATATCAATGTCCTTCTCGGTCAGTGATACTGTGGTTTCATCAACTAAAGTCAATTCCAAAATATCAGAAGCAAATTTGCAAAGTTTAAAACCATCACCCAAAAAGTCATCAACTTTGGCAATTGTTCGACCTTCAGATGCAACATGCCTGTTCTCCGATCAACTTTCACAATCAAACACTGTAACAAGAACATTAGTACTGCCCAGGGTAACAACGAAAGTCACGCCCACTTTAATACCAACTTCAACAAGCATGAACAGTTTTCAGGTGAGGCTTATACAAGTTTCTAATGATGTTTCCTTGTGTGAATAACATACAGCCACTCACATAAACGGAGCTTCTAGCTATGGAAGAACGTGTGCCTTTACAGTTTTTTCAATTTGACCAATTAACCACTTTCAGCAGTATTTGCTTGTGAGGAAATGGGTGATCGCTGAAATAACAAGCGATGGTGATCGCTACCTGTAGTCTCGTACGAATCTATTGTTTTATGCTAGTATTTTCACCTATTTCATTAGGATGGTTCGAAAATAATGTATCAAAAGAAAGAGAATCCCATTCTGCGAATACTTTATGGTCTGCTGGCTGTTAATAAGCGGCAGAATGGATACTAATACACTTTCCAATTTGATAAATGGCACTCAGCTTTCCAGTAACAAAGATTCAATATTTACCTTTTTCTTGTAACTATAATTCCGTAAATTTTCTTTCAGTCTACCTTCTCCAAACTGATCAGCAGCCAAAACCCAATCTCGCAATATGTTCCTCCGGATCCACCAGAGCATCTCATGATCGATCCAAAAGCGAATAAACATCATCAATGTCTGGAATGTAAAGATAAATTTATGCTTCATGACAGCCTGGATGATCATTATGATAGGAGGTGCATTCTCATCAAGGTAAATTTGCACATATTTATATGTTATTTGGATCACATTTAATAAGACTGTAATTTTCCTCCATACATTTGGTCTGCTAGTTTGCTCTTTCCACACTAAACCCAGAAGTGATCTATTGTGATCCGATCTATTGTGATATAGCTCAATTGATTTTCTTCATGTTAAGATATATATATGAGATTTTATTTGATTAAATATGGCTATCAATCATTACTTATCGATTTTAATCGGTAAGTATGTTGATAGGTATTTGTCTGTTTGTCTGTCTGTCTGTTAGATGTACGCGATATCTCACGAAAGCGAGATTGAATCTGCTCCAGATTTTGCATGTGCATTCATCATATGTCGGACCAGAAGCCTATTGATTTTGAATGAATTATGTCGTATAATTAGCGAGTTGATAATTAATTAGTAATTGGACACAAGGTGTCACTATGGAGTAAGAGCACTGTTTTGGGGGATCCCCTAACTTTCGATCGATAAGTCTTCGGTCTCTGACCGATATTCTCGTTTTCTTAATTTGATTTAATGGCTGAAAATTTGTATAATCAGAATTTAATTATAAACTATATTTGTGACTTAACGTAAGAAGTGCAGTTATACTGTCAATCATACTATCTTGACTGGTTTCAGAATCTGACTTGGCTCGTTAAATAATCATACTATCTTGACTGGTTTCAGAATCTGACTTGGCTCGTTAAATAATTTATTGCTCCTGGATAGGTATATGTTCTTTTGTTGACATAAATTATGTTAGACAAGAACAATTAGAATATAGTAACTATTCTAGCCTTTATAGACTTTTTATTTCTATGCTGTTTGATTTGATGCAGGTTCGTTGTATGCAGTGCAATCAAAACTTGGTCTTTTTAAATAAGTGCAAACTTCTGCTTCACGCTCGTCAGCACAGTGATAAAGGAAATGGAATGCAATTCAATAATGCTCATATTTCACCTTTGCCACTCTCTATGTGCAAACCTCGTACTAGAGAAGAGTTTTTAAACAATAGTGCCTCCTCTGAGAGAAGAAGATCTTCAATTGCAAGTAGTGAGGATGAGACGGCAAGTTCGGGACTCAACACATCTTCCACCTCCAGTGATACTGTGATGGTAATTGGCCTATTATTGTTTTCGTATATCACTAAATAAGCATATTTCGATCCAAACATGGTTGGTTGCTGGATTTTTAGTAGTACTCTTTTTAGTTCCCCAGCATAGTCAAAGCCTTAACCTTGTTCAGCACTAACCAATCCATATTATGCTCTTTTGCTCCCAACCCGGATTAAGGTTTATTTTGATTAGGATTGAGTAAGTATATTTAGATCGCTTTCTTTCAATTAGATTCATTTTCCTTTTAAGGCTCTATTCAGTCAATAACATGCAATTAGCAGTATCCATTTTTGTCAATCTGGGGTCATATTGCCGTCTTATTTTACTTGTACATTATCGACTTAGTAATTGTTGAACTTATGCCAGTGACTATGCTGAGAAAAGTAAAAAAAAAAATTTTTTTTCACAAAATTTCTTTCTGAAAAGCCATGATTTATTTGAATTCCACTATGTAAAGTAAGATTTACCAGATAAAGTAATAAATGTTGTTATAAATCAAGCTTCGATGTTCATGGTACAGGCCTGCAGTGAATGCAACTTTCTGACAACAAGTCCGGAAGCATTGGAAGAACATTTTCAACGGCAATCGACACCGCCCTCACCAGATACTTCCGCTGGACCAAAACCTACCTCAAGCAAGTTTACATGTGATATGTGCAGCTTGACTGTATCAAATCAATGTAGCTTCAATGCACATATGAGAATGCATAAGAGATCTTCACCACATACATGCCCTGAATGTGGCAAAACTTTTGATAATGAAGGGTAAATTGTTTTTCCTATGTAGTTTATATGCTCTAAAATTTATTATTGTATTGAATGTAAATATCTAGATTCTAAATGCTTTTTTCAAACTATGAGGAAAACTTTATCCTAGTTGATATATTTGTTACCGTATAGCTATATAATACAGTTTGCGATATTCCAATCAAAATCCTGACAGTGTCCCGAGCAAAAAAAATTCAAACTGTTCTCTTTCCAAACACATCGGCATCCTACTTCTTATTATAAGCTCATATAGAGCCTTTGATGACGATAAAGGGTACTCCCGTAGTGTGTGTACCAGGTTAGGGTTAGGCCATAATTTCATTACGATTTTCCCCATTTTAGTTCTATTACGAGTTCGGTGACTCGTGACTGTCCGTGTCAGCCAAGTGAATATACCCCCTGCCCTTAGCTTTCAGTCCCTTTACACAACTTTGTGTAAACTAGGCAAAAAAAATTAGTCACCTTCATATTGGTACACACACTTCTGGAGCGTCCGGTAAAGTTGTGAAAGCTCGCCATAAAAGCGTAGCACAGCTCAAATAGGAACATGTTTTAAATCGATTCTCAAAACAATATTTTTTTTTAATTCAAAGCATTAGTAAAACTATGATAATATCATAAAAGTTCTAAGTACTTTTATTTTCATATGAATGTTTATTCATTTTCATATTCGTAATAGCATATCGATGAAGGTATTATAAAAGTATTCATTGTTTCACCAGATGATGGATGCTTACTTTTGAATCTCTGTGCTCCTTTTTTCTTTCTTCAGTCTTTTTATAACCGCTTCAACATTCCTTAAGGTCAAAAGAACAAACCTGTTCTGAAAACAAGAAAGAGATTGATTTCAATCTTCACTTGAGTATTGAATGTTTCCATCTATCCCGAATGTCATGTTACAAATGTAGGATCTGTTGCTCCATTTTCAAAAACGCTGAACTATTGCGCAGGCACTTAGAGGTAAGTTGTATACATAAAATTATCAAAGTTTCATAATTTATTTCATTGATTAGCCTATAATGTAAATGGGGAGCATATAACGATGGCCTGTGTTGTAAATTTGAGGATTGTTTATTAACTTACTTTAATGAATAAAAATTCCATAACAATGTTGTAGTCCTAATATCTTTTTATTGGTTGTTAATTGTTATTATTAGTATAGAGTTTTCATTCCACCTTGATTTCACTAATAAATTCAAAAAAAATATTCAGACCAATGGGAAATATCTGATTTTGAAAATAATTTTCTCAAATTTTTTATGGCATGGTGCCACATGGACCATATTTAGCTACCGTGTATTGAAACCGTATATTATTTCACTCCTTAGGTTCGTCATTTGCAAACATTTTACAAATGTCGCGATTGTCCTATGGCTTTTAAGACTCAGGAAAACATCGCAAGCCATCAAAGATCTGCTCATGGAGTCGTTGCAGTCACAAAAACAATACACAAATGTCCGCTCTGTGATACTGTCTTCACAGACAACAGTCCAACTCAACAACTCTTCCTTTTACAAAAACATTTTGAAGGCCACATCAATCATCCTTCTATTAACATTACAGCTTACAAAGTGAGTGAAAGTAGTGGTTATGTTTACAACAATGCCAAGGTTCATTTTTGATCCATTTTGTCTCTGCTGGTACATAGGAATAGCATCAAGACAGCCGCTAAATATGAATAATCATAAACAAATATAATAGTTTTCATTATATAAATGTTGACAATGTGCTTCAGCCTCGCATCTCGCATGCTTTCTTGTCTTGTCAGACGTTAGAATATTTGTGTTTGGTATGTTTGTACTAAATTCCACCAGAACGTTCCAAATTATATAACTAGTCTATCCGAATTTGTTCATGATTTTCTACCTAATAAATTGTTTATTATACTGTTTTACTGATAGAAGTGGTTAAGCATGGAAATTGCCATTCATTGTCAATTAGATATTTATGTTTCTTCAGCATGTATTTAATGACTATAAAAAGGGTCAAAGCAATTGTATGGTATCGTTTCTATATTTCTATTCTGTCTTTCTAAGTCATGTAGACCTTATGTCTACAGTATATTGTTTTATTATTAATATTATACCAGCATTCAATTATTGAGCAAAACCCTTTATAATTTCAGTGTCTATTCTGTAACAATATTTATGAGAGGAAATCCTTACTTCGTGAACATTTGAAATCAGCTCATGGGGTAACTGCAACAAATGAATCGTGCAGTGATGATTTAACGAAAGAAATAAATGAAGCTCAAATGCTGATGGATTTATCTACAAAAGAAAATACTGGAGGTTTGTGAATGCTGTAATACCGTTTTTTCCTCCAATTACTATATCATGCATGACGCTAAAGAATAGAAAAAAGAGACCTAATAAATACCATAGCAAGGTTTCATTCTCTGCTTTCAAGCTCATGACCTTCATCTCAACCAGGATGTAATACACTAGGATTTTAAACGAGTCAACCCTCTTGAAAAATAATCTTGCTATTCTTCATTTTTTCTTTTTTAGGAAATTTGAAAAAGGGAATCGCAAAAAAAAGAATTGCGAAAGTGTCCTCCAAAGAGCCTTCTTCGAAAGTAAGCTTTTTGTAGTACTTGACTCCGGCACAAATAGTTCTATTTTTATTTGAAGTCAATCGATCAATATTATGCATCTGATCTTTCTAAACATTGTGTTGGTTTTTTGAATTGTATGATCATTTGGTATTTCTGCTTCACCAAGTAGATTCGCCTTTCAATGCAGATCATAATTGTTTTAAACATTTGGATAGCATGATAATTCAGAAATTTTTGAAAAATTGTTATCATAATCATAATGAATTTCTGTAGGAAATGCTATTGTGATAGTGAATTTTGTCAAAATAAATTTGTTTGATAAATTGAAAAATTTGTCAAGATAGCTTCTTAGTGAGCTATGGCTAGAAATGAAGGTTTTTGATTCAATGTACAAGTTAGGTTTGTTTCATCAACTATATAAAAGTTGGATGCTTTTCCAAGATGATGTTTACATTAATTTAGTAATTGCATATGCTAACTTTGGTACTTAAAAAAAACTTGTATATTTTTTTTTTTTGAAAAATTTTTCAATACATAAATTGGTGCTCCCGAAGTATGCGAACCAAGATGGCGGACATCGGAACGTAACAGGTTAGGGTTAGGCGATAATTTTTTTCCAATTTTCCTTATTTTAGTCCTATTATCAGTTCGAAGACTAGCCAAGAGCCTCCCGTAGTATTTATACCTAAAATTATGGCCTAACCCTAACCTAGTACCCATGTTACGTTCCGATGTCCGCCATCTTGGTTCGCATACTTCGGGAGCCCCCATAAATTTTTATATAATATATCATATATATATCATGAACATGAGAAAATGTTATATTTATCTAACAAGGTACCGAAGATTTTGTCGCCAGATAGAAGCACATTTGATGCAGCTAGTAACCTTCGTATTGCCTCCGGAATTCTGGGAAATGTTGATGGGTATGTTTATTTAAAAATTAGGATGATTTGGAATTATTAGTTGCGTGCACATATTGCTGTAAGCCTACACAGGTTTAAATTTTATCCCCTCTGAATGTTTATTATTATGGCTGGGAATTTAAGGGAAAGATTTCGTGGGATCTTATCTAAGTATCGCTCGAAATTATTCGCGGAACGATATAGTTTCAGGGTCACTCTACTGCAAGAGATATGCAGCATACTTCAGAAATATGGAATTTTTTTTTCAAACTCACGATACAATCACTTTCATTAATACAAATCATGGCGCCTTGAAAAGCAAATTCAACTTTATTGCCTTACTTCAATCATTTTTTGGTGCCTACGAATACAGTTAGTGATATCTTTTGAATTAAATGCCACGGGAGATAAAAGTTACGACTGACTAATCATTTTTGAAGAAATTGTACAGTATAAAGGTGATATGTACCTGAGATTTCAGTTAACGGTCAAAATAAATCATAACCGTTAACCATCTAAAATTGTTTAACCAGTTAACCATTCCCATCCCTACCTATTATATTGAGAAAATTTATAAGTTTGGCTTTAGTTTGAGGCGATAATATGCAAAAATTTTATTTCTTCTTCTTACAAAGTGTGTTTCGTTTTTGCTCATGGCTGATATTGACATTTATTTTTCTGTATTACCTCCCGTCATTTGGAACATTTAATATTTCATTAGAACACTTTTTTGTAAACTCCAGATTACCATCAAACAAATTACAATCGTTAATGCACGCAAATAAAGGTTTGAACAATATTTCTCAACCACTCTTTTTATATCTAAGTAATTTAGCAGATTTGCTACTGCTGGTGCGTTGTATTCTTGTTGTATGAAAATTCTGGTCGTTGTATGAAAATTCATAAAAAATTGTTTGTTTCTGATGGCACGATCTTATTTGATTTCTCAGATCTGGCAAGAAGAACCTGGCATCTGGTAAAATTTCATCTGCTTCACCTGCTACAATGAAGAGCGCAAGGCAACCAGTTAAATTGAGGCTAAAGGGTACTTTTTCCGTTTTCACAGTTTATTGTTATTTGGTTCCATGAATTTTTAGCGCAATTTCTTCAGAAATTTGTTCACGCAAAGAATCTGACAAACAAAACTGATCACTATTTAGAAATATTTTGTTTTTATTCAGGTATGACAGCTCATTCAGCCAACAATTTGTCTTCCACACTTGTGTCATCAACTAGTGTATCTAAAGATGTGTCATCTGCTGCTGATAATATGCCACCTGCGATTTTGAGAGATGGCAAGAAAGTTTATCCCTGTGGACAATGTAGCAAAGTATGTAGTGGATAGAGTGACGTAAAATACCTAATTGAAATGTTGCATTATAATGATTGATTTGTTATATCCTATTAGGGCGCTTGTTTTCAGCTTGCTTGTAGGCATCTCATATGGCAGGACATCGGATTTTCACACTGTTAATATATCATATAATGACAAATGTGTCTTTCATTTTCATAAATTTTTTAAATTTCCGAATTTGTTAGAAAAATACACAGTCTATAACAGGGATGTAATGCCGCATGGTGTGAAAAGGGCTTTGGAAAAACGAATTTAAACAAAGAATTTTGGGCGTATATTGTAAAATGGATTGTATTCATTTGAATCCACAAAACTATAAACGATTTTCTCTTTATTGAGTCTCGAGAGAGCAGTAACATTTATTACACAACAATGGACGTTGCAATGCCAACAATGTTACAATCTGCTACATGCGCCGAACAGTCATCAGCCACATTTGATTATATAATGGATGGAAAGCCTATTGGAGCAAACCGAAAAGTGTGAATATTCCCCTGAGCAGATCAAAAATTTACCCCTGTTTGAAAATCCCTGATCTATGATAATAACAAGTTCTTTTAAAGTTTTGTCATTTGTTTTATTCCCCATGTCTGGATAAAACTTCATAACAAAACGAAATTTGTTATCGCAGGAACTACCATCTGCAAGTGCTCGATTAAATCATGTGAAGTTGAAACACAAAGGCATAAGGACATTGTATTGTTGTCCATACTGTACTGTCAATCAAATCAAATTTGCCAAAAGGATTTCACTGAAAAAACATCTCAAAAGGGTGAGTGTTTAGGATTCACTGGATGAATATTTTTGTTTAGTTTTTAATTGTTCAACCTTACTATTATGGCTTTGGTTGGTGCAAACATAAATTTTTGCTTTTTTCTCAATCTGTAGCCTATATTGCTCTGAATAATTTGCTTATCAGAAGATTTCTATAATGAGGAATTATTACAAACACTGACTATTTATTATTCCTGGCATCTAGTTGCATCTTGTAGTCTCAAATATTTATAATCCTTAACCCAATGCTATTGCTGCAGGTTCATTCCATTGAAGAGATGAAAAAGCAAGATGTCCATATTGAATATGCCAAAATTCCCATCGGTCAAAGGTTTGATCCTTCAACATTCAATTCTAATAAAGAAGAATTGCCAAATCCTTTGGCAGTTGTTACACAGCGTAAGTTTGTTTATAAAATATTACTCCTATTCAATATAACCTTCCCAAGTTAGGTGGTGCATATGGAAGTTGAGCCTGTGAACTCTGAACCACGACACAATTTGAACCACTACACGATTTCATTGAAGATAGTGTTAGTTAGTCCATCATGAAATTTTGCGACCAATGTGCAGTCAAAAAAAATCAAAGTTTTTATTCTAATTTTTCCACTGTCGAAAAAAATCTGAAGAATACATAATCATATTGCTAGTTTACAAGTGAATATTTGTTTTCTTAAGTTTTGTTCAAATAAGAATTATTTTGATTAGCAAATTTCTCCCTCCCAAATTCTTGTGGCTTTTGAATAAAACGATTTACTTGAGAACTTTTAACTTAGTCTTCACTTCTATATAGTTCCAGAACCCTCTGGTGAACGTAAACAAGTTCGAAAGAAGATAACGTCAATCGGCAGAAGAACTAGTGACGAAAAGATCGATCGGAGACCAATACGTCAGACGAAAAGAAATGTCGAGAACGGAAGTCCTATTGTTGAAAATTCTGATGAAGAAGTTGAGAAAATTACAAGGAACTATGTGGAGGTTTATACTTTTCTACTGAGTAGTTGCTTTATAAGTCTGATAGTTTTGTACCTTTCGCATTTACAATGGTGCCATAAGCCCATAATCAGTTCTTATATACAAAAAATAAAATGAAACCTTAAAACAGAGTTTGCCACTGGGGATTCACTATGTTTAAAAGAGATTTACACAAATCTATATACCAGTACTTAAAATCCAAAATTATGAACTAAATTTTCTTTATCAACTCTTTTTTTTTGACTTATTGTAGAAATAAATGGAAGTGAAAATCCAAAGGGAATCTGTAGGGTGGGTCAATTTTAAAGGATACACTGCAGAATAAATAGGTCGAGACTTTCTTTAAATTAATTTGAATTGGGATTGTTATAGATTTTCAAATAGTCCACAGTCATCATTGAGTTTTTTCTAGTTGTTGTAAAGGTTAGGCTGGAACATATGTGATTTGTGTGTCGGTTTTTTTTATAATGCTTTTTTTATTGTTTAGGACACTGAAAAGGATGTATCGGAATCTCCTGATTTTTCGTTACTTCGATTTCCCAATGTTTACGTGTGCGCCAAATGTGGTTTCCAATCCAAGGATAGGTTGACATTTCAGGTAGGTGCCTTTGGTAAAAATTAGTAACAGTAAGAAGAAAGATATGGAAGATCTGGTGAATTTTATATCGTATACGAACAGTATTTTTGTCTATGAACTATGTATTGGATTGAATGATAATTATTACTGATCTTAAACTATCTTGAATATTATGAATTAGGCATCGTGTTATTGTTCTCGTAACGATGTAATGTGTCGTCAATAATCATACTATTATTTATCAGGGTCACATCATTGAGCACAGAGAAGAAGCTGAATTCGATCCAGCCATGTTCAGTACTATGCAACAGTGTACTGAATGTGGTCTATGCTTTGCATCAGTGGCTTCTCATGCCAAACATATGTTTATAAAACACAAAGTGAGTTTTTTTCACAATAAATTGATCATAAATTCATTAGTATGGTTTTATCTTTGCAAACTACAGATTATTGTTTTTATATGGTCTAATTTATTCGATCGACTTGATAATATAGTCATATCTCAGATATTTTTCATTCAATATATGAGAATATTGGATTTTGGGGATTGGGACCAACTTTTGTACTTTGTTTTTTGCACGGAATATTTTTTTTCGAGATTATGCTGCTGTGCTATTTTTACATCAACAAGAAATAACTTTTGTGCAATCATTCTTGCAAAAGAATGTAGAGCTAATTGCTTAAACTATCCCATGCGTGTGTATTCTCGAGATGTAATAAGTATTTCTCTCTGTATGGTCCTACAAGAGGCAATAAAATTCAGCAGTCTTTCTGGTTGTTTTTTTGTATTAGTCAAGTTCCCATTTAATTTGTTTCAAAATGTACCAGAATATTGTGTATTGAACTGCAGCAGAACCTTTCTCCTTGTTTACTTTGTGTCGCTGTTTGCTTATTTTGCCTGAAGAAGTTAGTCCAGTATCTAACAAAAACTCACAAATATACTTGTTATTTTGTGGTAAGGGTCTGTTCTTATTCTTATTTGTTTCGCTCACAGATAAAAAGAATAAAACTCTTGCAACTGTATGATGATCAGTTAAGAGAAGGTTATGTGGAATCGAAGTCAGAAGACGAATCTACTGCTAAGAAACATAGGTGCACAGTTTGTTTCAAGCGTTTTGAAGATGACGCTCAACTACGAACACACATGAGGACGCATGGCCTTGCATTTGTTAAATCAAAACATGTTTCATGACAAACATGTTAATTTGATTTTTGAATGCAATAACTTAAGTCATCAACGCTTTATATTGTGTTTGGCTAGAATGAAAAACCATTTTGCCTATTAGTTTATACCATAGGTGGGTGATGTAGAAGCCGATTCTTGCTTCTTGCTGTTCGACATAATTGCTGTCAACTTAATATTCCAAAATGAATTGCTGAAAAAGCAGAGGTGGTGCACTGGTGGAACTGAAATTATTTAAACAAGGCACATTATTTTAGGCCATGCACAAATTTGTGAAAATGTTCGTTCAACTTTTCAACAATCCTGAGCAACCTGGTCATACAATCAAATTCAAAAATGAACTTGTATGTTAAATTGAGATTCCTATTCACGAAGTCGCCTTACATTACATTTTGTATAATATATCAGACTAGATTATTTGCAGTTAAAGTGGAAGAATAAAAAAATTTTCTCAAGCCTATTTATTCTATGATTTTCAGCAGACGGTGCTGGTTAACTGCTGTTTGGTGTGTTATTTTAATGAATTGAATAATATTTATCTACATATAGAACTTATCTTTTTTGCCAATTTTGTATTTCGTGTGTTCCACATGTTTTAAACATTGATATCAACCATATTTAAAATATACAGTTATTTGTTTGGAGAATGAAAAATTTGGCATGTTCTATGTTCCATTTCTGAAATATCCAAATGAAAATTTATGTCTTTTTGTGAAACGAAGTCTGCAATTGACACATATTTGCATTTTTTTTAAAAAAAATTGTCTGTGTGTGACATATAAAATGCCAATGACTTTTATAGCCAACTTCTTCATGGCAATTGTGACTGTGCCAATTGAAGGATTGCTTTTGTGTCACCTTCCCATAAATCAATGCTTGATTTCGAATAGCAACGTCTGTAATAAACATGCCATAGTATTCTGGTTGCGGTACGAAGCGAGCAAGTTTTGGATCGGTTACATCACGAGTTTTTTTATGGGAGTGCTGCTGATAAAAGTCACTATGGTTAAATATATATTGTTTATTTATTTTGTTAATACACAACTAATCTTACTGAACAATGTTCTATTTTATTTATAAATGCAAACACATTAACCGATACTACAGTTACAGTTGCTTAGTTCTTGCTCATTGTTTAATTTGTACAAAGAATAGATGGGCATAGAAAACTATGTGTAACTTCTGCAGATGAATATCAAAATGACTTACTGGCTGGATGGTGTAGGGGTGTTCTTCAGTTATGCGAAAAACGTTGGTAATCGTTGACTCATTACGTCTTTTGCATACAAATGGGTGTTTCATTCTCGACTTTAAGTTAAAGTTTCACGAGCCTGAAATGTTTTATTCCATTTGCCCTCGACTCGTTCACTGCCGTTTGCGCTTCCAGAGTTTACATATTTTGTGAAGAATTGTAATATTTCAATACGCTCCACCTAATTTAACAGAAAAAAACATTTTAGCATAATATGACATGCCGAAATATTCAAATGGTTCCAAAAAGGTGTGTAATGTTTATCCACATCACCTTGGGTGGTGATGCCTCTAGTAGTCGAAAAGTGCGTGATTTCTCTAGCAAAGAGAGTAATCGATTTAATTTATATTCACCCAGGGTGGAAACGGGGCGCTAAAATTGAGTGGACACAGAGCGAGCTACTTTATAGTTATCGTTGCCCTGTATGGCCGTCGTAGCAACCCATATCGACAGATGCCAATCTTACAACAAACAGCCAATCTTTCTCACAAGCAAGTATAGCTGCGTGCGTGAAGCTTGTCATAACTGATTTGAGTTTCTGTAGTTGAACATTTGCTTTTTTCAGTTAACTACCTGTTTCCAGAATTTTACATTGGTTGTGACCCGTGTAGACGATTGTGTCGAACCTAACAGCAATCTGCACCAAGACGGCTGCTCATTTTGTTTGCAGTGGAATCGAATGTTTCCTAAACAATCTTTGAGATTCGGAATCATGACCTTATCATGGAATAATTGGTGTCGTGTGAATGCTTTTTAGCAATGTCTGCTCTTATGCATTACTATGTATATATCTGACAAGTATGCCTATCGTTCGCATCCTGTGTACAGATATTAATTTCCTGTTGAGTTCCACAGGTAAGTATGTATGTTCATATGCCTCAAAATGTAACATAATCTGCGTAATAAAAAGACATCAATGCTGGCGTATGGGCACCGATTGTGTCTGTGAATTAAGTGTGACCCATAATTCGTAAAAAGTGTCCACGTGAGTTGAAAAATATACCAAATTTTGAATGAAACGTCGGGATCCAGAAAAATTTTGAAAAAAAAGTAAGTCTTCTACCGGCTTCAACCAAACTTTAGCGCAACTTTAGACCCCTTCAAATCTTAGCGCAACACACCCAAAGACACAATATGCGCCATAGTAAATTAATGTGTAAAAAATATAATGGTATAGAAGTCAGATAATGGTTTAGGATATTCCTTTATGATCAATTAGCGGACTGTATAATTCATTTTATAAATTTCTTTTGCAGCACGTGAAATTTGTGTAGCACATAAAATATGTTTCATTTAATGTCAAGTCATAATTCTTCTTATATTCACGCATGAAATCGCCTTACCGTGCTCACGCTTCCTTTGGCTCGAGCAGTGATATCACAAATGTTGACAGAATTTATTCAGTCGTAGCGGAATTAACGCTTGACGGCGCACGTCACCGAATCAAAATTAACGAGCAAAGAAATCTCCCTTGGGTTGACCCGATATTTTGGAACATTTTCGTTTGAATAGCTCAGCGCTAATGCACAAAATTGTCTGCAGTGTGTTCCCCACTCAGCGTTAGCTATTCGAGATCAAGTGGTTAGAACGCATCAGGAAACACGTGAAATATAGTTGAAAGGGAATAAGGATGGCCCGTCGACTTGCTATATGCAAAGGCAATAAGGACGATTTATTAGCAACTTCAAGAAGGCTCCATACTTTTTAAATTTATGTTCATTTACAAATGCCGTGTACTGATCAGGGCATGTAAGCACGCATGTGATGTTAATCCAAAGTAAATACTCGACTATATATTATTATTTTTATTACACAGCATAAAGTATGGATTTTGCAGAAGATAGAATCAGGAAAAAATTGAGCAATGGATATAAGGTATCAGAACAAAAGAGGTGGACTGAGGTTGTTTAGAAATAAAGCGAACGCGTGATTCAGGTCTTCAAAAACATCATGAGTCATTATTTTTGTGACCAGAATTCCAAAAAATGCAATCAACCGAAAAGAGGTAAACTTGCTTGTAAAAGAGAAAGTAAAGAGTGTTGGCCTGTTATGCTGTACTTTCACCTCGCACCTCGATGTAAGTTTCGATCTCTCTGGAAAACAGAATTGCTGTTTTGTAACCATCCATGTAACGAAATTTGGTTTCGCACACGAATCAGACATATACACTACGGCCATACCACGGGCTAAGTATTTGGTTATTGATACATTATGAAATACTTGATTCAAAGTTCTATGAGATTTCAAGGATTAAAAAGAAAACTTGCTAAATGACAATAAATTGTTATGCAATCGTTTGCAATAATAAAAAATTTGAATTAATCTAAAATGCAAATTCCAATATTCTATTGCCTCGTCAAAGAATATGGTATAGTAGATAAAAATCTTTATTTCTATGAGTGCGGGTCATGTGGGTTTTACTCGAAAATGAATTCTGATCGAATAACGGTTACTCTTGACAATGGATTGTTTCAATAATAGAATTCCTGAGGAAGGCTCACATTTTAACAAACTTCACTTAAACGTTTTCCTGCTCTAAGAGATTATAGTCTCTGTACGTAAAATGTATTCCTTCGTCGATACGTTCCTGCGGGTATTCGTTAATTCAAAAATTACTTCCGTCTGTGTACTAATGGAAATGATATTTTAGTTCAAGAACGTCGCCTCTTATTATTATCCCAGCGCTTCTTCGTTTACACGTGCGATGATGACTATTTGCAAACGATGCAATTTCCACCTTTGCCATTTGTGCAAGATTTTTGCACATACAGCCGATTTTTTTATATAACGCTCCAATGACAGAGACTGTTATATTTTCTTATACGTATACTCGTTAATACTAATTAATTATGATTAAAGTGATATGATTGTTTGATAATAATTTTCGAATATGAAATAATTGTGACAACAGCCTGTGCGGAATATCTGAATATTTTCAGGCTCAGACATGGGAGTATGATACGTTTGAGTAAGACAACAAATATTTTGGAAAATGAATTTTCAATTTATTCACTCATTCATATTTATCAAATTATTGTAAACTCACCACATGTTATGAAAATATGATAGAAGAAAAATGATATGAAAAATTAGTGCAGCCAATTTTATATATTCGATATTTGGAATTTCGCATTAGCCCATATTATTACGGACTATTGGCTATAAACATGGACAATATTACATTATTTATAATAATTCAAACAAAAAGATATCACGTGGTCACCATTATATTAAAAAGATATGTGGGTGCCGCAAGGTTTCGTTATGTATTAGCTTCCATATTCACGATTAATATTTTGTTTTATTCAACCGAAGACGGAACACAAGTAAAACACATCATATCGTACTTTTGGTTCACGTTAGGAAATTACAATATTTATGTGATCAGATTGAATTTTGTTATCATAACAATTTAATAAGGTATTGTTCATACGAGTAGTCCATTCATTTTAGCCATCAATCTAGGCCATCGCAGCGTGTGTTCAAATAAGTTTTTTCTGATAATATCAGATGTATTGCGAAGCATAATAACAGGACGTAAGATCTTTTGATAGTCAATCTTAAGCTCTAAGACTAACGCTTTATCAGTGGGATGGCGCGAAAATTAAATTTCAATCAGTCGTGTGACGTTTTCTCTACATTTGTTTGATTTTGCCGGATATTTACGACGCATGCTTTTATTAGATCGCTACGGCAAACAATCTTGACCTAAATCGGCGATGTAGCCTAGATTCGTTCATTCAGTTTCCTTGGTACATTGAAAGTGGATAGAGCGCTGAAGTTCTCCAGAGTTTAGATAGTTAGTTACATGAATATAAATTTGAATAGGCTTCAACTTACCCCAAGTCAAGGTATGCTGAAACGTGACTGTATTTAGTAATAAATTATAATTAGCCTATGTTGCATTGGAAGTCGTACAGGTACGGAATTGTAATAAGGTAGCCACAAGTACGTATATTCAGCAAGTTTTATACGCAGTACTTCAGGGGTTTTGCTCCATATATGCGATACATTTGAGTACATCGGCGACTAGCGGACAAGATCATCTGATTGGTATTGATCAAAGTCACTTGGGGTTTGCTTTGCTTTCGCCAGCTAGAAGGTAGTAACTATACTGTTCCGCCATATTAGTGGCCCAGATCGAATAAAGATCATCTATAAATAAATCTTGAAACGCAAAATAAGCATTTCGTCTTACTATTTTTAAACTGGATTGGGATTTGTTGATTTATTATCTTTTCTATAAGTGACACTTCGACTGCCTCTTGAGGAATATGATCCAAATTCACGTCATATTGCAATACTTTCAGACTTTTCAGGAGCGGGTTTGATAATATTCGCGTAAATTGGACTTTCGATTTTAGAATTTTTCATCATTCTGACTCCGATGCCAATCCAGGAAATCAAATTGGCTCAACGAGTAATAGATATTGAAGTATTAATCTCGCGACTGCAAAATTTTCGATAGGTCATGATTATTATGATTTCCTTTGTAGATAGCAATATTACTTTTGCTTCCAGATGGTATTGTTAGATTTTTTCTATCAGCGTATTTGTGTTATTCAAAGTAACAGATTTTACCTAGTGTTGTAGTTTACACTCACAGTAACTTATATTTGTATATAACTGAAAAACGAAGCACGTGAACGACCGGCGTCATTTATGAAGTGGAATCTCATTTTGCGTATGAATGTGCCTTGATTGAGTGGAGGGGTTGACAGAAGATTGAGTGAGGGTGTTGAATACTTAGAAATTCCAGAGATGGCTACTTGTACTAGACGTACTCTATGTTCTGCTAAATCTCTTACTGGATTATTATGCGGTGTGATAATGGGATTCTTGATGGGAAGTATTCATCTGGCAATCATGAATTCGCAGTTTTATTACACAAAGATTGGAAATTCGCAGAATCCGTGTTTGTCAGTGTTACTTCAGCCCCGATCTCTTGAAGACGACGACCCTTTACCAGAGAATTTTTCTCCGATCCGATATCCAGAAAAACAAAAACATTTGCGGTATGATGAAATGGTACAACTAAATTATAAACTGGATGATTACAATGGATATGATCAAATTGAAGGTGACGATGATATAAATGGTCTCCTACAAGACGGCAAGATCGACAAGATATACGAAATCGATTTATCTAGAGTTGGATTACCTAAAAAGAACGATCTCATTGGTTCTCCGCATGCATATTCCTCGAAAAAAACAACGCCAAAAAGTCTTGACCACCATCAAGATGTTGTTATTCAGACAAAAAGAAATCACCACCGTCACGATAAATTTGATCGAACCATACACGAGCAAGAAAAGTTTCTATATGTTGGAGTTATGACTGCTGGGAAATACGTCGGAACTAGAGGGAAAGCAATTCTAGATACATGGGCTCCAAAAATAAATGGAAAAGTCGAATTATTCGTAGGAGAAACAGCGATCCTCCAGGATATACAAGATGAAAAAGCCATGAATGTAGTTAGACTAAAACGAGTGAACGATAACGACTATCCACCTCAAAAGAAATCGTTCATGATGTTAAAGCACATGTACGATCAATATTTAAATGGATACGAATGGTTTATGAGAGCTGATGACGATGCATATGTGAAAGCAGACAAACTAGAACGATTCCTACGAAGGCTAAACAGCAGTGAACCACTTTTTCTTGGACAAACGGGACTAGGTAATGAAGAGGTGAGTAATATAATTATGGGATACGTTTACAGGGCACAACTTGATGTATTTTTATTGTATTAATGTATTAACATTGTAAATCGGTTTAAATCAAAAAGGATGCTGTGATATTGATATAGCTCATTGTTGCGCAAGTAATATAAATTATTTAATTAAATGGTTGCAAACCATACTAGAAAACAATTTTAGAGCACATGAAATCGCTGCAGACAGTTTCGAAAAAAAGGGGTAAATGTTCTAATACTTATTTAAAATAGGTGTAATACAATACGATAGCACGCGTACTGTAGGAATCTTATTTCGTAATATTTTTAAAATCGACAAAAGGGACTGCATGGTCGAATCAACCCCACCGCAACGACTAGAGTTGTTACCTTTTTACGCTTGGTTTACTCGACTCTGACATGATCACGAAACGCATTCGCAGGTAGGTCTAGGCGGTGTTGCTTTTATGATTAGACTAAACTAATATACAATTTTAGCAACACAGCCAAGTAAGTACGCCATATTATTCCTAATTGAAAGAAACTTTGATGGCTCCGAATCTACGCTGACCCACTTTCCTAAATCTGTTCAAATTAAGATTTATGTTGTAAACTCAGTAATTTCACCTTTTTTTATATTTTGGTTCGCTGGTAAGCAATTACCAGCCGAGTGTTTGCATTGTTTTATCTTCACAATTCGATCAATCCATTATATTTGACATGGAATGTAGTTAGCTTCTGTTATAAAGCTGTTTGCGGTATTAAAGTGTGCTGAAGATAAGGGCATACGTTTTAGGCGAACTTTCGCCCATTTTTCTTCAAAATGCCCATATGAATATTTCATTTGCCTCCAAAATAACAAAACTAATTTATAAAATAATCCAAATTGTTAGAGATATAAATCATATATTGATTTGGTAATAAGCTACCTAGAGTGTTTGCAGTTCCACCATCCACAATGACCCTAATTTAGAAATTGAAGTAAAAAATTTGACGTGATTTGTATTTGACGCAGCAGTATTTTAGCATGTGCCCTCTTCAAAAATCTCCTAATACTACATTTTTGTTGCGAAATAATCGTTCATGTCAAAAATACCGATTGTTTGCTAACTTATGAAACAGGCAAAACCAAATATATTAAGTGTTTTCTCAGAGCAAACATCTTCTCGTTTACGTGAAATCTTTGCAAATAGTTGTTCGTAAGATAAAAACATTTCCAGAGTATTTACGCCTATTATGATATATGCTGACAGAAATTTAGTTCTCCTATCCTTTTATTCGTATTCGCCTGCAGAGAACTCAAGAATGTATCATAACTTTAATGAAACACCAAAACAAAGCAATTTTATGGACTGTTGTATTATGCTTTTTCATTTGAGTTGTTGAATAGACCGCCATAAGTCTACTGTAAAATAGTCTCCGTTTGGTATATCCGAGTGTGAAATATGAATGCAACCCACCTCTGATTATACAGCGTTCGGGAGCAATATATATAAAATATTAAAACCGTAAACACCAAAACAAAACAATTCAATTACTGTTGTACTGTTGTATTATGTTTTTTTTTATATTTCATTTGTTGAATAGTTTGGCATGTAAGTGTACTGTAAAACATTCTTGTTTTTGGTCTATCCGCGTGTGGAATATAGGAATGGGATCCAATTTTGGCGCGCGGAACATGCATATCTTATAAAGAAGTGTTCATTTCAAGTTACCTGTTTGTCTGTAGATCACAGCACATTTATGAGGGTTAAAAGGTCGGACAGAAGCCTTAGTACTGTTCCGAAGGGGATCACAGCCGTTCTACACGACTAGACATACATACAGAAAGTCGATGACGAATTCTTTGCCCAGGAAATGAGTCAGAAATGTTAGACAAGATATAAAGCATATTGAATTTATAACTTGTCAAACCAAATTAAACCATTTGTTGAAATAAATTAATGTTTCGATTCATGGCGCCTGTAGCCAAAGTGTAAAAAATTCGTTATTTTAATCGCTCTGTATGAAAAAATTACCTATAGCTGTATTAACTTACTGATTACGTTCATTTGGGAGTGGAAATGCCGGATCAGGATTTGAAGTTCCAGCCAGCGATACTCACATTTTCCGTTGGGCCGCGTAAAAACAAGAATTTAAAGACGTTGAATATTTGAACTTAATGCCATAGAAAGCCATGATCTATTCGATTCAACATAGTTTAAATTGTTACGAACAGTTACATATTAGTAATATGGTATAAATTACATTTATGAAATATAATATTCGGAGTGAATATTTCTTCGGAATTTGATTTCTTTAATTTGTTTTATATCCACATCATTTTTGACTACTAAAAAAAATCCATTTTCTCCCAGAATGGACCACAATAACTTTCCGTAAATATTTTTCAACTCATATGTGCCCGATGAAAAAGAAAGCTGATTTCATGTAAATTTTTATTTCTGTCGCACTGATAAGTATATCTCCACATGTTTAAGTTGAAGGTAAATCACAGTCATAAAAATTGAAAACTCCTCGCGAACACCGTTGACTTATCACTCAGGAATAACTTCTCAGGCACTTACTTTCCGGTTATTTCCTCCTATAATTGCTATAAATTTATTCCACTACCTATATTTCAGCTTGACAATAATTTTGAGATATATCATTCTAAAACAGGAAATTGATATCAATGAGGGTCTAGTTTAGTCGAAAGCTTTTATGCGATATGAAAATGGAACCAAGGAAATTTAACGACCAGAAATACTTAGTAGTGTACTCGCTCTGCATATCAACCTAAAATTACAGGAGAAAATATCGATATCTTCACATTTTTTTGCAATTCCAGGCTGATTGTGTCTGACGTATTTGTTCATAAACATTCATAAATATTTGTAAAGTTGTATAACGTGTGGCCTGAATATCTACTTATTAATTTTGTAGTATAATTTTAGTCAACATACAGAAATTGTTAGTAGATTTACTCGTTGAACGATATAATCAAAAATTCAGGTGTTCAAATTATTTGGAATACGTGTTGTGTTGTTGTAAGTCAGGGGTCGGCAAACTGCGGCCCGCGGGCCGCTAATATTTTGCGGCCCGCGAACTAATATTTTGCGGCCCGCCCCGGCCTTCAATGCATAACACAAAAAATGAATATAAATTTATCGTTGTCTCCCCATGGATTTGTGCGGTAACGAATGCAGCTCTTTTCTGCAGCGTCTGTTCTGAGTTGTATGTCATTTACTTGATGTTGGTTGTACTTTCGAAATAAGGTTATTTTGATTTTTAAAGTATGGAAATGGAAATTTTTTTGCCCTCCGTGAATGGACGGAACATAAACGTCTCATTGTAACACAGCAATAGAAAGTGCGGGTGCGCCGTAGTTTTACGTTTAATGTGGCTATTGTTCCCAGGCAGAAATTAATGCGGCCCGCACGCTACCGGAATGTGTATATGCGGCCCGCGAGTACATAAAGTTTGCCGACCACTGTTGTAAGTCATCTAAATTTTTAATCAAATGTGATAACTTGAAAATTCCTGTAACAACTTAATGTTTGCTTGCTAACGAGGCCTATGAAATACTTTCAATATATACATTATTTTCAAAGTTATGAGTTTTCTCCGGGCTTTCAATCTTGAGTTATGGCTTGATTTTGAAATAAGCAAACAAATATTCTGTTCAAAACATCAATATAAGTCACCATCTTCATTAAACAGCTATATCACGACTTGTCACACGACTCAGTACTAAAAATTGATTGGTCTTTCAAATGCTGGGCATACTTGAAGGTTCCAAATAGATATTTGTTAAAGCTCAGATTTTTCTGGCTTGTATTTTTACGTTTGTGCATGAAGATTTAGGGCCTAGTGACAATATTCAACTGTTGAATGATATACACCTAGATGTTTCTTCAAGTGGAATCTGACAGCCTACATTTGGCATTCATTTTGGATCATGATTGGTTTTAGTTTTTATTTCGCGATATTATATATTTTTATCTGATGGTTTTTCAATTTGTATCATTTTCTTTTATCAGGAACGAGGGAAACTTACTCTCGACCACGGAGAAAATTATTGCATGGGTGGACCCGGGATGATTTTCAGTCGAGAAGTAATCCGAAGAATAGCCCCTCATATCCGCACTTGTCTCCGCAATATGTACACAAACCACGAGGACGTCGAAATCAGTCGATGCGTGAGCAAATATGCCGACGTCAAATGTGTGTGGTCGTACGAAGTGAGTATTTTTGTTCTAATGTTCTGGTGATGTGTTTATTTTAGCTATAAAAATATGTTTTTTTTCTACTACTATATAATGCCATGTCTATCAATCACCCCGCGTGTTAGATGTTGCTGCAGAAACCTGCTGCAGAAGCGGTAAGCAACCAAGAAAGAGGGAATGTATGATGGTTCATTGTCCTTTTGCACCTTGAATGAATTGGTTTTATTCAGATATGTACACATATCGATGACACTTATATATATATACATGTTTGCATGGAGCTTTTGAATTAGCAATTTAGGTTTGAATAAAAAGGTTCGCTCGATTACCACCAGAGTCGCGATGATTCTATAAAAAACCTTCATTCACATGTCATTAAGGCGTGTAGTGGCTGTAAAGCTTTGACTTTAACCAATCCAATGTTTACTTGTGCAAGTACATCGGGCGGATGCGAATTCAGAAGAAATATTTACTAAGCAACTGCAGACATCCTGTGGTTTTGTTTACTCGTATTTACATTGCTAACAGCCATGAAAATAGTGTATTAGAGTAGACTTATTGTGAATTCGATGATTCGAGGTTACGAATTTTCCAAATACTAACAGTTCAATATTCATCATTAAACTTTACCACCTCTCGCATTGATTTGGATGAATTATTTGTGTAATGTCTAAAAGTGAAAGTCTTGTGATTTGCTACCATTACGCCTTCAATATTTAATGATGCATCACGCAAGTTGTAACGTGGAGTATTGTAAGTATTTACGATATACAAATCTGTTGCTATAGTCCGAAAAGGTATGCAGACACAATGAACAAAGGCCTTCACATCTGATTTGTAGTGTTATATAGGTCGGTATCACTGCCTTGATCGAATAGTTCCCCTGGGATCATCATGGCGGTGTTTCACATCTCGCAAATAATATCAACAATATTTTTTATACCGTATTCCTTAGAGAGCCGTGTACGCGACTCTGGGTAAAGAGAATTAAATACCGTTAGACAGACATTTCTTCTTTCAGTTCAGATGAGAACGACATTTCAGATTTCTGATCGTACTAAAAACGACTCGGATGTCTAAAGTGCAATTCTCATTTCTAGATCTAACGTTTTGTCTGTGATGAATACTATATGGCTTATGTTTTGCTACTTATATTCTGCCAAAGTAGCAATCTTCGTCTAATAAACTACCGCCTAACTTCATTTTCGTGGTCTCTGCCGTCTACACTAATCTTAATGTTCAGTATACGATCACAGGCCAAACTCAGTACAGTATTTTATTCTTTTCTTCGGTCAGCAACGTTGAACGACTCACATTCAAATACATTACTTACATCAAATTTCCAGAAGAGAGTAAAACCTAATATCAGCCATATTCACGCTAAATCTTCGTACTAAAAGTGAGGGATTATCAGCAGGCCCACCAGAGACACCGATCAGAAGCATAAAGTTGCAATCAGCAGTATAAAATAAATAAACATGAGAGTAATGCTAAAATGTATGAACACGAAGGCCAAAAGGATACAGTAGCACGGTTATGCAATCTTTCACAGTATACTACCGGACACCGGTACGGCATTCTTCACGACTTCGCCTAACCACCAGATCGTGACGCACGCGAACAGGGTACCGTCACAAGATGCGCACTTTTTAATTTTTATGACGTCATCGCACACAAAAAACTAATTTCATTGAGCCCACAAATTTTTTTAAAATAATTTAAAATCTTTTAGCGGAAAATTCAATTTTCAATCACTGAATATTTCAAAGCAATTGGTGCAGTTACAAACGAGAAAGACGATTTTTCATAACAACGAAAAGACAAGAATGATTAACGAGATCAACAACAACATAACAAAACGATCCATATTCCATATATATAATTCGTGTCCAACTGAAGGTTTTAAGCGATTTATACAAAATGACCTTGATGGGGCAGACTTCTATAAAACGTTAATTAGAACACTTCATAATTAAGAGATCATAAATGTAGCACTGCCAAGATTATGCTAATTGTGCATTAGGCTTACAGTCTAGTCTGACTCTTTGTCCGACTATAAAAATCAATTTTTCATCTCTGATCTGGAGCATATCCAAAATACGATACTCGAATAATGATTTATTTGAAAATGAGAGGATTATTAATAATGAACATTGCAATTCCCAATTGGTGGGCATGGTTTCTAAAAAGACATAGAATTCGGTTTTGTAGACTGAATTATCGTTTTATTTGCTTAAACGTTTGATGTCATTTTTATAAATATATAGATATATATACATAAAGTAGATTCAAGCAACGTAGCCACATATGGAAAAGATCAATTATTTTATATGCCGCCAATAATTTTATCCTTATACCAAGGCCCCAAAGTGACGTACAGGAAATCATTCTCAGGTTGTTCGTGTCACTATTGGTCGCGGTTCGCTGCATGAGATGTGCCTGAATGACTGAAATACAATGCTCCACATTGTTTTGTCAAATGTATGTCAAATTTTCGCGGTAAGCATTTCATTTGGTAAACTGGGGTAAGCGAAACGTGCTACGTCAGCAAATGAGAGACGTAATTTGAAACTGAGAACCATGCAAATCACTTTACCGTTACCTTGTTCGTCAAAAATCGTAATGATATTTACAAAAGACCCTCTAAGTCTATGGTTATTGAACTGATTTATGGCCAATATTTCATCGTTATATTACATTTCATTTGCTTGAGAGTAATGACGAAAACTGTCGTTCATCAGTGGGAATTGTGTTTGGAAATTAGTGTCATATATATACAGTTTTCACATAGCGTTGTATCTCTATTTCTGTAGACAAAAAGTTATGTGCAACGTTGCAGGTAATTTTGATTTTGTTGATGTTCCTAATGAATCGACAGCGCGATCTATGTATATTCACACTTTGACTGTAACTATAACTCATTTTTCACCGTATCGTACGGTAATGATAGTGATGTTCTCGTTCGCTGTGCGCTTCCGTATACTTGTACGGCTGAGTGAAGTAGAAGCACTTAATTATGGTATGTCCATCTGTATTATGTCACCACCTTTCACTAAGTATAACTGGATGAAAATATAAATACAAAAGCGTTTCAATGACCATTAATTAAAAGGTTAAACGCCAATTGGCCAATAGCCGGTATTGAAAAAGGAATTTGAATAGAGGCGAACGGAGAACACTCACATACTAACAGTGAAATAAAATATTAAAAAATTTTACTCATACATTTATATGTTAGAAAACACGCGTGATATTTTTGAAAAGCCGTACTCTAGTTGTATATTGAAGCAGTAGTAGATCATCATTGTCCTTACATTGGTGTAATTTGATGTAACCTTGTCGGTGTGTCGTGTGTGACTACTACACTACTTGACTTAGAATCACAACGGATATGGCTGAGAAATTTACAGTCCATGTTCTAACTCCATATGGAATTAGCAATTTTCAAAGTAAAGAAAAACCCGTGTTAGATCGAAGTTTGTATAGCCAACATCAAGAATAGTAGCAACTGCAGTTCACATTCACATTGTCACCAGCTATTAGCTTCTACAGCAAGCCATATTTGATTGGATGACGGGCATGTGTTTTTCCTATTCTGTGGATCTGAATGTTGCTTTCATGTTGAATATTTGCCGTGCGTTCTCAAACCCCCCTACGCGGGTTCTCTGGATCTAAGGCCAAGTGAGAATAATAGATCTTTACTATTTTCAGATGAGAGAACTTTTCTACGAACATTATTCCAAAAGACTTGGCTACATCGATCCTCAAGAGGGCTCATTTGGAAACAGTTTGATTGACGCTATTACTTTACATCCAAACAAGAAGCCCGAATATCAACGAAGGCTCCATAACTATTTTCTTTCACAAAAGATAAAATCACTGCAAGCAAAACTAACCTTATTGTATCGAGATTTGGTAGAGATGGACAATGCTGTTGGGCGGACATCAGATATGGAGGAATTGATGCTTGGAAGTCCTCTAACGCTTAACAGATTTCGTCCAACAGAAGGGTTAGTAAACATAATTCGTTACGTAAATATAAGATGTATGATGTGATTACAAGGGTACATATGAGGACTATAGAATAAAAACATTTTGCCTCATTCTACAAAATTTTGCAGGATACTATCTTGTTTTTAGTGATATACATTCGTCTGAACTGTGGCCTCGAGAGGTAATGTGTTGTAGGTGCCTAAGATTATCCCGGCTAGGCGCAACGTCCCTTATTGCCTAAATTTTAGTTGAAATAGTGGGCTTCAATAAGTAATCGGTTGCATCATATTTTGATATATATATAGCCTACTAATAAAACGTACTATTCAAGTACAACCAAAAAACAGTGTTACGGCGCAAAATATCTCTTTTTCAATAAATTCTATCTCAAAGCAATGTCACAAAAACTCCGATTGAACTGAATTGTCATCATGAGAAAAGTCATGGGTGATCTCTGACTTGCGAGGTGCCTCTTTGACGTTTAAAATAGTTAAGGAACTGTCATCAGATATCAGTTGACGTAATCAACTAACCACCATAGGGGAAGGTAGCTCAGAAAAATCAAATCCCAAATAAAAAAATCACTTCCATCATAAATGGATTATATAGCATTTCATAAACATAAACCACTGATTTTTTTATGCTTTTTTCGTTTGATCTCAGACACCTATAAATAAAAATAAAAAAATGTCGATAACGTGTTTCAGGAGTGCAGTTATTCCATGGATGATTTTCAGTGATCGTTTTCACCAACTATCAACCGATACACCAAGACGCAATATCCCCTCCTATGTGCAAGCTTCCGTGAAAGATATTGTACTGCAGGTAAGTGACTTGACTTATTTTAGTTTTCAAACCTTTATAGTGAAGTTAAGTGGGAGACAGAAATTTGGTCTCGGGTTGGGCAATATCTATGTATTTTTTACCAAGCAATATCAAAAGTTGATTGTGTAACTTGTGATATTAATTGCCGATTACAGTGATGCTAAGCTTCAAAAGTTCTATTCTTCTCGTATGTCGTTGTTATTGTGATTTATTACATTTCAGATAATGGGAATGATGAATGGCAATTCGAAAGTCAGGGGTCGTGTTATTTCGTTCAAAAGGGTAAATTATGGGTACATGCGTGTCAATCCTTTGTTTGGATGCGAATATGTTTTGGATTTACTACTTCAGTACAACCGATATCGTGGGAAAAAGGTTTCCCTACCGGTACGCAGACACGCGTATCTACAGCAAACGTTTTCTCGTACCGAATTATACGAAGACTCTTCAACTCATTTGGAAAAATTGGTCAAGATGGAATCACTAAAATTTCAAGGATGGGCAATAAACTCATTTGTGGGAATGATACCAAAGCATATTAAATCTTTGTTTGGATTGAACAAAAAATCAGACTTTGCGCCTGATTTTGATATGATTTCATACCAAGATCAAGGTGCAGCTACATATGACGATTTTGTTAAAATTAAACCGGAGGTTGCTCTACATAGTAGGTTCACTCAAGCCGGTGATGGCAAATTGAATTTACCTACTGTAAATATAATAATACCGCTTACTGGGAGATTTTTGACATTTCAAAGATTTATGTCAAATCTGGAAAAGATTGCTTTATTTCCTGGAAATCCTGTGTCAGTATTAATAATGCTTTTTATGCCACAAGACGCAAATCCAAAAATAGATATGAGGCTCACGCAAGAACTTATACAGGAATATAAAGTACGGTAAGTGATATAACATTCTGGATTTTTAATTGAGAAATGAAACAATAATATGGTTTTTGGCTTAGATTGAATATTTGAGAATCTCGTATCTAATGGAACAGTTCGTGATTACTAATCAACATTGAACGGGTTCAATTTTACAAATATTAAGTGCTTCATAAAGTAGTTGACGCTACAAACAAACTTGGTAAAGTGACGAAGCATCGGTGAACTGATTCTCCGTTTATTCTTGTAACCTTGATAATCCTTTGTATTTGCAACTTAGTTATATCATATTTATGTATTGGTTTAGTCTCTTGAACAATATTTTTATAAACAAATTTGTTTTCATTCAATTTTTCCAGATATCCAAAGAATGATATTCGATATGTGCCGGTGGCTGGCGAGTTTTCACGAGGTTTGGCATTAGAAGTTGGAGCTTCGCAGTTTTCCGGAGATTCTTTGCTGTTCTTTTGTGACGTTGATGTCATCTTCAATTCCAAATTTCTTGATAAATGTCGAAGTAATACTATCAGAGGTCAAACTGTTTATTATCCAGTGTTATTCAGCGAATTTGATCCGAAACTAAGTGGATTCAACACAAACGTAAAAGGAGAAAGAGCGGATCATTTTGAAGTAAGTATTCAAATCAGATAGGCAGAATGGTAGATATATCATGTTAAACTGTCACTGAACACATACAGGCTCTCTAAATTAAATACCATTAATTCACGGTACAAGCATGTCCAGTTGTTAGCATAACATTATGTAATTTTTAGAGCTCGACCGATATATCGGCCAACCGATATATCGGGCCGATATTGCGTGTTTGCCGATATATCATATCGGCCCAACCGGCCGATATATCTGGCCGATATATATCAGCGTTAGTCGCTTTTCCACGTTCTAAAAAATGAGTTTTTTTCCCCGGGAAATATCTGCGGCCGAGCGTTTTCCTTTTTTACGCTTCTCTCATTTTGCCTTTCAATGAACAGAGAGTTCTCTTCTATATTTCTCTCTTCGTGCGGCGCAAAATCCTCGCCTTCGAATATCTTGCGTCCCCACTAGGTTTGCACGTAATCGACAAAAATCAATTCCGTAATTACGGAAAAATTGATTACGTAGTGACCCCGTAATTGCGATATTTTTTCACACGTTTAAACCTATCATAAAAACCATTCGAATCCACTTCTTTTCCGAATGGGACATCGAAGTTTGGTTTTCATATTACCGACAGTACTACACGCCGGCGACAGATGTTAAAGACAAATACCAAGGAGTGAATTCAATTTAAATTTATTCTGGTTTTATCTTGTTTAATTGTGTTTGCTTTGATTTTCCTTTATCACGTTCGCAAATTAACCTTCCCAATTTTATGCGATCAATTTTATCATTACAGATAATGGTATACGGATATTTATGAAACGATAGTTGCCTCTTTTAAAACCGACTTTCGTATTGAATAAAAATTTCGGGTTTCTAAGTTATTAATCAACGACAAGCGTATTTTCTCGTTTGATTATACCTGCGCTTGCCTCGCGACGAAGACTTGTTATTGCTCCGTTTTTTTACATTATCCGACTTTGCTACCTAGTTAGCATTTTATAATAATTATTGATGCTGAATTATTGACGATATTCCGATTACCAAGCTCCATTTTATATCAAATCATTTCGCGGCCTAAATGTTATAACATTATTTGCGATAAATTTAAATCAAATAATAATTATTTAGCCAGCGATAAATTCTTACCCGTAGCTTGTTGTAAATTAATGCTAATAAATGCTATTTTGTTTTTTAATGCGCTGTGATTTGTATTAATAAAAGTGATTGAGTCGGGAAAAGAAAGTAGCCTAGCCTCCTCTCCTTTTGAGCGCTTATAGCGGCGGTAAAATTCGTCTCATGTCTGTTTCACGGAGAGAAAGAAAAATACGCCTTCCGGAATTACAATCAACTATAACACATTCTTATTTATCATTATCAGCGCCGAATAAAAAAGATACCAAATCGTGAAGACAAAAAAGTCTGTCGGTGCTAATTGCGTTACGGTGATAACGCTTATAATAATATCGTTTTGACCGTGAAACCAAAAGCTCAAACGGGGTGGCAATGCGTCATGCCGGCTCAAAACGGCTGCGAACACCGGAACTCTAACTTCTTCTACTTGTTAAACTTTGATTTTTTACAATCGACGGAATTGACTGCTTGGAAGGAGCACGTTTCAAACGCGAAAGCGCTCGACCAATAATTACGACTTTACGTAATTTGTAACTTCCCTTCCGTAACTCCAAACAATTCCGTAAATCCGTAAATTACGTGCAAGCCTACTCCCACCTACTACTGTATGGATCAAAATGGACTTCTATAAGCTTTTTACTGACTGCCTTTTTTCTCTTGTGCATTAATGTATGTTCTTATTATTTGCTGGAAACTTTTATTAATGATGCAAGCACTGTGTAGGACTGCTTTATTTTTCAACCTAAACTTTTGATTGAATGAAACTGAATGTTTCTTTCTATTTGTATTTACTGCGGGTTCGAGTTGTAGATATCGGTATGTCAATATCGGTTATCGGTCACTAGTTGGCCGATATATCGTTATCGGTATCGGTGACAAAAAGTGATATCGGTCGAGCTCTAGTAATTTTTGTAAGTTTTGCACTATATCGTTGCATCTCGACAAAATTAAATTTTGTTACAGATAATTGGCAATTCTGGATATTGGAGAAGCTTTGGGTACGGTTTGTTATGTGTATATCAAAGTGACTTCGCCTCTACTGGTGGATTCGATACTAGCATTAGAGGGTGGGGTTTCGAAGATGTGGACTTGTATGGAAAATTTGTGATGTCCGAATCGAAAAATTCGGAAGACGAAATAAAGCCCGCCAGCATAAAATTGGTTACAGCAAAACCAATGAGAGTTCAAGAACCAGATTTAATACACGCACATCACCCTTCACACTGTGATCCGGAACTGAGTGAAAAACAATTGTCAATGTGTCGTGCATCACGCGCAACAAGCATAATGTCCATTTCAAGACTTTATGAAAAATGGCAGAAAAACGTTGTTAGCCATATTGTACAGCAGCACGATCAACCTGTTGAACACCAAAACAATAGACACAATTTTAAAGAGGATGAAATTAACAAATATTATAATAGTAAAAATAAATTTTATCAAATGGACAAAAAGAAATGATGGCAAATGATTTGCGTATTTATAAAATTCTACAGGTTTATAATTTCCTCACATGACGGCAAGAGTGACCATATACATATATTGTAAAAATATGTTTGCAAGTACAAACAATGGAGTTACTCTACCTTCCACTGTAATTCCAAGTCGTCCATATGTATTTTTTGAGTACAGTCCTGTATGCGTAAATGTATAACGAATTCATTGTACATTCGATGAATATTTTATTTTCATATATTTCAGTATTTGTCATATTTTTATAACGTTTAAACAAAATTATTTCTTCATGCATTCTGACATCTGTTTTATTTAGGTCATTTAAGCTTTCCTTGATTTTGATATTTTTTTACTACATTATACTTAGTCATTGTCAAAACAAGCAGTACAGTTTGTCTATTTATGTCATGACATCTACAGTATTTTACACAATATAGAAATAATTTCTTTTTAAATTTTATATATATATAGCAAGGAGTGCTTGTGTTACCGAATACCCACAATTTAGTGAAATGGCTTTGGATAAAACAAGATCAAACGCTGCAACTTGATTCATTTACGGGTGTCTTTTATAAAAGCAGGTGCAATAAGCACATATGTTACCATAAAGCTATACACTCCTCTAGGTTAATAGTAGTGCGCATTTACAGAATATCGTTCATCACAGATAACCGTGGTTTGAATTTAGCTTTGGGATACAGTCTCATTTCTGAAAACTCGAAGTGTACAAGTGTAAATGTCAAAAAAAACAATCATCCAGGTTTAATATTGAACAAAATTTGTAGTTTACTTTAATCATCAAGACAAATAGAAAAACAAACAAAAACATTGTAATAATTTCCCAGACTGCAAGCAACATCCCCCAAATATTTTCAGACGAATGCGGGAATAAAACTACTGTTTAGGATTGATTGAACTGATTGATTTTAATACTGATTGTATTAGTAAAAGTCATACAATAAAACCAAGCCAACGTGTTGTGTATTACAAGTCTAGACTTTACGACATTTAAACTTTACAGTCTGTGGGGGGTTCAGATATCATTATGTAAATAACTTTTTCAACTTGAGTTCAAAAATAGGTCTTCTGTCAATGGAACCCATAAATTAAGAACATGCTAACAACTTTGACCCGATGCTCCGTTTCTGACGTCTGGATTGTCCACCATCGCATGAATTTATGATATTGTGGGAAGGGTTCAAAATTCAGTAAATATCATTCCATTAGTTTCTACCTTATAATGAAAAATTATTAAAATCACTTAATTACCCAAGTATTACAGTCCATCTTAAATCATTTCGACTGCAAATAATAATCGGAATATTACCGTACTCTGTATTGCTTTAAAGTTGCATCGAATATATTAAAAGCCCTCGATATAGTATGGATATGGTTGCCAACTGTCCTTCATTTTAAGGGACAATTGATCTCTACAGTCCCTTGTGCTTTAATAAAAATTGAAAGGGCGCAAATTGTCCTTTATTTATAGCATCGCTTTTGCTATAATATACTGCAGTGGCGGCGCGTCAATAGGGCCAAATAATATTCGAAAAATAGCTCAATATCGGTTGCACAGACTGTCTACACTAGCCATATTCTCCCGACATGGTTCATTTTTCGCTCGCAAAGCCTTCGCCGAACGTCGACGGGGCGACGCCGATTTTGCCCCGGTTGCTCATTGTATATCGTATTCTCTCTTTTATCTTCCACTCGCCGCGTTTGTTTTCTGTTTCTTTTACTAAATCATCGGGGCCGATCGGGGCTAGCCCCGAAATTATGACGACACAATGCCGACGTTTCTTACAACAACGTGTTGACATATTCACGCATTCCTTCTCGTTCATTGGTTGCTTGAAGAGTTGATAGTTTCCTCGCCTTCGTTTTTGTCGCTTGTTTCGCTATTTGAATCAGTTAGAGACCTTTAGTCCATTTGCTTTCGATTTTCCACATTCCTTTTGAGCTCCTCACTTCTTTCCGGCTTCGCATTTCTTAGCCTTAGACCTCATAATGAATAAGGTTGATGCACTACTTCGCACTCCGTTTTCGCAGCTGCCGCTGGAACAAAAATTAGAGGTACAACGTCTTGGGCCTTATCAACCAAAAAATTGTTCACTGGAACAATCCCATGACGGAGGAAAGCGTCGGCGTACATTCTGCGCAGAAACTTGGTATAAAAAACACGAATGGTTGTGTTACAGCGAGGACAAAAATGCACTTTTTTGTTTTTATTGCCTACTTTTTGCTACCGCCCGTGACTCACGTTGGTGTAAATTTGGTTTTAGAGATCTTAAACATCTTTCCGAGCGTGCCAGGGATCATCAATCTTCTATGGAGCATCTGCACAATGCAGAAAAATACCGAACATTCGGAAATGTTAATATTGCAGCACAGTTGGATGAAGGACGCGCGATTTCTATTCGTCGGCACAACCAAAACGTCGAGAAAAACCGCCATGTTCTCGGTCGATTGATAGATGTTTTGAAGTTCATTGGTTGTCACGAGCTGTCCCTCCGTGGGCACGATGAACGGGCTGGCTCTTCTAATAGAGGGGTATTTTTGGATATGGTGGAAGGTGAACGTACATTTGAACCCACGTACATTTGAACCCATGTGTATCTCCACGGGTTCTATCTATATGCGGGTGCTAAAACCCATGGGTTAGGGTTAGTGTGGGTTCAACTATCCGAAAAACAAATAAAATTCCATAGGTGCAATAGCATACAGGTGCAATTGCCATGGGTTCAAATGTACGTGGGTTCAAATGTAATGGAACCATGGTGGAATACACCGCATCCCTAGATACAGTATTGAGAGATCATCTTGATGCCGCAACTGTTTCGAAAGGGACATCTAAGGATATCCAAAATGATTTGCTCGACTCAATGTATAAAATTTATTTACAACATTTGGCTCTGGAAATTGAGAATTGCCAGTTCCTTTCGATTCAGTCTGACGAGACAACTGACATCACGTGCGTTTCCCAACTGGCTGTGATTTTTCGGTTTGTGAAAGATAGTAAACCTACCGAGAGATTTCACAGCTTTGTACCAATCGTTGATCGCACGGCTTGCGGGATATCGGCTGTACTGAAAGAAGTGTTACAGCCTTACAACGCGAAGTCAAAATTGATAGCTCAAACCAATGAGCATATATACAATGAGTGGAAACTTGCAAAGATTTGCTCATTGTGGCATTGTTCCCTGCATTTTTACGTCGTCCAGCTAAATGGTTCGTTGCATATTAAGAAAACGCATTGCTCGCTGCCAAATTCCCTTGCTTCAGCCGAGTCGGGTGCGAAATTGGCCGTATTAACTTGACTTGAGGTCTTTAATTCTTCAATACATATTTGATTTTGGGTTTCGAAGTATGGTACGCTGAAAGCATACAACTATGAGCATATGCTTATTGGGAATGCATATCTATTAGACAGAAAACGTATCTACAGAACAGAATATGAACCAGTCGCCGAGAGGAGTGCGGTTATTTATGTATTTATTAATTGATATAACATGGGATTTACATATTTATCCAAAGTGAGAGGAAAGCCGAAAAGAAGGCCTAAATATATGGCGAACCACGGCCTCTCTCAATCATAGTTCTGTGCTCCATATGAATCACATGGCTCTGCGAGCTATTCGTTTACCTATTAAAAATACTGATTTCAACTATAAATTACTCTGGGATATCTTGCCATTGAAAACAAAAGCCAGAAATTGGAAGAAAAGCAGGGAATGAAATGTGTGTATTATGTAATGGAGTACCTGAGTTTGTTTCACATATTTTCATGTATTGTAAATTTACAAAAAATATTTATGAAGATTTTGTTTTAGATATATTAAAATTGATTAGAATACATTTTGTTATCAATATGATTCTTGCATATTATTTAATTTTAACGATCCTTTATATAGTCGTATAGATACTGTTGATTTGGATGCAATTATACTTTTGTAATCAATAGTGAGAAATATTTCATGACTGCTATTAACTATGTGAGCTATTTTTTCTGCAATGCAAAATATTTCCTTCGTCTGCTATTTACTATGTGAATTAATTTTTCTGTAATGTAAAGTATTCCATAACTGCTTTTATTATGTGGGCTGTTTTTTCGGTACTCGTAGTATGTGTACCAGGTTAGGTTACGATTCTCCTTATTTTTGTTCTATTAAAAGTTCGGGAATTGTCTGTGTTACACAAGTGAATATCCCCCTACCGATAGAATTTAGTCCATTTACACAACTTGATATAAAGTAGGCGAACAAAATTAGTTACCTTCATATTGGTACACATACTTCTGGAGCACCATTTTTTTTGTAATGTAAAATATTTAATATGTGAACTAATTTTTCTGTAATGCAAAATATTTTCTACAGCTTCTGTATTTTTTATATGTCACTTTCCATTTCATCGATAATACACATTGTTCATTCTTTGTGGAGTTTTTGGTAACTTTACAGATGGAATAAGACCGACATTCAGCTTTTTCTGTTTCACAACTGTAATACAAAAGGTACTCTTGAAGTATGTAAAACCCAGTTGGTAGACACCGGAACCATGTGTACCAGGTTAGGGTCTACTACATACAAACATTCCCAAACTTTTTCAAGCCGCACCCCCTTTTTAGAATTTGTGAAGTCTTGCGCCCCACCTCAAAAATAATTAGCTAACAATAACAAGCTACAAATGACAGTAGTAAGGCGTAAGTATGTTTTATTGGAAAAACATGTGGAAAATACATGGATGGAACAAAATAAATGACAAGTTTTGATATGTAAATATTTACAAGTTTTGATATGCATAAAATTAGCCAAGTCCAGAAGTCAGTATTTTAAACTAATAGAGAGAGAGAGTTTATTTCGTTCGTCAAACCATGAACATATATAAATTATAATAAAATAAAAAACAGATGCTCAGGTGTTTGACTGGGAGACAACGTTACAACATTTCGGGTCATTTAACAGGTTCGGTGTTAAATTCTTCAATACCTCTCATATACCTTATTCACTATATACATTATTCACAAGAATTTTTGATTTGGAAAGTACTAAATAATCATGTTTTGTCCTAAGATCATCATTTATTCAGCTGATAAGTTGAATACCTATTATTTGGAAAACTTGTCTACTAAAAATGAATGTAATAGGACATGGATTTTTAATAAGCAAAGATGGGGAAAATTCTATTATTATAGCACTTTAATTATAAACATTTGATAATAGTAATGAAATCATGAGTAGATTTCTTTATACACTATAATTTGAACACATCAAATTATAATACTTGATTATGACTGGCAAGTGATTTGGAGGATAGTAACACACAATAATACATGATCAGGATTTGACCCTTCTCCAGCAGATATATATATGAAATAAAGTGCTCATGTACATATCTATATTCGGCTACAGAGCACGTAACATAGAATGAATTTTAAGGCAAAATATTGATAATATAC